TGGGCATAAAAATTCAGCTTGAAGAATGCTAAATTTAGCAGAGGCAAGCAAAGAAAATGGCCCCCGGTAAATTGCTCATTTATTTGCAGCTGTCAATATCAATAACAAATGGTTGTTATGCCTCGAACAAACACACACATGAGAGGGGCAAAAAAAACCAAAAAAAAAAAAAAAAAAGAGAGGAAAAACCGACACACTCACACGGGTCGGCTTACTAATTTCGGGACCGGAAAATGGGCCACTATCAACATTTGCCTTTTCCGAGACTCTCACTCGCTGGTAACTTTAGCCGCACTTGACAGGAGCAGTAATAAAATAAATGAGCCGCTATTCTTTTAAATTGAGTTTAATAAACGTCACACTTCATCGACGAGAGCACTGGGGATCCCGAAGCAACCGAAGCAACCGAAACACAATCTGCAACCCAAAAACACGCTTGACTGACCTGTGCGAAAGGAGGCTGTGTCCACTGCCCAAATGAACTATGAAAATGGCCGGGACAACATGCATATTTTTTTCTATTTTCTATTTTCCCGCTCTGACACAAAGACCGCACACCCATACACACACTTATTTATTATTCCCCAAGCGTTTGACCAACAACTAACCCCAAAAAAAAAATGTCGAAAAATAACGGAGCTAGAGCAACTTTCGGGCCAAGTTGAGGACGAGCCGCATTCAAATGCCGTCTAATTTAGTTGCCTGCTGCATTGTGCGGTCCTTGCTCCAACCAATTGCCATATATCCATATCTATATCTGGCCAAAAAGTAGCCCGACTTTATGACCTCAGCGTTGTGCAACAGCATCGCGCGAATCGCTTACATGAGATTGTAATTACGATAAGCGAGTCGGCCAGGAGCTCGGAGATGTTTTTGCCCATAAACAGCCAAATGAGCCAAATAAATGTTATTTATAAAATCCAGGCGAATATGGAGGGAGCAGGAGCGGAACATACCTCGACTATATGGTACCCAGTATTTGCAAAATAATAAGAACGATTTAGTTTTTAATTAGTTTAAATTACTTAAAATTCAACACCACATAAATTATCTCCTGTATGATAAATGTTTGCATATGTTCTTTTATAATTTTTTATTTTATTTTACTTAGATCACCAACAATCTGAAATACCCTCTTCCTCGAAAATTACCAGTTAAACAAATTGCAAAGGGGCTAAAGAAGTGCTGAGCCCGCCAATCGTTGGACTTTTGTGTGCAAGCCAATTGCGATTTATGTTTATATTTATATTTATTTTTATATAAAATTCATGCGATATCAAATCATGCTCGCTCATATAGGTAACTAAATATGCCGCACACCCACACACCCGCACAGATGGCCACACAGACAGACACAAATACAGACAAACTCAGACGGCGACCATTCAGGCATTCGACTTTTGGTTTTGGCTTACAGCTTTTGTGCCACGGCGTTATGTAAACATTCAGGGCATCGGATCGCTTGCCAGCAATGAGCAGGCATGCCATGCATAGATATATATGTATTCATATATATATGTATATAAATAAAAAAGAACGGTGGGGGGGAGAGGGCGTGGCAGGTTGAGGGCGGGACAGGCGCCGTTTGCCGCGTTTAAGCGATTGAGATATATTTATTAAGCGCCCAGTCGCAGAGACTCGGTAAAGAAGGCTTGTTTATGGCCAAAAGCGATTCTGGCCAAGAAAAGGAGGTAGAAGGGGGTAAAAGAAGAAGAGAAGAAAAGGATGCGAGTAGCGAACGCACCTTGTGCAAAACACATAAATAATGAGACAATTTAAACGGATTCAAGAAGCAAACATGGAATATTTATTTATGGTCAAGAAGGTAAAGGTTACACTTGGGAAAAAAGCGTTTACGACAACAACTTCTACTTAAAACTGAGAAGCATAAAAAGAGTTATTTTTAAAAGATAAGTACTTAAATAATTTATTTAAATATGCATAAAAATACCCAAAAGATTTTGCTATACATAAAGGTATGTTGGTATATTAAATAGTCTCTTGAGTTTCTCGCCAATCCTGAATAGTATCTTGCCCATCCTGAACACCCATATTTGCCTTCACATTACCTCGCAGGAGTGGACACTTGGTCACTTGATTGGTGGCTAATTAAAACGGCAAATCAAAGGCCGCGGCCGAGCAAATGTTGACACAGTACAGTCACAATGGAGAGTCCTGCGAGTCCTGTGGCGGCCTGGATGTTTCGGGGCGGCACAAAGCGCCATTAATAGAGCGTGAATTTTAGCGCAAACACACACACACCATCCCCACACACACCCACACACACACGTACCGGAGGACTTTGTGTGTGCGCATTTATAGCCCGCAATGTTTTGCCAATCAAAACCCCAAAGTCATTTCATTATTGGCTTTGCGTAATCGACGTCAAAGCGTCCCGACCGAAAGTCAACAGCGGAGAAAAGGAGACCCAATCCGCGCCAGCAGAAGTGGCCCAGTGGGTCGAAAGTAAAATGTGGAGTGCGGAGCTTGGAGCTGGGAGCTGGGTGCTGGGAGCTTGGAGTGCCTGCAGCCTGTGGATGGAACGTGCATGCAGTCAAGCGAATTGAAGGCAAATATTTTTACTTTGACACGGCGAAAAGGGATCCGGAATCGGGGATTCGGGATTCGTGGGTCCGCGTCCCGATCTCCCGGCAACTCGACTTTATTGTCAAAAAGTGTAAATGACACAGTTCGTTAAACGCGACATCGAGACGCTAGATACAAAGATAGATAGATAGATAGATAGATACTCGTAGATGGATGCGGCAGATGGCAAAAGGGGGTTCCGTTTTTCGGTACGGATCCGTGGATTATGCACGCTGGGGCGTGGCCCCAAAATCCGAGGCCTAAAAGGATTGCAGGCAAACATTAATGGAGGCCATTCGTTGGGCCGCCAGCAGATTTTTGTCAAGAATGTATGACAAATATTTTATGCGCCCATCATAAAGGAACCGCAAAGGGGCACCAAAAGCGGATGACTGCAGCAAAGTGGTGGGGCGAAATTGGTGGTGGGACAGAAAGGACACGGATTCAGATGGCGAGTATCTCGCAGATAGCCAGATACAAATCGTAGACCCCAAAAGCATATAGAACCAAAAGAAGGCAAAAGGCAGAAGGTTGAGCAAAAGCAGGAGCAAGCATAAAGGCCACCGGCGAAGGCACTAAATTACAACAAAAAGGAGTCGTACACACGGAGAAATTTTACATAACAAATAATATTAAGAATAATTTATCAAATAGGTATATTTATTTATTTGCAGAAGCAAAGAGTTGAGAAAGTATTATTTAAAGTATTAAAAAAAACTTCTTGGGTAAACTTTAAGAACTATATTTGCATTAAAGTTTTGATTTCTTGCCGTGCAGAATAAGGCATTGAGGTTGCTGGGAAAGCCCGAAAAGGATACTGCGAAAAAGAAGAAAAAAATAAGGATGGCGAAGGATAGCGACGAGCGGCAGATAACAACAGAAGCGAAAGGCGAAAGGTGCAAATAATGCCAGGCCCCAAAAAGTATGCTACACATGTTGACATTGCCCGCGTGAGTGCGTGTGTGTGCGTAGCGTATTTGCGTGTGTGTGTGCTGCGAGTGGTTTATGTGTGTTGACGTGAGAATTTGCACGTCCTTTGTTATGCACGCGTGTAAATGTTTCGCCGGATTCTGATTCCATTTTCCAAACCGAAAGCAAGAATTGAAAAACTAAACAAACTTTGCCAGCGAGCAAATGTTTTATTTGTCTGCCGCACACAAACAAACAGCACACACACACACATGCGAAGATGTCAGGGAGATACCCACAAATGCACTGCGATTTCTGCTCCAAATTCGTTTCGATAGCAAAGGGTTTTCCCTTCGCTTTCTTCCCGACCTCCTCCCTTGTTTTGTGTGCACACAAACTTTGCGGCCTCCTTTAGTTGTTATAATATAACGAAAAAATATATATAAACAGGACTAAGCCAGCGAGTGTGTGTGTTTGTGTGTGTGTTTGAGGTCGAGTTGATTGCTTAAGTAAACGCACTCGGGGAAGGCAAAAACGCTTCTTGGCCAAGTTGATTCGACGAAGTTTGCTGGCTGGGAAATTGCTCGCTGGCTTTTCTTATTTCCCCGCCTTTTGGCCGGGTCAATTTCGGACGCCCAGTGATTTTTGCTTATTTTTATTAATAGACTTTTTGTGAAATGCCAAACAATATTTTCGGCCGACGGAAGTGTGCACTTCAAATTATGCTACATGCTCGGAAAACCCTTTTCCACGCTTCTGTGTGTGTGTGTGTGCTGGTCCAGCGGCTGTTTATAAAGGATAAGTTGCTGGCGAGGAGGCGAGGATTCAGCTCTCTGTATGCCTAATCCGCAAATGGATATTTTTACAGGGGAAAGGGAAAGGGGGAACGAAATGGTCGGGGAGTTCACAACTTTTTATTCCCGCTGATTGCTGATTGAAAACCGAACGGAGACCCAAATTCGGGTTCACTTTTGGTCCGGAGTGATGGTCCTGGGAAGTGAGTAATTAATTCTTGTGTTTGGCTTTCGGTGGGCGGGTGAAATGAGGTCTATATTTCTTTCTATATGGGGTCTCATCAAAAGAACCCGTTCTGCGGTGGCCTTACATTCTGATTAAGTGATTTAGGGTTCAAAAAATTGTTTTAAATTTGTTCTGATTAATGAGCTCCCAAAGTATTTATTTCATTGGGAAGTTAAATTGTACTTTTATTTAATCCTAAATAAAATTATATAAAATTTGTTTTAACATGCATTTTTTTAAATAAATAAAACCTCAATGATGGAGATACTTTGATAAATGAAAACTTCGGTTGGTTCATTTAGAAAGCAATCCATTATGATATCACCTCAAAAAACTTATTTCGTTATTTTTTTGACTTAAATCTTGAAAAGTCGGTTTGGCTGCACTCAAACTGCTGCAAAGCAGAAAAAGCCAGCTATTTTGCCAGCTTAGTTTTCCCCAAGCTTTCCCCAATCTTAATATAAACAGACAGTCGGTTGACTCACCTTTTTGCCAGGCAGCGGAGACTCCTTCTCGTTTTTTGCTCGCTCAATTCGGCAGCCAATTGGGCACACACATCAATCAAGTATTTCAACAAGTTTTTCTCTATTTTGTTTGGTCTCTGGCTTGGTTTAGTTTGGATTAGTTTCGTTTCGTTTAGTTTAGTTTAGTTTAGAGCGAACGAGGCACCGTGCTGCAGTTGGTGGCATAGTTATTGTTAAGGAATTTATTGATATTATTGCGGCTCACTCACGCGAACGCCCGGGGAATCTTAGCACTTTGCCAGCCAATTAATGGGTTAACTTTCGAGCTGAAATTAACACAATGGGTATGCAGGAATTCGCAGGCGAATAGGCCGAAGGAATGTTCGAGGCAGCACAAAGGACGCAAAGCGGGGCACAAAGGACGCACATGTGGCAAGTTTCTGTTTCTCTCTGGCATTTCGGCCATGTCTGAGTGAGCATTTAAGACCGAGAGACAGATAAATGTCAGAGGTTATGGTGTTAATGTCGCTTTTATTTAAAACGGATATCGGACGAAGAACAAAGGCGGGTCGAGTAATAAAAAATAAATTAAATGGAAAATGCACAGAGAGTCCTAGGGCGAAAGAGACGGCAAGATGGATGGATGGACGAAGGACGAAGGACGAAGGGCAGACGGACGGAGAGAAGGCGCGAATGTGTCACGGATTTCATTGCTCATTGAATACGCATTCATTTCACAAAGGAAAAAGGAGCACAGGACCTGCCAGCCATTCAGGCAGCCGCCTCAATCGAGTCACTCAGTCTGCGTACGTAAGCAGCGAAGGACATTCACACAGATACGCTAACGGACGCACACAGACGCACAGCCACACAGGACTCGGAGAGCCACACACAGACACAGACACAGACACAAAGACAGAGGCCCACACACACACCAATACAGAGGAGAGTAAGCCACAGAGCCCGCAGAGAAAATCAAAACTACGCACACACACAGACGAAATTTCTGACAAATTTCCATGTGTATGTGCGCATTTTGTTGTAATTTGCCATTTTGGCAATTGCAATCCTTCGCATTTTATTGAATTTTACAACCACACTGGCACACAAAGGAGCCAAACTCACACACACATACGCACACGGATGGAAGCAGGCCACACACTCGAACAATAACAACACTTTTTGTCATAATATTTTCATATTATCCAGCAAGTTTTGACTTTCATATTCCACACTGTTTTTAAGTTCTTTAGTTGTTCGGCAAAGGATCTGTGTTTTGTTGATGGTCGGCTTGGCTTGATTTAATTCATTTGAGATGAGTTTATTGTGTTTCTGAGCGAGGCGGAATTTTCATACGCGTTCGAGAGGAGTGTGCTTGAATCGCAGGAGTCGCTGCTGCTTGCGGAACCGCCCTAAAACAGTCGGGAGAAAAACTGAAAATGAAAATTGCTGAAAAATTCACCCAAGGCAAGCAGCAGTGGCAGCGGGAAAACCGAAAAGCTCGTCCGCGCTCCCCAAAAAGTACCAGTATTCTTCGGAGCGGCGGAAAGCTCAATCAATAAGTCGAGCTGCTCTCTCTCTCTCTCTCTCTCTCTCTCTTTCTGTGGCAGGACATCCCCCAGAAACACCCGCCCTGTCCACCACCCAACACCCACCACCCCCCGGGGGCCAAAGCACATGCTGAGTTTCGAGCGAACGCTTTTCTGTGTGGTTTTTCCTCGATTTCCCAGCGATTTAACAACTTGTTTTGGCTCTAACATCGCACTCACGTTGGCCGAAAGAAGACCGCAACCGTGGACCGAAAACCGCGACCGTAGACCGTTCACGGACGGAGAATCTGCGTGAGACTTTTCCTCCACTCTGCACTGGACTTTCAATTCTCGGCTCTTGGTTTTCCGGACTTGCGATCCACACGTCTGACTGCCAGCCTGGCCACAACATGAATGTCTGAATGTCAGGTGTGCGATGCTCCACGATGCGTTCCGGCTGAGAATCCGTCGCAGGACTCGTGCTCGTGCGAAGTCCTTCTCCACGTAGGCGTCTCTCCGACGGAGAGAATGTCCCGATAACCGTTATTGCGGTGGACAGTCGGCGCTGCCAACTTGGCGCAGGGTTGCCTTCGACAGCTGCCAGGACCACCGGAATCGCAGGGTTGCATGCGGAAGCTTTGCAAGCTTTCAAGGACTCATACGCAGTCGAAATTATTTTTTTGAATGTTTAATAACCATTTCAAATGCATAACAGTAAGCTGGGAAAAACACCTTACTCAGAAATACAATGTTAACAAAACAAATTAAGTTTATTTTGAATTCTTTTATAATTTAAATCTAAATTTAATAAAAATAGCTTTAAAAAGCTAGAGTATACAGCTATACAGCCCATAAAAACTTGGTCAAGCTAAAGATAAACCTTTAAACCTATCCGTTACTATAATAATCTACAATACGTTAGCCCGGATAACTTAAATTGCTACTGTGAAACATTTTCTCCCCTGCAAAGAAGCTTTTCCGTATCATCTGCAGGATCTTGAAACGCAACAGCTACATAATTATAATTTGCATTTCGAATAACCCCTTGGGCGGTCCATCGTTAGAGGGCTGCCAATGATGATGGTAATCAAATGGGCTTTCGAGTGGTCGGCCCTTCAGTGACAGGCCCTCAAAATTCACCAATCAGGCTCATCAATCTGTCAACTCCTCGGAGGAGTACTGCTAGAGCACATGGCTACTTTGGCGAGGACAAAGGACCTGCATAAGGCGGGCAGCCTCTCAAGGTGGAAATTAGCAGAGCAGCAGGACAAGCGGAAGGTTCTCGAAAGGTATTCAGATTCCGGGGCAGCTGCCTGCGACCCGCAGAAAGAGGAAACTTGTTGGACGTCCCTTGCCACCTTATGCGGGTCCCACTGTACAGGAATGCCCCGTGCCAAGGTGCAAACTGCAACTTGGCCCCGTATCGCCTTTCGAGATCATTTTATAACCACAGTTTTTTATTTGTTTGCTGTATTTTGATCACAGATGTTGCTGACTTACGGGCTGCTGCATCACTCCCTTAAAAACAACGCGAGGGTAGTTTGTGCGGCATGATTTTACACAATTTTCGAACCAAAGGGGGATGGGGGATGGGGGAGGGGTTGGGCTGCAGCAGGACATCTCCTTAAATGCTATATGGCTCTTTTGACGCTTTAAATTGATTCACACCGCGCACGCAACTGCCACCCCCGCATCCCCGCACCCTTCGATTCGATTTTCGTGCTGCTGCACCCTCGCATCCCAAAATATTCTGGCATATCCTGGTGTATCCTGGCATATCCTGTTCCCTCCGCTTTTTTCCGTGCTGTCATGCATTTGTATTTGATTAAACATTTTTTACGCGTTTCCGTTGAGGGCATCATTAGTTTGCCCCGTTTAGGGTTTCACTCTGGTCCAGAGAGTTTGGGTTCTACAAAAACACCCCCACACCCCAAAATTCCACCCCATCATCAAGTTTCCTTGCCCTTTTCCCAGTGCCTAGTTGCATCTGTCCGGTTCCGAGGTCCACTTCCGCTTTTCCGCCTCGCCAGTAAGTGTGTTTAGGTATTTGTTTTAGTCGGTCCCAGATCGATGGACCATGTCAATAGTCCTTAATGGCATTTCATTACCGAGCTGCAGCGTTATTTGGACGGGCATGATTATGAGGAATCACCCAAGAAACACTCATCGTTATTGTTTACCAGTGATATATGGCCACCTCGCCGCAATTATAAAACAATCATTGAGGGTTTGTTTTCCCTGACAACCCAAGAACAAGAAGTTTGCATTTTCAGTTCACTTTTTTATTCAAGACTTTTTATCATTTACAATTTTTATGGGCTTTCCAAGGGTGGTTTTTGTATAAAAATATTTGATATTGTATAAAAATAAGTTTACATTTTCAGTACTTCTTTTTTATCAAGTTTTTTTTTATAATTTACAATTTTTATTTACTTTCCAAAGTTAGTTTTTTGTATAAAAATATTTGCGGTTTATGTGTATATTACGTATAAAAATATTTGGTACAATGATCTGATTACTCTTAGCTTATTGTTACTGCACAACGAGCACAACGATTCTCTTGTAAACTTTAGGCTTAGTGTTTAGTATCACAAAATCTCAACCGATATGGTTCCGTATGATATAGCTTAGAGTTAGTTAATTCCTATGTTGAGCGAAAGTTTCCCATTTCGTTGTACTCTGCGGTTACAACCAATTTACACAAACAGATGCTAAGGAACAATAGCGCTGTGATATTGTCCCGATTCGGGGGGAATCCTTATGTTATTGCTTTAAGTACACAACCGCCGGTTCTGGAGCCTGAGGCCCTTATAGCTAGGTTGTACTGTTCAATACTTTGACTGGTAGTGAGACGCTGGTCCAATGTCCGTTTCTATGCCTAACTAGAAGTAAACTAAACTAAACTGAGAACTGACTGATTCCCCAATCTTAGGTGGCTAAAATGACTAGAGTTCACACTCGACTTTGGTTCACCAACACACTGGGTTTGGATTTTGTTTAAACTAGGATTTGGTTTTGCTGTTTGGTTTGGTTCGAACTTAAGAGCTATTACTGCACAATTTTGCCTGAATTTTGTTTCGGTATATAACCTAAAAATGTCTAAAGCTTTATCCGAAATTGAAGAATGATATTTGTTTGTACAAACTTAGTAAGATCGAAATGAAACTGACTTATAGAAGTTATTAACCTAATACGACTAGAAGGAATGCAAGAACTTATGACTAGAATGACACGAGAATTTTGGTTGTGAGTTGGGGAAAGTGAAAGAAGGGTTAAAGTTTGGTTTAGATATTAGTAGGAAGATGAAATGCGGGAAAAATTTATGTATAATTTATATATGAGATGAGTGAAAAGATGACTGTGAGAATGAGTCATGAAAATGGTTTTTTTGAACGTGTGAAGTTTGAGTTATGAGTTGGAGATTTAATGAAAGGCGTGATAATTGATTTATGAAAGATGAAGTATGAGAAAAGGGTTAGTGATTCATAAAAGACAGGGAAGGTTAGTAAGAAAGGATCTTTGGTATTTCTGAGCTTAAATGATATATGACTAGATGATTTTCTTTATATTCTTGCACTCCCAAAAGTTCCTAAACTAGCTAAAACTAAAGACTAGTAAAAATGCCTGCCTGGTACTCAAGAGACACCTTCTTTTCGAGATCGTATTGAAGCTGACTGACTAGTGCCAAGATTCTTTGGATTCACTGACTAGAACTAAGTGAAACTGAATTTGGAATGTGGACCGAAGTACGGATACAAATCAGAGTCTGACTAGAACTGAACTCATCTTGCAAACGAAACTAAATCGGAACTAAGGACTAAACTTTACGGCTAACTAAGAATACGAAGGGGAAACGGAAATTTCCGTTGAATAAAACTAGTTCTTTGGTCTGCTTCAGCTGCATTGAACCCACGAGGGCTCTTCAACTAACAACTAAACTTAATAGTACGAATCTCACTCGACTTCAATGGGCCATCGTGGTGTGCTGGATGACCGAGGCGCAGTTCCTCAAGTTGGTTAGAGCGGCTGCCGCAATGCTCTCCTCCTCCGTAATGCCGTGCTCCACGATCTGGAGGCGACCGTAGCCCGCCGAGGAGGCGGACGAGCTGCTGTCCGAGAGGTAGTCGTTGTCGTAGTCGTAGTTGCTCCTGGCATTGCTGCCTCCCGCCACGTAGACGCCCTCGTCGGAGTGCGAGCTGCTGGCCGAGGAGGTGGAGCACCCGGCCTGATTGAAGTGGAAGCTTCCCGTGATGGTGGTGGCACTCGCCGGCGGCAGCATATCCACCGACTTCTGCTTCTTCTGGTGGGTCAGCTGGTGCTTCCGCAGGTAGGCGGCCCTCTTGAACCGCTTGCCGCACTCCCGGCAATCGAAGGCCAGCTCCTCCTCGGCTTTCCTCACCGACTCCTGCTGCGGCTGCTTTTCCAGCTGCTTCTCCTGCTGCTTCTCTTGCTGCTTCTCCTGCTGGTTGGTGGTGTTGCGGTTCTCCTTCTTGCCCGCCTCCTTCCGGGGTTTGTGCCACCGGCGGTGGGAGGCCAGGTTGGCCGGGCAGTTGAACTGCTTTCCGCACTCGGGGCACCTGTACTCCAGCAGGACGATGCAGGCGCACCGGTGCCGCGCCAGCCCGAAGGCGTCCTCGAACTTGATCTTGCACAGCCGGCACACGTAGTCCCCAATCACGTTCTTGATGGCCGCCAGCTCCGCCTTGGTCTCCTCCGTGATCTCAACGATGTTGTACTTGGGGTCGATGTCCCCGTTGCTGTACTGCATCGTGCCATCGGTGATGTCCTCGAGCGGTCGGATAATCGTCCCCGAAACCGGTGAGCTGGTCTCCTCGTCGAACTTTAGCTTCCGGGTGGCCTTGTTCCGGCTGGGTTTCCCCGACGAACTGGACGCCTTGCTGGTTTTCGGGGCCGTATCGGTCACCTTGATGGGCTTCGCTGGCGTGGCCTCCACTTTGGCCATTTTAGCTGGGTGTCCATCATCATCACTGCTATCGCGACTCAATTTGCGCTTGCCTGTTGGACTCTGCGGTGGCGTTGGGGGTTTCAGCTGCTGTGGCTCCACCTCCTCCTCCACTTTGGGAGGTTCCACCACTTCAACCTCGTTTAGCACCTGCTGCTGCTGCTCCTGCTGTGATGGCTCCTCCTTTGGACTCTCACCCGCCACCACCTCGCTGTAGACCTCCGTGAATGTGGCCGCCATGGGCACATCCCCGTGGGGCAGCGGCGAGGGCAGCTTCACCGTTAGATCGAGCGGTATTTCGCACCTGGTTTTCAGGTTCAGGTAGCGACTGCGGTACTTGGGGGCAGCGAGGCCACCGTGGTCAGCAAACCGAGCCCGTGGGGCATCCCCTTGTGCTGCAGCTGGATGCCAATGCTGTGCGGGTGGCTGAGCTTCTCGGTTTGTATCTGTGTCGGTGTCTGTGTCGCGGCCATGGCATCGATGGGTCTTTCTCTCCACTTATTTGTTGGGTGGTTTCTTTTTTTAATTAAAACTTGAACTTGGGCAAACAGAAAATGGGGGAAAACGGGAACGTAGAACGGTGAACGGTGAACGGGGAACGTAGAACGAAGAACGTAGAACGGGAACTAAGCAAACTTAACAACAAACTGATAACGCTGATCCTTGCGGACTGGTCTTTAATTGAGGACCTCCAGTCGGCTCGACGTTTGTGCTGCGAATGACGTTCTGTGGACTCGGTGGCGGCTATTTATGTGTGCCACAGCTCAGGCCACAGGCCTTTCCAAAGGCAAAGGAAAGCGAAACCGAAACCCAAACCGAAATCATTGTTTGTGCCGGCGTCGCTCTTGGAAATGCCGCTTTTTCAACCCCCTTTTCGGCCAAGTCGTTGTCCTTTTTCGACGCCGGCAGAGCGGCAAAAGCCGGAATCTTTTGTTAGCAATCACACACACATTAGTCACCCTTTTTTCCACACACACTCACACACATACAGTCAGCGTCAGCTAGCTGTTAGTGAAAGTCCTACGCACACACACACTCTGACACTTTGAAGCCAGGACAATGCACTCGGAGAAATCAATGTGCGACAGCTGTTGTTTTTTGCGGGTCCAAACATTGCCACGCACCAAAATCGCAGCACCTTCCACACTCGGCAAATATGCATTCTGCATTCTGCGGAAATCGGAGCTGCACATTGTCCTTATTTTTGGCAAAACAGCTGACAACCATGAAGCCGTTAATTGAGCGTGTAACCATAAGGTCAGCGGCGAAGGATCCTCAATGGATCGCAGGGCATCCTTGCAGCCGAAGGTGAATGGTTTCTTTGTTGCCATTTGGCTGAAAACAGCTGTTGGCAATGGGATGGCAAGATGGTTTTTAAGGTAAACAATGCGACAAGTAAGAGGAATCTAGGTAGTACTTTAAATCGATTCAAGATATGCGGTTGCAAATCTACAGATTTATAATAATGTTATTTTGACTAGGAATAATTTAATTACATTTTTACCTTGTTATTACTTAGATTTTATTATAATTTTATAAACTTGAACTTTTGTAAAATGTAAGATAAGTACTATATATGGGCATCTAACAAAATTTAATGAATGTATTGAAGGTTAAGAAATTTAAATTAAAAATTCCGCATATTATTAATTTGGTTTTGATTTTCCTGTAAGTTCCTTAACATCAAAATATACTACATAGTAACTAAAAATTAAATAAGCTTCTTTTTAAATAAATTATATTTGATTTTCTTGTTGTGTAGTTTGTGGCACTGCATTTATCAGCTCGCTGCGGCCTCAGACGGCGACTAAGCTCGTCAAGTTTGCTTTTGGTGGGGTAGGTAACAGACTGGCGGCCCAACAGACACAACTTGGGTTCGAACTTCGAACTTCACCACCGAAACACGGCGCACAATCGCTTGTATCCTTGTATCCTTGTATCAGTGCCTGCGTGTTGGTAAGGGTATCTGTGTGGTTGTGTTCTATGTGTGTGTGTGTGTGTGCTTTGCATTAATGTAATCGAAATGCGACGACGGCTGAGTCGGCAGTGGTTGCCATGAAAGGGAATGCACTTTCGATTCCCGTCGAGGGCTTTCGTCGCAGGACTCGCTCCTGGAAATATGGCATATTATGTTGAATACGCCGCCATTGTTGTTGTTCTTGTATTACGGTAGGCACGTGCATGGCAACGATGCCACCCCAAAACGGGCTGACAATATGAGCACACAGAAAACAAAATCACGGAATTATTTCGATCACTTATATCACAAAGAAGCGTGTTAGAAATTTAATAATATTTTAGAAAAATAAATTGATAAATAATTACATGTTTAAGGGTAATAAATGTATGTCAACTACAAGTTTATAACTTCTTTAGTTATATCATAAACATTTTTTCAGCTTACGTATTATAATACTATTTAATAAAATTACAGTAAAGTGTTGAAATAGTATTAAACATCTTCACCCAGTATTTAACTCTTTAAAGTTTAATAAGATTTCATTTTGAGCAAACATATTATGTTAAGTGATAATATTACAACATTTATTTTTGCCAGTGCACTGTTGAGAGTGCAGAGAGTATTCCCAAAGCGATCCACTCGCAGCAGGGCGGCCTTTTAGCAGGGGAATCGATGTTTGCCATGCAGCTTAGAATTAAAATAGCGCACGCATCCGAGGCCAAATCCAAGCGCAAAACTTCGCATCGAGTGAATCGGAGAAGGCAACAAAAGTCTCAGAAGTGCGCCAGCCACGCGAGCATTGTCCTCCTTGGCCCTGATGTCCTGTCGTCCTTTCGTGCCGCCATCCCGAAGTCCTGAAAGGGCACGCAGATACAAAACTTCAGCAACGAGGCTGCGAATTCCAACCCCGTCGGGTGGGCAAAGTCCTCCCCCTCCTGCGATGCGTTGCCAACTTATCCTTGTCACTCACAAATGCCGCCTTATTTGCGATTCGATAAAGTGAGAAAAAAGGAAACTGGAAATCAAGCCATCAAAAGAATGAAGGTTGATTAATCTGGGACAAGCCTATTCAAGCGGATTAGTTCGTGTCGGTTAGAGGTTTCTCTACGGCTATCACCATCCATCAGTTCGGAGTGCATTTTCAATATTTATTGTGAATATGATCTCTGCACTCACGAACAATGAAGATTTCTGTCTTTCATAGAGAGTGTTTTTATTATAATCCTTATTGTTTTATTTTTTGGGATGAAAGCTTTTCTTTAAAAGATTGCATGATATCACTTTATGATCCTATGAGAAGATATCTTTCTAAGTATAATAAAAAAGGATGAATGAATTAATGATAATTAAATGGGGTTAGGCAATTCACAGCTAACTGAAATCTAAAGAGCTCTCTAGAAAATAAGTATTACAATAAATTTGGTCATTGTAATGATTCCAGGTACTCGTTTCTCCTAATTTGATTTGATTTTTTAGCCACTTTTCCATTTCTTAGCGTGTATTGCTCGTAATCTCCTTCGACTGCTCTGATTTCTGCGCTCCAAGGCGTTCTTGGCACAAATTTGCACTCGACAAACACCCAGGAGAACCCGAGGAGAACCCGGGGAGTGCCGTTCCCCAACCATCGAGATCTGTATCGCACTCCAACAAATCACCCACGTGCCCCCCGTTGAGGATTGAGGGGTACGCATTCTGTTTGTTGTTTGTTCCCTGGCTAACCCTTAAGTGCATCTTTTTATGGTAATTTCAAGAGCACGGCCCCAACTCTGAACCCAAATCTGTCTGCGTGTCCTGGCTGGCATCCATCCTCTGCTCCCTGGGCGACTCCTTGGCAATAATTAATGTTCGAAAATGCATCGTTTATGCGGCATAATGCATTTTCATTTCCATTCTCGTTTTCATCTGGCTGTGTGTGTCTCAAAAGGCTTTTCAGCGTTCAGCTTTCAGCTTTTGAGCCTGCAAGCCGCGTGCACTTTTGCTTGGGCAGCTCCTCAAGGATCCACTCCACTTGTAGCACATGTTGCCCATTGTGGCGACGGGCTGCCTTTTTGGGGTTCAGACCCGTCAATCCTTTCGCCTGCCACTGAGCTGTAATTAAATTTTTCGCTTTCATAATTTCATGCAATTTCTGCTGCTCGAGCAGGAAACTGATTTGGTTTCCAGGGCGTGAAGGTTTTTTAATTGCATTTCGTTTGCCTGGCGGAAGGGGCGAAATCTGCTACCAATTTGCATTACTCCATTGGGTATTAAAATCGAAAGCTCCAAATTCGCCATATCACCGGGAGATTTATCTGCACAAAGGCCAATCACAGCGTGAATGCTTTAATGAATATCTATCCCATTGAGTTTGAGGTAGTTCTACAAAAGCTAATTCCTATTGAAGTAAAACATAAAGTGGTTGAACCTTAGAATAAATTTTAATTGGAAATAAGCTGAAACTCTAAACCAAAAGCATTTTTATCATGTCATAAAGAAATTTGAGTTTATTTTATCTCTGCAAATACAAACTAACCCTCTAAAATAAGGGAAGTCTTGTCATCATTATAATAAACGCCCTCCAGTTGTGCATCGTACTCAAATTTAAATAAAAACAATTATAATTTTTTAGCTCCATAATTATATGCAATTTACAATTGCAGCTCGAATTTTTAAGGGTGTGAATATTTTTTAATTGCATTTCCGAAGAGTGATGACGGGGATTTAATTATTTCTTTTTACTGACTGCGTTTAAAATTGAAATTCTAATAAGCCAATTGCAGCATGTGTGTGGCCTTAGACAGGGCTATCCATCGGGCTTAAGGAATTTGCTCGCAAATCCCTCTCGAAGTAAACAAAACTCCCCGGAAAACTGCGAGTGACTAACCCCCGGGAAAACCTGGCATAATTATGGTCGTATTCCTTCAGTTGTGCAGCGTGCATAAATATAAGTACACACAATAAAACTGCGCCGCAGGACACAGAAGCCCACAGAGCGAGCGAGACGGAGAGCTGGGAATTCATAGAGGGGATAAAAAAACAATCACAATTCACAATTTTGTCGGGTGTCGAAGTGCTCCGGGCACGCGACCGTCGACCACCGTTCATTTGCCGCTGCTGCTAATGTCCTCTGCCAAGGATTGTAAACTGCGAATTGGTCCGGTGCACATACGGCGGCATGTGCGCCGAGAAATCACAATGCAACCACCACGGTCACAATCCCAGAGCCCAAAACCCAAACCCAAACCCAAACCCAAACCCACAGCGATACCGAATCCGCGCTCCGAGTTGCGAGTTGCGAGTTGCGAGCTGCGAGCTGCCAGTTCCTAGTTTCCCCCGCCAGAAGTCGAAGTCCTAGGCAGAGCAATCGAAGCCGAAAATTCAGCCAGGTGCATTTTCAAACACCAAAACACAACACACGAGCCACATAGCAGCACCACTATGAACAGGGTGGCAGGGGAACACAGTGAGGACTGGCTATAAGGAACGAAATTTTAAAATAAAATTGCAGATCAAAACTGAGTTGAATTTATTTCTTATGAATATTTGTTAAGAAATATTTATGGTTCTTGACACAACATTCTTATGATCATTGGTTATTGATATTATGATGAAATATTTTTCCTTTTAAAAAGGTTAGTCATATCTTGAAAGAAATAATCCTTTAAATAACTTACGTTTTTAAATATTTTAATTTATTTTTCAACTCAAAGATATGCTTTAGTTCATAAGAATTTCTTGTAGTATCTCAGATCATCGATCTATTTTTTACTGTAAACGCTATAAAGCAGAGCTCAAGCGTGGCGCGATTTTTATATCGCTCGGGTCTGAGGCTGTTGCTGATTTGGAATAGGGTTTAAAGCACTGCGCTCTTAGGGGTGGCTAAATGCACCCAGAAGGGCAGGGGCTGCTCCGCTGGCATATCCGCATGTCAGTCACAGTGCATGAATGTCTAGGGAGGTTTACAGCGGCAGCGAAATATAAAATATTTCATTTTTACCCCTTGGCTCACTTATCAGACTATGCATATAAAATTCCAATTGGACGCGTTCACCGCAAAAGGACGAAGCCAAAGGAGGTGGGTCCGAACACTCCCTTCGTGTTTAATGCCTGAGCCTGCCAAGATCCTGTACAGGATTCCCCCTCAAGCTGATGCAGCACAACAAAAAATAATGATTAACTAATATAGGTTATAATAATTATAAGAAACAAAAATCATTTTGATACATTTAGAGAAATATGAATGGCTACAAAACTGAGAAGAGTGATACTTTGAGAAATATTTTGTCAGGATTAAATGCTCTTTTTTTGCTTATGTCTGATTTTTTCTCTTAGTGTCCCTCTGCTGCTGTGTGAAAATTGCACGACTTGCGCTTCTGCTTTTGACAATGGCCTCACATTAACTAGTTTCCGCTGCACTCCCGATGCCGAACCCAATCCCAATCCCAATGCCGATGCCAGTTCCACTTTTAATGAGTAACTGTGCACGGAGCAGTGCGAAATGGGAACTTCATTACAAAAGCACCCCAGTCGCAGGACCCTTCCTTCCAGCGGCATCGTCCTGGGCCGCTTCCTGTTTGGTTTGTTTCAATTAAATCGCATGTGCGACCCACGGACGGGCGCAGGATACCAGGGCAGGCATTAAAACAGAGGCGCAGGACACATTGCAGGACACATGGCTCATCTGTTACTTAATCATGGCATTGCCATGGATGCGCGTACCTTGAACTGCGAGGGTGTCGCATTTGAGCCCGACCTTTGAGCAGCCAGTACTGATATTTATTGTTATTGCCCTGGGGGCGAACGAGATTTCTCCGCCATTCGATGGTCGGAGAAAGCCTGTCTTAAAGTCCTTGTGAGATTCAGATTTTGTGGCTTTTCCCAGGTCTTGAATTGCCCATTCAAGTGGAAGTGGAATTCATGATTGATTTATAGTTGCTTATGACAGAATAATTGGCCTACTCATTGGGTATGAAAGTTTCTGTCTCGAAATGATTTATGGAATTCTATGCAATCAGAATCAGAATACGGAATTTAAAATCTTTTGAGGAACCATTAATGATTAAAAAGGAGTAAAGAAAGAAATAAATGAATGTTCTTCCTTGCATGTTTAATGTTGATATTTGGCGACTAAGTAAGGATTATAAACTAGACTAGACAAGAAAGTTTTGGCTCACACACATTGATTATTAGATGTGCCAAAAGAGGTAATACTTAAAAGGTTTTGATGGTTCGTTCGTCAACTCATTCGCATCCTTGGCAATTGTTTAGTAGAAGTAATCCACGTAATCGTAGGTTGGAAGGGAGGCATTGCTCCAGCCGAACTGATACCGAATCAGAGCATCCAGTTGGCCCACATCCACGCCGAGTCGCTGGAGTTCGCCAGTGATGGCTTTGCCGGCCGGAGTGGCCAAAACCCTTTCGTAAACTGGACGCAGGGCCACCAGACGTCTCCAGAGTTCCGAGAGGAGGGGACTAGTTTGCGAGGCACTCGGTTCCAGGAGACTGCGAATGAGTTGCACTGGGTAAATGCGCGAGAGATCGCTCTGGAAGCCCTGAATTCCATGGGCAAGCTGTGGCCAGAAGGGATACTTATTGAAGACCTTGATCTCCAGTTCCAGATAGTCGAACACCTTGAGGGAACCACCGGACAAGACCAGCTGTTGGTTGAGCCACTGCAGCAGTTGTCTTACTTCAGGTTGGTTGGTCAACTGCCGGTAGAATCGATAGGCGGACACCGAGTTCACTGTCCTGATCAATCCCTGGAACTCCACATCGTTAAGCAGATAGATCCGAACTAGATCCTCGATGTTGTCCTTTGGTATTTGACGGATAACTGCCCTCAGTTCCAGGGCAAAGTTGCTCGGGGCAGCCAGAGTTCCATTGGATCGAATTGGTGCCAGAAGAGCAGGAGTGGCAGCCGGAAAAGCCGCCAGGCAAGTGAAAGCCAGCAAAGTTAGACCGATGAACTGCATCCTGATCTGGGTTCACTTCTAGAACTAGTTAGCTTCTCCCATTCATCCGCCGCTTTTATAGCGAAATCAGATCTCTGTTATCTGACTTTCTGTTTGTGGCTTAGCTCCACAGTGGACACTCTTATCGGAGACAGTTTGCTTTACAATATCTGACGTGGTCCACACGGGTGGGAAAGCAGAAGATCTTGCCAAGTGCCAAGATAAAGGGAGTCTATTTACAACCCTTAGTCATTGGGGTTTGCTAAGCAGACTCACTTCAACTAGCAAGACTTAGTTTAACCCAGTGTAAGAATTTAAAAAAGTTTTATCAACTAAAGATTGACTACGAAAAAAAGAAAACGAATTTCATTCATACCTAAGGAAGCCACATACAAAACAATAAAAACAAACCATATAATTTGCATACAAAAACAGCTTCTGTTTGATTTAAGCAAATTCGTTGACTGATTTTGGACACGTACTTGAGATAACAGAGACAAAACAAAAAACTTGAACAAGTTTTCAAAACTATACCAGCCAGATGACTTCGCAGTCAATAAATCGCGGTTGTCGCACCTGGCGGAATTCAGTGACATATTTTTGTAAATCAAACAGACTAAAATTCAAAGGAAAAGAAAGTGAAGATAAGAAAAGTCCCAATTCTACACAGTGCAATTATCAACAATAAAGTGTGCAAATAAAATACCAACAGTGATGTCACTCTCAGAATAACGAAAATTACTCATCAAAAATGTTTTGAAAAGAAATAGATATGAATCTTCCCTGATTAAAAACAAAACATAGCAAAGGGAACAATGAATTCCAACCGTCAGATGAATACGTCAAATTGTAGTCAATAATCTCTGAATGAGATCTCCAAAACAACATTTGGAGGACTTCCTTTGGTCAAGTGCAGTCCTTTGGATTCTGGGAGAAAAGCGCACAGCCTGAGCATGTAAATCGACAGATGTGTGTGGGTAATTAGTTCGTTAGTTAGCCTCACCCGATCGCATATCCGGTCCAGGCGACATTAGTTCCACTCGAGGGGAGACCTAAAGGAATGTTACATGCACACGCAGACTGAAAGGTAATTAGGATTGGCCAGGACACGCCTCCTCTTCTAAACCTACTGAAAACAATAGAGAAAATTCCAATTGAGCAGGAAACTGACAGATTTGCTGTATAATTTCGAAATTATCAAACTTTCGAGAGAGTCTGTGGAACTGGGGAATTCAAAGAGATGCAGGACGAAGCCACCCCAAAAAAAATATATATACTATATAGTATGTAACTGGGAGGATAGGGAGATTTAGGGTGATTTTGGTCAGGGGGTTGGTTTTAGTTCGCGCGAGCATAAGTATTTTTGTTTGCCAGGGGCGATCGCATGTTTGGTTATCGGAATGGTGAGGGGAGTTGGGTTGGCAGCTGCAAAAAAAGGAAACCCATAAACGTTCCCCCTTGCAGTGCTTGATAAATCATGTGTAAAGGTATTTGCTGAAAGTTCGGGTTTTCGGGTTTTCATTTTATATCTACTAGGTTCGATTGGCGGCAGCTGCAGCTGAAAATCCTGATGCTGCCAGCGGAAAAGCGGAAAAGCCAGTGTTGCCATGGTGTGGACGTAAAAAAACAAAGCCAGCTCGTCGAAGAAAATATTTCGTTTTTAATTGATTTGGCATGCTTCAATTTAACGCTTCGCTGCCACTTCCTTTTTTGCATGCGAGTGCTGCACGTGTCCTTTTTTTAGTTTTCTATAAATTTCAATATTTTTTTTCAGACATATATGTTAAAAGCAAGAACGGGCATTTCCGCTTTATGACATGCCAATGAGTCAGAGTCGCGAGGGGAACCTGAACCTGAACCTGAGGTTCTACACACCTCTTTCGCTACAGGTATGTCTTGGGGTAATTCCTTTTCTTCGAAAACCCCTCCCCTTTTTATTTGGCATGCGTCGAAAAGGCGAAGGGCGAGAAGTCAGTGAATATTTTTCAGGGGTTGCTCGGTGGGTTTTTCTTATAAGAAGCATTCCTCAGCCGGAAGAAGCGAGCAACACGTCCAAGACATTGTTGAGTCACCACTGAAATTATTATTACCCCCGGGGAACGCCCCGCTCATCCACACTTTACCCCTGTGTGCCGGCATTTATTCCCTGCCATTCAAAGGACCTGAGGAACCTTCAGGATCAGCGTTCTTATCGGAGGCGCCTTCTTCGGGGCTTGTCCTTTTAGGGTCCTTTCATTCAGACATTCATTCATTCCCTGCTCACCTAATTGAGATGTGGGAAAGGAGAAGGAAAGGATAGGGAGGACGACAAACCAGAACGAGCCCATAAAAGGGGCAATTCCTTTTGCCGAGTAAGTGCCAATTGTAGGTTTCACTTTAGGCTACAAATTGAAACGCCCCTTGCCAGGACTTCTTCCCTCCGCGTTCCTCCTTCGTCCTTTGTTTACCTATTCTCGGTCTGCCTTGGCTTCCCTCTTCCCTCGAGGAGAAGCCATTAAATTGATTATAAGACATTGTTGAAATGTGTGAACTGCTCCGTCTCAGACATTCGGTCGCCGAGGGAAGTCCCCTTTTTGTCTCCGTTTCTCCGTTTCAGCGTCTGGTTTCTCGTTTGCTCAGTTTCTCGCCTTCTCGCCTTCTCAGTTTCTCCCCTTAAGTGTGTGGGAATTTCTGGAGGGCGTGGCACAATTGAGTGAAGTCGAAGCTGAGGATTTTAACTAATTAGAGGGGTAGAACGGTGCTGCTCACAAAAAATAGGTGTTGAGGGACCGTTTGAGTCGGTAATGGGTTCACCTCAAGGGGTTAATGAAGGTAACGGAGTCGTTCCTGTTTTCCTTGGGCAGTAAGGTGTGTCTGAGCTGATTACCAAGGAGTTGCCTGCGAGAAGTCAGCTGAAACCACAGCTCATAATGTACTGTTCGTGGGGTTAATGCTCGCAAATGAATCAAGGTGTCAACGCAGATCGTCTTGGGGGAATTTTGAAATAATACAAAAGGGATTAGGGTAAAGAGACTAAAGTTGAGTATATAGGATTATTACAGAAAGGGTATTTACACAGAAAATTAAATGATACACTGAGAAATATATTGAAGATCAGAGGCAAAAGATAAAGGAAGGAATTGGTAAAGAAAATAAGTAGTAAATCACGATAACATTACTTTGAACATTTTACAATACAAATAAAGAACCAATAAAGCAATAGAGGTGTGTCTCCCTATAATTGTAGATTCCAAGTTAGACAATCAAACAAATACAAAATCAAATGCAAATTTTTATACAAAGGTCCAATGACTTTCCCCGCCCCTCGCATCCTGTTCAGCTGGAAAAGTCAGCAGCTGCCACCACCGAACCTTTATCGCAATCACTGATAGCAGCTACAAGCCAGAAATCTGTCGGGAGCCTGTTTACGGCCCGTTAACCAGGACACGTGTGTCGCTGCATTAGCATATACAGCATATAAAGGATAGGAACAGGGATAGAAATAGGGAGCTATGCGTCGAAAGCTCCCTCCACAAAAAACCCATGCAAATGGGCGACTATTAGGGTAAACAAAGCAAGCGGCGCAGGCGCAACTGGGGTTCCAAATTCCGAGTTCTGAAACTGGGTTGGGCACGTTCCAAATTTCTTTCTTTTTCAAAAAAAGGCCGCAACCCCCGGTGCTTAGATAACTGCACACAGGCATATCGAAGTGCCAGCTGCCGGCTGCTTTGCCAAAAACGAGTTTATCCTTATCCAACGAATTGAGGACTCTCGAACACTCGCGTGCCGTCAGTCCGGTTGCCGCCCCTTCGAGCTCATTTCGTTGCTCATAAATAACAATGCAATGATCCCCAGGTATTTTTCACGTGTTTGGCACGTTTCACTCGATTTTCCGGTTCTCAATTCCCTCAATTCTCTCCACTAATCCCCCCAGGAAAGGAGGAAAGAAGGTCGCTGGCTGAGGCACGCGTCCCCTTTGATAAATTGTGCTTTAAAGCGCAGGGCTCGCAGGGCTTTTTTGGATGCTGGTTTCTGGAGCAAACGCCTTGACAAATGGCCAAAACAACTCCGGAGGACAGGACTCGACGACGAAGACGAACCATTGTCTGCCTTATTGCTGGAATAAATCTTCATCGTCTGCCGGCTCCTGGTTTATTTATCAAGGCGGAGCAATTACATTAAGTCAGCCGGGGTTATCGGACACAACCTGGGACCAATATCGCAGCTGGGCATGCATCTCCCGGAAGTCCAGGCGCGGTGGCAGCTTCGGTGGCCCCACTGGTTGGCCGAAAACTCTTACGCGGTGCAGGAAGAACTCCCACAGGTCGAAGGCGTAGTCGCTCGCCGGGTGGAAGCTGATCAGGGAACTGGAGCAGCAGGCCTGGGACTGAAACACAAGAGGCAGGAAAAGAAAACTAAGTAATTAATTTGCTTAAAATACATTCAAATGAAATAAATTTGCAATTATAACGAACTGAAACTTTATGTCTTTGTCAAAGATGCTGGTAATAGGTCTTTATATATAAACTATATAGATGATTCTTATACCTTACCGTTGGCTTAAAGTAAAGCGACTTTGAGTACTGTTTCCATTTAGTCAACCCGCGTCCAATCCAATGGGGCATCAAGGGAAGGAATCTTTCCTGTCCCTGACCATCTCGAGATTTTCCAGCAATCACTTTCACATTATCCAAACATTGACCAATTTGTCGGTCCTCAGATTTGTAGGAGGAGTTCAACTCTTGTCCACATAAATTTGAGTCATTAAAAGCAAATAGATTAAGGCGGCGCAGGGCACCTCTGCTCAAGACATATCCAGCTTCACCGGACATATAACCCTGAGAAGAGTTCGACTTAAGTCGGTGTCCAAAATATATGGACGATTCCGGATCGTAGCGGTAGAGAAAGCGTCTCAGATTTTCCATAATCACAAAACTATAAAAGTGTTTATTATAAAATTACCAATATAACGAAGAATATTGTATTTTATTAAATAATCAAACTCACGTTTTTGTATCCACCCGAAGAAACCAATCGTAGCCATTAATGTATTTCTTATAGATGTATTGAAATCCTTCCTTTACTGTGGCAAAGGTGTTATTATCCATTTTACTGTCCTTCTTAAAAACAATCTTATTGCACCTTCTGCCCCATGAAAATTTTACCTTGGCCTTCATTTTCCCATAATCTAGGGGATCTTCTAAAACCAAACAAAGGATTCGTGTCTGATTGAAGATTCTTGCAGCTGGGTTATCTGGTTTTGGTTTATTCTTTTTCAAAATCGTTGATTGCATGTGGCTAAAGTCCCAGTATTCTGTCAGCTGATTGCCTATCATCAGGCCGAGAACCAGAAAAAATGCATTGCGAAACATTAGAAAAGTATCAGTAAACTAAATTTAACAGAGAACAAACAAAGCTTTTAGGAACCATAAAATTTTAATTTTCCAGATATTAATGTAAACAAAAGGCGGTGAAGAGTACCGAGGGATTTTACAGTGGTTCAGAATAGAAATATTAGTAAACTCTAATCAGTAAACAGATTTCTGACGGAAACTTTTTAGTTGTTAATACTTTATTGCTAATCATTGCGAGTTTTTGGGCAGGATTTTTTATAATATCTACGGTTATCCTTTGTTGTCGGTGACTTGGTGAGCCCAGTATTGCAGACGCTCGTTTATTTGCCTGAATCCCAAGCGCGATGGAAGAGCTCTTTGCGACCTGTGTGTTCCAAAGACACTTAAGTAATACAAAAAGAATTCGAAAAACTCGAAGTCGACGTCTCTGACATAATGGAAAGATATGGCCGAGGCAGAACAGCAGTCGCTTCTCTTGAAAAATAATTCATAAATATAAGATTGGTGGGTAGAATAAAGCATAGATTCTCACATTTGGTTTGTGAAAGAAGTAGCTATCCATCCACGAACCAACTTCGTATTCGGGCATCAACTGAAATGGGCTGACGGGCAAGAAGCGGTGTCGTGCATGGAAGTCCCTGGTGTCCCCCGCTATAACACCCACGTCCTGCAGGCAATGACCGATCTGAAGGTCCTCGGAGTCGCCATTCAGCTTGCAGGTGGTGGTGCTATTCAGAGCGAACAGATTCAGGCGACGCAGGGCATCCCGGCTGAGCACATAGCCACCGCCACCGGACATGTAACCCTGGGAATAGCTTGATTTGAATCGGCAGCCAAAGTAAACAGAAGATTCCGGGTCGTAGGGATATAGAAACAGGCGCAGATTCTCCATTACAATGTAACTGAAAAGGGATAGTATTTATTAATTACTATATTATAATTAATAATAATAATTATTAAAAGTTATTTTATTTTCTTACGTGTCATCATCAGCCTTCAGGAACCAATCGTATTCATTTAGGTGATGTTTGTGGGCAAAGGCCATTCCCGTTCGCACCTTGGCGTACAGATTCTGTCGGTATTCGGGTATGTTCATCTTGAGGATATTCAGATGCGGATCCGTTTTGCTGCTCATGAAGATCAGCTTGTTGCAGCGGGCTCCCCACGTGCGATTCACCCGAGCCGCTTTTGTGGCATGCGAAGAAGGCATGGTGAGCACCAGGCAGAGGATGCGCACCTCCCTTTTCAGCCAGGTGGCCAGGTGCTTCTCCGTGGCCACCGGATACTTCATCAGGGCCGCCTTTTCGCTCGCCCTCAGATCGTTATCCCTCCACAGCTTCAAGTAGCCAACGAAGTCCGTGAGTCGTACGCCGATAATAATGCCCAGCACCAAGAACAAAGTATTCCGAATCATTACCAGGAGCATTTTGGACTGCGATGAGAGCGATAAGAGCACTGGCTGGACAGAGCCCATGCTGTGACTAACTGGCACATCAAATTAATTTCGAATTTTCCACTAGAGAGTGCATGAAGAGAAACTTCTTCAGTAGTAGTCCAAATTCTCTGGCAGTAGTTGGGTTCGGCACATATTTTTTTTGGTTTAAAGCTTAGAGATCGAAATGCTCCGTTCACAAACCAAAACCAAAGATTCTTTACTTGGAATGAAATTTAATTCAAAATTTAGGATTCGATAGAATTTTCTGCTAATTATAAATATAACGATTTTTTGATTTTTCCCATCGGAAAAAATTAACTAATTGTAAGTCCATAACTTTTTCAATTTTAATCAGATTCTAAACGCTTCTATTTTAATTATTTTGCCAACTGACGGAGTCGTCAAATTCGTTTATAAAAAGGGTATTAAGAAGTATAAAAACAGTTATGTCAACAGTGAGTCTTATATTTCTAACTGGCTAAAGAAAAGCCTTAAAAAGTTAACAGATAATATATCTTATTATTCCTGTGTAAGCCAGGAGTTAGGATTCGTGCTATTTTGCTGCGACCAATAGTTAAGCTGGTTCTGCAGTTGATGGTTATCCAGTCTGGGTGGCAGTGGTCTCTGGGATAAAGGAGTTCCGAAAACACGCAGTCGATACAGCAGGAACTCAAACATTTCGAACTCGTGTTTCTTGACGTAGTGAAAGCTAATTCCCGTGCTCGAGCCAGTTTCATTTACCTGAAAAACATAATAACAATATTAAAAAAATATAAGTACTAAGAGAATTTAAGTAAGCTTACTGGTTTATAAAAGGTAAGTTTCGGCAGCCAGTTTTCGGTGGGAAAAGTGGGCAGCATGTGTTGCAGGGACATGGGCAGAAATCGATCTCGACCTTCCTCATCTCGGGAGTCGCCAGCCACCACGCCCACATTTTGCAGGCAGAAGCCAATCTGCCTGTCCTCCGACATCTCGTTGAGCGGACAGAAGCGGGTGTTGTTGAAGGCAAACAGATTGAGTCGACGCAGTGCATCACGACTGATCACGTAGCCAGCTCCGCCGGACATGTAGCCCTGCGGGAAGTTTGTGCGGAATCGGTGGCCAAAGTACAAAGCTGCCTCGGGATCGTAGGGATAGAGCAGGAATCGCAGGTTCTCCATTATCACAAATCTATAAAAAAAAATTTAAAATAAAAATTTTAAAATACAATTTAAAATATGTAAATATAGATATTTGTAGACAGTACTTACGTATCATCGTCTGCCTTGAGGAACCAGTCGTAATCCTCTCCGTATGTCTGATATGCATACTCCAGCGCCTTTCTCATTTTCAGATACAGATTATTTCGATCTTCCGGCACGCCCACATCGATGGCGCCCAGCTCCCGGTCCTCCTGGCTGCTGACGAAGATCAGCCTGTTGCAGCGCCTGCCCCAAGTGGTTTTCACCCTGTGGGCCCTGGATTGGTGGTTCTTCGGCATGGTCAGCACCAAGCAGAGCACCCGCGTCTCGTTGTGGAGCCATCTGGCCAGCTCCTCCTCCGTCGGCAGCTGGGGTGTGGCCTCATCTTCGAGTTGCGTGATCGCCGTGCTGCCGAAGTGCGTTTCGGGCAGCTGGAAGTACTCGAAGAAGTCCGTCAGCCGGATGCCGATGATCAGGCCCAGAGCCAGGCAGAGCACATTGCGATACATGGCGAGTGCGAGTGATCCGGGCAGCGATTAACCAGCTCCGGCTGGCATTTGACGACGCTCCGGAGGGGAATTTTGGTGGGCAGCGGAGTGGGGATCTTACAAAGTGAGCCGGGGGCACAGCGAGTGCATTTCGCGGTGTCGCTCATCGCCGCCAGCTGATCAACGACTGCTCGATGGCTCACAAGCAAACAGTTTAAAGAGTCTCCCCCAACAGAGAAAGAAATCGGTAATTAAAATCACTGCAAGAAAAATATTTCAATTTAGAAAATACTATAATATAAGCAGACGAAAAATTTAAAAAATATAGTTTACATATTAGGAATTTATAAAATGTTGTTTTAAAGAAATAAAATTAAAGCTAAAATTCTTTGAAATATTACTAATGTTACTTCCTACATTTTAAAGCCAATCGACAACCAATAATTATTGTTCAGGTCAATTTCCAAAGTTTTATATTCAATCGTCAAAATTTGAAACACATTAAAAACCATTAATCATGTGCATCTATGAAAATATTAATAACCAAACGGAACCAACTAATTCAAGGAGATATAAAAATAAATCAAACTATTAATTATGATGCTAAAACGGAAACTATTTTATGAATATGTTTTATTTAGTTTAACGAGGTTTATTGATATGTTTTACGCTCTGTGCACTCTTCTCTCAGCCCGGCTGAAACAAGTTTTCGACTTTGGCTTGTGATTGGCATTTGTAATGAGTCACACGTGGAGCCATCGTCTTCGCTCCTCTGTCGTTTGTCGCATTTCAGCAAATCTTTCAAATAGTCAACAATAGGAAATCAAAACAACGCTCTCGTTGGATCGAAGCCTACACTAAACGACGGTTGACTAGGCGCCGAATAGTTTCCCTTTCCCTTTCTTGGGCCAAGATCGTCCAGAGCATCGCCAGCTATTTTTGGGGCCGACCGGTTTTAAGCCTCCTCTTGACCCACTCCGGCATAAGTTAGCGCCTCTCGCCCACCGTAATAATCCAATTTGATCCACCGAGCCGAACCGCACCGCACCGCACCGATTTGCTCGTGGCAATGAAATCACTCAATTTGTTTTATTGCTAGATAATCTTTCATTTCATTTCTTTTGTTTACGTTTTGCTTTCCATGGTACAATATTATCCGTTTGTTATAATTACTTAGTACAACTGAATTCGTTTTAGTTTGTAGATTTACTTTAGCATGGTTTCTTTAGACTAAATGTGGACTAATTACTTTGCTTCACATTGATTTGTTAATTATTTCGCATTGTTAAACATCTAGTGTCTTGTTACTCTCGTTTTTGGCCAGCGCTTTGCTCTTCAATCATGTCTGTCTGGCCTCAGAAAACTTGGTTACAAAACTTTTAATATTAGTTTGTCTGCTGCTAAACGTACTTATAGCTGCTATATTATTCCGATTTCTTCTCAGATTACACGCTATTCTTCAATATACGTTTAGTAAGTGCACTTGCCAATTTCTGTTTATCGGAGGAGCCTTTTGCCAGTGGCCTCAAAAAGTAGGAAAAGGTAGCAAAATAAACAAAAATTGCCCGGTGAACTCAATTACAAAAGTTTCCACACCTGACCATAAGCAAAAAATGTTCGTACTTATTTTTAGTTAGTTACACAGCCTTAGAAACTACTTAAAAGTTAAAACATACATAAATCGGGACAACATATATCAAAAGAAGATTACAAAAAGGTTATCAAAAGTCACAAGGAAAACATATTTGGGATTTATAAAAAAACAGGACATAGGAACAGTGCGTTTTAAGAATATTGGGCAGTTAGAGGTTCACAAAACAAGACTGATGCATTGGTAAATATAAACTAAATTTAGTTTTCAATTTCAATTAAGCTTTAAAACACACTCTTCGGATTACACATAACAATAAGAGCCGGGTTAATTGTGAATAAGTTTTAAAATATGAATAAACAATTCTTTTTTTGGAGTATTCCATAAATTATATAACAATTATGAAAAAAAAAAATGATAATGCATTGAAGCAAAAATGTTACAATTTTACGTCTTTAGTTGTATTGTTAATCCTAAATGTTTTTTCGTTTATGTTTGACATTCTAATTTCGCTTGCAAAAATATATGTTAATGGTAATTCAACTTTTTCAATCTTTCCATTGTTTGCTTTGCTTGGTTTTTGTATAAATTGGATTTATAAATTTATATGTATTGTATTTTTGTTGGTTTTCTGTTTAGTTTTACGGTTTTAGCTTGGCTTTAGACTACACATATCATAATTGTTTTTTATATTCCTTTCCTTTAACATTTCGTTACGTTTTGTGGTTGTATTTTTTTTTCATTTTTCGTATAGTTTTAGGAACCAATTTGTAACTAGCAAAACGCAGACGCGCACAAGTTTCTATAAAAAATGTTTTCCTATAATTTGGCTTACAATTAGTTCATATTTGTATAACATCAAAATATATATATTTAGATTTAAACTTATGGTTTCGCTTTTGTGTCCTATTCATAATATACATCATATATGTCAATGCATTCATCTAGTATTCGGTTAGCTTAAATATTTTCCAAGATTTTCGCTTGTCCCTCACTACCGAAGTACTGGTACTTAAGTAGATTACAGGTTTATAATCCTACCGATGAAGAAATTCCAAACATTTTCGGAATCCTAAAAACCTTGCAGGGCTGACCAAAAGTATGCAATGGTATTTCGTCAATTGCCTGGTTTTGACACCCAAATCAAATTCTTAGGTCACCGAAAATGTTTTCAACTCTCCGATTGATAAGTAATTACTAATTGATTAACTTTAAATATTCCTTTCTCGTTATGCAGCTGACTATACAAAGCTTTGACAAGTTATATGTTTTTCTTATTTAAATTCCTTCTTTTTTTTTGTAAATTTTTAGATGTTTTAACATTGGCACGATATCTATAAATAATATATATGCGTTTATATAGCTTAAGAAAATATATATGGGTGTATACGTTTGTTAGACAGCTATTAACTAGTATGATTGATTAGTTTTAGTTTTGACCCGATTACATATATATTTATTTTTCCCTTTCAAATCTTTCGTTTCAATACCAACACATTTCTCTAACATGATGTACAAATTAAATGCTAGACCTAGGAAAAGTAAGTTAAGAAGAACTCGAATATCATGAGGGCAAACAACGAATCCAAGTCAGGGACAGTTCCCAAAAAAGTTTCACTAACTATGAATAACAAGTTCCGTATATATGTATGAATCTACCTTCCGTAACTGATTGCGTGTAAAACTAAACAACATATAAAATAAATTACAAAATGAACGCGTATTTAACTTGTTTAATTGCTTATGGCCAAAGTCTCAACGGATGGGGAGTTGTGGCGATGGAGCTGCTGGCTATCATAATGGTGTTTTTGCGGGTTCGGAACGGCTGTTCTGCATTTTTCGCGATGGAGAGATAAACTATCTCTTGCAGGCCATTAATTGTAGTAATAACTATTTTAAAATATTTGTTTTTTATGCTTTTAAAGCCTATTTTCCGTATTCTTTTTCTTGTTTCAATTTATTTTTGATTATTGTCCTTATTTTGAAAAAAAGTTTGTATTTTCGAAAAGCCGTTCCCAACCCTGTAGCCGCCATCACTCCGCCGCTTCAAGGGAAATTAATTATGGGCGTGTAGTTCAGCCTTCAATCATGACCTGGCTGATGCTGCTGTTCTAATTACTCTTTTTGGCGAAAAGACCCTATTTTTTTAAAGCATATTCAAAGCATTCGATATATTGTGGCTGGGTTGTTTTGTTTAAATGCATGCTGCATGCCGCGAAACTGATCAACTACAATATATGATTATTTGTGTATATATACAGCTCTAAGCGTTTGTCATAACATATCGAGAAAAAAATTAATATATTTGAGGGCTTTCCTAGCAGCTATGCACACTCAACTACGATTAAGGGCTAAGACCTTTTTGTGCCTCAGATAATTGGGGTTTCGCTGTTGTAGATTTAGCACTAGGTAATATGATAATTTGCTCGCTGTTTAGTTTACAGAGCTTCTTCGCTCCCTCAACACTTTGTACAAAGTTTTCGTTCCAACGAGTTTTGCTTATGTTTCTGCTCAATCTTAATTCTAGTCTAGCTTAGAGCTAAGTTTCTTTCTCACACAATCGCACTCTTACACACGGACATGCGCTTTGGACTTTTGGCTTAAATATATACCGCTCGAATATATCTAATTGTTAATTTGTATACGTATATGCATAAAAAACCAAGCTCGCACTCTTTCTCTCGCTCACACGGACTGACACAAAAAATATATATGTAGTATATCGCCTAACACTTAAAGTTCTGATGTATTTTACAACGCCCCGTTGCGGTCGCACTTCATTTGTTGTCCCCGGCATTCGATGATGAGGAGCTGCTGCCCAAGCCTCCGCCCGATCCTCCGCCATTGGTGGTCTGCTGCTGCGATTGCTGCTGCGGCGGCAGGGTGTCCGAGCGACGGTAGTACAGAAGGTAGGGCACCCGAGGGGTGTGCGGCTGCAGGACGTGCTTCTCGCTGACCGGCTTCACCGAGCTGTCGTCGTAGCGCAGCCAGCTGCTGTAGCCCGTGTGGAACACGTCCGTGATGTAGTGGCCCTTCGAGGCCTCCTTGCCGTCGTGATAGACAACCGCGAACAGGCGATAGGCGCGCTGCTTCTGCGAAGTCTTCTTCGAGCCGAGGATTTCTGTAACGAAAAGATTATTAAAGGAAATCGGGTACAGTGGATTTGAATGCAACTTACTGGCATCGATCTTCAGTTCCACTGGGAACTCCACCTTCTTCAAGATCTTTGTGCAACCATCAGACCGGTAGTCAAAGTACTTTAAATGCAATATGAGGACGACGGGCAGCTTCTCCAGCGTCATCTGCTGCCAGGCCACCACTTCCTGTTTGGTCTTGCTGCCGGTGACGCCCTCCAGCTGATCGCGACCCACAAGGATCTCCAGTGCCTCCTTTACAGATGCAGCTTTCTGTAGGGAAAAATATATATTCGAAATTAGTTGAGCAATTTAATTAAGCATTAAAGAAAAATTAAAATTAAAATTTGCAGTTGTTTGTGCCCACTCAGTAGTGACAAATTGTTTTAGGTAGAAGTGTCGTAAAAAAGCGGAGCACGTGCACCAACCCCATCGTAAATAGTGACTATCGCCAGAACGGAGACAGTCGCCAAACGAAGGCGGGGTTAATGGCATTTCATCTTCCACGAACGTAACACAGACGCCGGCTGGCAAACGGTGCCGAAGTGTCTGTTGACTTGTCTGTGGCTCGGCTTTGAATGATTTACTAACAATAAAAACAATGACTAAGGCCTAAATCAAATTTCACACTAATGACAATATTTAGCCTAGTAGCTTCTAAAGAACTTAAATGGATGCATTTTGTGCCTTCGTTGTTAGTAAATCAAAAAACACAATGACACACAAAACTCACTTCTATGTTCAGTTGAAGCGTGAAGAATGGCTGAATCACATCCGTGGAGTGTTCTCCCTCGCGTTGGAGTCGGGAACGCAGTTCTCCGCGGAAAATATCGCTCACGGGAGTGCGGCCAAAGTCAGTTTGACGAGTGACGCTGCCCTTGTTACGGTTGTTGCAAATCATCTGGTGGGAAAAGTATTTAATTAACTGGAATTATATTGGGAATACCATTCACCTACCTGCCAGACATCGCCGCCATCCTCTTGCTCCGCTGGCTCCTGTCCATTCTGCTGGGGCGTGGGTTTGTCAATCAGTTTAATCACCTGCAAAAAAATAAACAATAGTCAATGAGTAACCAGTTAGAATAACATTTTGCTATACCCACCTCAAGCATTTCATCGTTAAGCTTGTTGAGCACATAGCCCAGGAATTCCTCGGCATCCTCCTGGCGGCCTTCAACATGCTCCTCGCGACTGTCGTTCCACAGTTTGTAGATCTCTGTGGGCTCGAAGGCCATGTCGCACTGCAGATCCGAGCCAACAAACTCGTCCTTGCCCTTGTTCTGGGATCCCTTGTTGATGTTGTTCAGGCGCAGGCGCAAACCGCTGGGCAGCGATGAAAAGTTAGTCATGAATGACATCCTATTCGGAGAAAAATGGGAGTTAATTGTACTTTCAACTTTGAATTTATCATTAACATTTAAAACATAACATATGTAAAAGTGTTTGTGATCGCTTTCAAAGAGGAAATCCATTAAAAGAGACATCCTCTGCTCTAAAGCGGAACACTTGCATCGACCCCAACATTCAGCAGTTACCGCCAGAACGGAGGCAACCAGAGAATGCAGGCGGGGACGGTGGCTTTCTTCTTCCACGAACGTAACACAGACGCCGGCTGGCAATTGGTGCCGAAGAGTCTGTTGACTTGCCTGTGGCTTGGCCTTAATGGGCATGAGTTGCCATAATAGTAGCAAGCACTATGCAATTACAAAAGTGTCCCAACTTTGTAGTAATAAATGGCACACGGATGATACTCATATAATTTCTCAGTAAACTTACATGGCGTTCACAGTGGGCGTTTTGACCTCGCTCAAGACAGCTGCCTGCTTAGGAATAGAGCGCAGCAGGTTGTAGAACGGCGAGCAGCCGAGTAGGGCCTGCAGGATCGAGTTGATGTAGCAGTAGTTGGACCTGTTGGTCAGTCCCCGGGGACGCAGGCTGATCTGGGCCAAGTTGGTCTTGTGGCGCGTCAGGAACTCGGCGTACTTGTTGGTCCACTCATCCAATTGTTGCTGCACCGGACGCAGTTGCTCCGGTTTCAGAGGCTTCACGGACGCCGAGGCGGGACTGGGAGCCGGCACAGCCTGGGCAGAGGCCGCCGAATAGGAGAGCACTCCGGGGGTGACCAGCGGCGTGGTTGGCGCCGGCACTGGAGCTGGCAACTGCGACTGCTGGTGGGCCGTGGGCAGGGGCAAGTTCTGCGCAGGTGGTGCCACTTGCACAACAGGAGCCGCCACTTGAGTTGGCTGCGGAGGAGCGAGTTGGAGCACTGGATGCGATTGCTGCTGCTGTTGCTGCAAAGGTTTGCTGGCCTCGTAGGGCGCCACCTTGGCCACGGGCTTGTTGCTGGTAAACAAACCTGCCCACGAGAGCTGGGCACTGTCGTTGCTGTTCTGCGAAGCTGGTGGGGCAGGCGGGGCAAGATTGAGCGGCGGCTGCGGGTTGGCCGACGAGCTGGAGGCCACCACGGAGCTCAGGGCCACGGCTTCGTAGCTCTGGTGCTTCTTAGCAGCGTAGGTGCTGTAGGATTTGGCTGGTGGCGCTGCTGCTGCTGCGGTTGCTGCTGCTGCTACGGGCACATGTTGCTGCGGGGCAGGCTGATGCTGCTGCTGCGGGGCAGTCTGCTGTTGCTGCGTGGCAGCTGCTGTTGGCGCACTGATGCTGCTAGTCTCCTGCTGGAATTGATTTGGTGTGGCCGTGATGCTGGCCGTTGAGGTAGTTGCTGGTGTGGCTGCCACTGGCGCTGCGATTGCAGCTGCTGCTGCTGTTGCTGGTGGAGCTGCTCCCTGCTGGCTGTTCTTGCGCTCCAACGTCGGAGCTGTGCTGGCCACCGGCGACGAGGGCACCTTCATGGTGCCATAGTTGCGCACCTGCGGCTGGTTGCTGCTGCTGCTGGAGCTGTTGCTGCCGCTGCTGCTGTTGTTGTTGTAGCTGCTCTGGTTCTGGTAGTGTTGCTGCTGCTGCTGGTAGTGCTGTTGGTTGGTGAACGTCTTCGTTCCGTAGTTGGACTTGCCCACCGGTCCACTGGCAACACCCACTCCCGATCCGTTGTTCACATTGTTGGGCGAGGCAGTGACCGAAACCGACTGTGTGGACTTTTTGTGCTGAGCGGAATTGGTCCAGGACATGCTCTTGGTGGTCTGGATGCCCGTGTCGCTGCTGCCGTGCTGGTGGTGGTGGTGGTTGTACTCCGAGGAGTACTTGCGACGCACCTGTTGCTGCTGCGATTGATTGTATTGCTGCGATGGCTTTCGCTGCGGCTGAGGCTGCTGTTGCTGCTGCTGCGGCATCTGATGTTGCTCATGGTAGCTGGTCTGCTGCGATGCTTGTTGCTGCTGCTGCTGCTGTGGCGGCGCCACCACCGGCGATGTTTGTTGCTGTTGATGTTGCTGCGGAGCTGGCTGATGCTGTTGCTGTGGTGCAGGCTGTTGCTGTTGCAGTTGAGGTGCCACTGTTGCTACGACAAGGTTTGGCACTTTTGTTGGCGGCTTTTCAATCTGCAGCGGGGCTAATTGCTGATGTTGCTGCTGCTGCTGCTGTTGATGCGGCTGATGTTGCTGCTTCGGCTGGTGTGGCTGCTTGTCCTTCTGCTGTAGCTCCTGCTGTTTCTGCTGCTCTTGCTGCTGCTGATGGAACTCCAATTCAATTTGCTGCTGCTTCTCCTTGACCAACTTTTCATCCAAGGCCACCTCGTTGTTGTTGTTTACCACACTCTTCTCAACTGGAAAAGCGCAAGAAGAAAGAAAGGAAATTGCAATCAATAAAAGCTTTCACTCTGACCTTAAATACGAGTAAGAACTTCGCAGCAGACGCTTTGAAATATGAGAAACATTTCAATTGCCACATGCAAACTAATTTACAAAATTATCATAATTGATGCCAATTGATGCTAAATGCTTAAAACTTTAACGAGCTCCGAAGGAATGTTGCTGATGGCAACGCGGGCAACGCCAACCACATAAGGGAATTTTTGGAAGCCACAGCAATTAATGCCTAATTAAACCCTCAATTGAATTGTTCTGTGAAGAACTGAGAAGTGATACAAACAATATCCAGAGTAAATGCGGATAACTGACTGTTAATCTTTGCAAATGTGTATATACATATAATGGGAAAAGACAAAAAGAGAGCATACCCCCTTTTTTCGATCCCCTGGGGATTGGCCATATAAAGATAGTCCAATATCTGCAGCGGACATTGTTTTCACGTCCGCTTTTCTGCTTTATTTGTGCTGATAAGCGGCCATCGATTGCAGCTATCAGTGCAAATAGAAAACATAACTAATCCATGTCAAACTCAAGTAGGGAAAAAACAACACGAGAGTAGTAGAGAGTGGATCCCATTTACGGGCATTCGATGGGCCAAATTGTTATTAAATCACTTTCCGATTGCCCTGTTGCTAGGTGTTTGAACTTCGCACTCGACCCTGATATGGGGCACAAGATAAACGGCATGGCCAGTCACTCCCGGCTCGATAAGAACCACAATGTAGAGCCGGAACAAGGTTAACCAAACAACGGGGCAATGGGAGTCAACATCCATGTGATCTCCCATCCCAGAATCAATGCAAACAGATCGCTCCTTAACTTGTTCAATGTGGAGTTGGGATTATTATTGAAATTTACCAGCGATATTAATTCATTGAAATGTAAACCGATTACAAATTCCATGAGAATTGGCTTTTTCAAAACAACAAATGTAATCTGTGGGATACGTATTGCAAACATAATAATCACTTGAGTTTTCCATATGTTTCAGAAAACATTTAAATTTATTTTTACTTTTGTTGTACATGCCAACACAATTTAAAAACCACATAAAATATGAACTCTGTCAGTGACTTACATGCTGCAGTTCTTGTTTATTTCTAAATTTGTTCAAGTAGTTTTCTTAAAACTCGAAATTTTTTTCATTAGTCAAATCTCAGCTTTCAAGACAACTTTTTCAGGGCAGTCTGTACTTGTTTCTATCATTATTATTTATATCTGTTCGGCGTTCTAAAAGTGCTAAAACTGGAGGCATATCGAATATATTTAAACAACTTCTTTCGGTTCTCTCACAAGAGCTATGTTTGGCGGGGAATTAGATAGGACCCACTAACTAAGTGCTCTTGATTTCAGCATTTGGCAATATAAAGCCGTTGTTAAACGCCCATTTATCAGATATATGTGCTCCCCGTGAGACTCCCCCGTCAAAGGCATCATATGACAATGAGACCACCCCCCATTTCCCCCTCTGCGGAATTTCGAGTGTGCGAATTAATTTCAATTAGCGCCTAACAAGCCGAGAACTAAGTGTGCAGTGTTATTCAATAAATATAGGTGAAATCGAGCAAATCGAGTGCGAATATTGTATGGAAATGTGTGGAGCAGCAGCAGCTGAGATTAATGCATTAAAATAGTTGCAAATGTATAGTGGAAATCTGTGCCAGGGTGTCAGTTTGGGTGCAATAACAACAGCTATTGAACGTGTTGCCATAACGATTCAGTAGAGGGGGACGGATAGAGTTGGGATCGAGTGAAAGAGAGCGAGAGATTCGCACTGTCACAAGGTTGGATGGATAATTACAGACATGAGTGCACAGGTAAATTGCAATAAGTTGACTGCAGCAACAAAAGCAAACAGGGAAATTGTCAGGCACGAAACAGCTATATAATACAAAAACGCAACGAGACTGTACTTATTTTTCATTTGTTATTCCATGTTCCATGTGATAAATGAAAAATCGACGGCGTCGGGGGGACAAAACAATGTCAATCCATTAGAATTACCCCTCTTGCCATAGTTCAGTTCAACTAACCCACTCGTCTTGAAAATTCCACTTTTGTTTTCATTTGTATAACAGTTTGCCCGCCAAGCTTCATTAATTCAAATGAATTTGTTTTCCTGTCTCAAATTGCACTTCATCAAGCCATATAAATAAAGTTTAGGAGAAATTAAATGAGATTTTGTAATTGTTTTCCCTTTTCTTAAATTGAAAACAAACGTTCAATGAAAATGGGTCAGCTTTTGGTTCATTTACGGGCATTCCACCTCCCTCCTACCATTATTCATTTGTTGCTGTTATTGAACGCGCGATTTTATTCAATTTTTTATTAGCTAGCAACAAAAAGGGGAGGAACAAAAAGGGGGAAGGGGGCCGAGACCCGGTCTATGAGTAATTTATGCTTATTGAGCTTCGATTCGATCCGAGAGCCACAAATTGTAAACACGATATGGGTGCTTTTTAATTGATAGAATCAACAACAAGCAAAAATAGAAACATCCCCGGAGTCTATAGTTTAAAAGCCAGTAAAATAGGACCACAAATAAATTATCAAGATATAATTATAATGTGAAAAATGTGAAAAAAAACACCAAGCCAAATGATTCGATTTTTATAATTAAGTAAAACATGTTTAAGGACAACAACTTACACTTTAAGTAAGCAATGTAGGAATTTAATATCAATCATCAACATATATCATATATCAAATTATTCATTTTCTTCTCAATGCTTGGCATCTTTTTCAACTTACTCAAAACAAAAGCAAACCAAAGTGCGGGGAGACTAAAGTTTATTTAGGAGAACAAAGAAATCAGTACAGTAAAGAACACAAAACAAATATGCACTAATGACACATACAAATGGCATGTAATCGCTGATATTTACTTTAATTTTAGAACCTCTTCTCTTTTTATAATAGTTAAAAACATTTATGTTTTTGATAATTAAAAGCATTTGCATTTTAAAGACAAATAAAAAAGGCAGGATGAGGTGAAAAGGATATTTTGAATTTACCATCCCACGAGGCGTATGCGTAATATGAGTCACCCACATTCTCTGCCCTCAATATTGATTGAAATGGCCAGCATGCGATTTAACGAATGGTTTCTCATCATAAGGCGTGTTCCCGGCACTTTAATTGTCACTGCCCCATTGAAATTGATAAGTAATCTGCTCAAGCGTTGGATCATTGAGTGGGGTAAACAAGGGGGTATATGAGGGCTACAAAGCAACATACTAAACAAAGAAGAATGAGCACAGTTTCCACCGCCTGGCAACAGAGCCAAAAACGAATTGTAGCAGCAATTCAATTGAATTCATTTGTGTCAATTTACAATAAATAATACCCAAAGCAGAGAAGACAAGCCAACAATGCTAAAAACAATAAGTGAAATTGACTGCAAACGAAAATTGCATAATTCTTTGGGCCACGCGACCTTCGCCGAAGAAGAAAAACAAACTATTAAGTTTTCGGTGTGGATAGAGGGGTTAAGGTTCCGCCACCTTATCGCCAAATTATTTACGAGTTGGCGGCTGTTGACGGTTTATTTTAAAGTGGCTTTAAAGCATAAACTGATAAGCATCGATGGTGCGACGAAAACCCAAAGAAGTTAAGGTAAACTGACAGCCGAGGAATCCAAGGATTCGCTCTGAAATATATCCTTCGCTTGCCGCCCACCCGCTGTCTGCATTAACATATAAATGCGTGTAACAGATTAAGAAGGACGAGAGCTCGCTTCTGTGGAACTCTATGTACAGTTGAACTCATAAATGAAAGAGATTAGCGGTCTTAAAAAATTTTATTTGTACAATAAATAAAAAAAATAATAAAATTATAATATTTCTTATTTTGTGTGGATATTTGCCACATGCTAAAAATAACACTTTTGTAAAGTTTAAGACTGCTGATGTAACTTGTTTTCATGTTAGACGTTTTCTTGTCCAAGTTCGACTGTATATGCCAGATACGCAATGATATACCTGACAGGTACAGAGGCCAGGCTCATCGGCAAATACAGGCGATGCATACCAAGCAACGCAACAAGTTGAGCGGGAAAAAAACGACAAGGTAAAAAACTGGCAGTCAAAGCAACCAACTGCGTCATTTTGAAAACACAATATTCTACAAGCTGTATTTTTGTATCTGTCGCCATGTATCTGTATCTGAATCGAAGCAATGGCAAGGAAAGCGTTGTCAGCGTAAAAAAAAAACGCTTAGCAGACAAACAAAGCGAGAAAAGCATTGACTGAACAACACGGCGTATGCGCAATTTTCATTTTCATTAACAAAGAAAGCGCGGGTCTAGAAGAGGGGGGTTGCTATCAAGGGGTTGTCTTAACGGCGTGCTGCTAAAGAGGTGGGGGTGCAATAATTGAAGAGTCATCACTGGTTCATTCAACCTTTTTAACAACGAGGAAATAAAGAAAGAGGGAAAGCTCTTGGCCAGCTGGAGAAATCTTTTCAATGTTCTTGCCTTTATAAAGCTCTCCTCTCAGCAGAAAATTGAATAGTTCAAGGATAGTTTATTCATTACTCAAAGTGAACATCTGCGACAGTGGAAAAAATAGAAGCGCTCTTTACTCAACCCCCTTTTACAATATATACCAATTTTTAATTTTTAGGTCAAAATTTACGAATTAAAAGAATATATTTTTAGATTCAAACCTACTTTTTTTTTTGAATTAAATGAATTAATTTTTGCAGTGCATTTCTCTTTTCACCCATAATCAACTTGCTTACAGATGGTTTTTTTTTGGCACAGACTGCAGTCCAAATTCTGCTTTAAATGGGGCAGCTAATTCACAAAGACACCTGGTGCAGACGCCCACAAATCCGACCCCTGCGTTTATTCTCAACCCCAGTGAAAAACTTTCTACACGTGTCGGCCGACCTTCTGTTTTCACATTTTCCCAAAGTCCTGTGTAGTTTGCATTTAGTGCACCATGCATTTTTAATGAAAATGCAAACCCAAAGTAACCACACGCATTGCGGTATAACAGTTTTGCGGCGATTACCGTTATTTGGTATTATATTTCAGTCAAGTTAGGTTAACTGTAATTTGCTGGCACACACAGATTGTTGGTAAAGATTGGAGGCGTTGGCCATTTGAGTCCCACGTAATGCTTTAATAACAGAGCAAACAAATTGAGTTAGGGAAACGGAACAGAACTAGAATACTAAGCCGGAGGAAGAGCCAAAGTGGCGCCCTCTGGCGTTGACCCACAATATCGGCTACGTGTGTGCCGAGGGGTTTCTTTTTTTCTCTATGTGTGCGTGTGTTTGACATGGAATTTTTATGAATGACATTGACCAACCACCCAAGAAGAAAAACTGCACACATCCCTCCGCCTGAAGAAAAAGAGAGGGCGAAAGAGAACGTGACAGAACGTCGGAAACAATCTCTTTAGCCGTATCTCCGCAACAACTACAAAAGAAGTGCTAACCAAGCCGAAAAACTGTTATAAACCAGAAGGCAAAAAATCACATTTTACGATTTTACGACCTGGCAACAGACGAAAAAACTTGATAAACAAAAACGAAATAACTACAAAATATCTCAAAAGGCCTTATCAGCTGCGTGTCGAATGCATTTTATTATTTAGTTGGGCCAACTCTCAACGATAATGCTCGGATTATACAATTTGTCGGCGCCTAAAAGGCGGCAGACAAAAATAACACTTTCACCCAACACGCACTTTAAGAAACAGTAGGACCTCTGTAAGTGCTACTTTGAACAAGCCTAACCTTCTTATAACTTGACTGTAAAATGTTTACTTTGCTGTCTTGGGGTCAACAATTAAATTATTGCTGTACTATTTGTATTATAAGAAGTATTTACTTCAAGAAACTTCCATTTGCAAAGTCTCTAGGCGGTGTTCTGTACACGGGAGCGTGGGTTATGAAAAGTAAAAGTCTTTGGGGGGAATACAGTTAACCTTTAACCTAAATCGCCAGTGAAGAGCAACAGTTTCGGCGCTCTTTGATATTTTTTCCACTGTTATACGACTGTTATACGGTAGTACAATTTCAACGGTAGACATGTGGCAAGGCGGTTACCGGTTTTTCAGGCTTTACCTTTTCAAATCAAAGAAATGAAAACAACAAAAAAAAGGGAGAAACACAAAAAGACAACCCTTAGGCAAACAAAGAGGGGTTGTTTGTCTTGTCTCTCTCATTCTCTCTGTGATTTGTTTTTGTTACAATCAGCTGTTTTTTGGGGGGCGAGAGGGCGAGCGAGAGAGCGTGAGTGGAGCTTGCGCTCTGTGAGCTTGAACTTCAAATGCACCGAACGAGAGAGCGAAAGAGAGAGAGCGAGTGTTTTTACAGAATTTAGAATTTGCCTTTGTATATCGTATAACAGTCGCTTTTTGCTGGCGTTACGAAGAATTTTCATTTTCATTTCGCAGCGAACGGCGTACCAGTCCAGAACAGAAATCGGGGACTTAAAAATCGGTTGACCGAATCGGAGATTGTTATTTTTTGCCTAATTTGCAAAAAAAATAAAATTCGCTAAAATGCAACTGCAGCTAAAAGTTGTCGAGTAGTGTGCGTGTGTGTCCGAGTGTGTGTGTGGGCTTTTTATCGATCACACGCTTCCGCACTCCACTCTTCTTCGTTTTTCCCCATCTGTCCCCACGCCGCTCAAACCCACTCTCCCCAACGAATTCAAAGTTGAAAATCGGAAAATTATACAATTGCATTCGCAAATTACGACGTATACACGTACGTACAGCACCCCCGAAAAAACTGAGGAAATCAGAAAAACGCAAAATCAAAGTCAAAGAAAACCAGACGAAAAAGCAAGGAAAACATCTAAGGAAAACAAACATTTTCTAGTGACCTCAGCTGTAGCTGCAAGTGCAAGTTAAAAATACACAAACAAAGCGGAAATAACCGAAAAAAAATTTCAAGCACAAAGGCATAAAACAGTAACAGTAAACCAGCACAAAGTTAAGCCAAAGTTGAATTGGAGCTGAAATATTTACTCGTACAGTTAAAGGCAACTATCATCTAATATTTACTTAAATACAGGCAGCCCACGCCTTTTATCGCTTGTGAATTTAATTTATCAAACTAAACGAAAACAAAAACTCAATAACAATTGACACACTCGCACACACACACACAAAAGCACACAGAACTGCAGTGGGAGAGCGCAAAGAAAAAGAGATTGGGGAGAGGCAGATAAACTTGGGCTCTCTTGGACTGCTTTGGCATTCGCACGCGGACAGCGACGCCAATCGGACGTTCCTCCTCCTCCCTTTCTCGCCTTCTTCCGCTCCACCTTTAAAACTCCACCAAACCGCGTGTGTGCTTCGAAAACAGTTAGTCGCCGTTAACCCTTAGGCCCACCACCATGGTGGATATAAACAGTTCAAATCCTGGGAATCTCGGGGGAAATTCCGCTTCGTCGGCGCGTTTACGGAGGTTCGAGCGAACGGACAGCGAGTTGGCCTGCGAAGAGGCGGCCAGACTAACGGCCGAACAGAGTCCCGAGGATGAGGACAACCAGGACAATGAGGAGGAGGACGAGGACGAAGAGAGTGTCTACGGGGAGCTGCCGCCTCCGCCGGACGGAGGATACGGCTGGGTCATCTGCTTCGCCAGCTTCATGTGCAACATGATCGTGGACGGCATAGCTTACACATTTGGCATTTTTCTGGAGGAGTTCGTGGCCTACTTCCACGAGGGCAAGGGCACGGTGGCCTGGGTGGGAAGTCTCCTTTCCGGAGTTTACCTCAGTGCCGGACCCATTGTCTCAGCCCTGGCCAACAAGTACGGATGTCGAGCTGTCTGCATAGCGGGCAGCATAATCGCCTGCATCGCCTTCGTTCTAAGTACCTTCAGTGCCAATGTGAGCATGTTGATGGCCACCTATGGTTTCATGGGAGGATTCGGCTTCGGCATGATCTATCTGCCAGCTGTGGTTGCAGTGGGCTATTACTTTGAGACCAAGCGGAGCTTGGCCACGGGAATCGCGGTTTGTGGTTCCGGATTCGGTACTTTCGCCTTTGCCCCGCTGGCCACCTATCTCCTGGAGGAGTTCGGCTGGAAGAACGCCCTGCTCATTTTCGCGGGTCTTATTCTCAATTGTGCCATCTTTGGCGCCATGATGCGACCCCTGACCTATCCAAAGAAGAAGAAACAGAAGCCCCTAATGCAAAGGATGTACGAGGAGAAGCAGCTGCAGCTGGAAAGGGGATCCTTTGCGGGCTCCCATTTTATGGTGCAGCTTCCGGACGGAACCATGGAGCGGAAGCTCAAGATGCCACTGAACGCGGATCCCGGCGTGCATTCCAGCTTAAATCTGGAGCTATTGGCTCAACAGGCTGGCGGCGGCGGAGGTCTGCATCCCGTTTCCACTCTGCCCACCATCACGGAGTCCAAAGTGGTGGATGTTCATCGGCAGAACGGAGCACAATCTCCGCCAAATGGTGACAGCAATGGCCAGTTATCCGCTCGATCTGCTCGTCGCCCGCACAGGAGCTCCGAGTCCGAGAACAGCCCGTATCATTCGCAGGACGCCATGACGCGAAATGCTTCCCAGCCAGCTTTCCTCGCCGGAGATCACCAGAGCTTGCCCAAAAACGGATCCGTGCCTGCCTTCAACACGCGGGTGAGGAAGACCTCTGCATCCGAGCGCTATCAACCCTCGTTGGCCGCCATTCGAGCTTCTTCTCGCGGAGATCTGGAGGCCGGAGCTGGCGGCGATTACGCCTCATCCAAGTTGTCGCTCTCGCAAAGGCAGGGCAGTCAATCGGGCAGCAGCGGCAGGATGGTGCGTCCCATGTCACGCAAGGATATCTTCTACTCCGGCTCGGTGACGAACCTGCCCCAGTATCAATCCCAGAAATCGCTGACCAACTACAGGAACTCGGTTCTATCGCTGACTAAGTACGAGAAGAGCATGCAGAGCGTGGCCAAACTGGATCCCCTGGCGGAGGCCGAGAAACACCGTGAGGAATACGACCTGTGTCCCTGTCTAGGCATTCCTGATTCCGTAAAATCGGTGGTCAACACCATGCTGGATGTGAGCCTGCTGAAGGATCCCGTCTTTATGCTGATCGGAGTTTCGAATATCTTCGGCATGGCCGGCCTATATGTGCCCTTCGTCTACCTGGTGGATGCCGCCAGGGAGCACGATATCCCGAAGAACGATGCCGCCATGCTGCTGTCCATCATCGGAATCACCAACACAGTGGGTCGTGTGTTCTGCGGCTGGGTGGCGGATCTGCCTCAGGTGAACTCGCTGCTACTCAACAACTGCTGCCTTCTGGTATCCACGATTGCCGTGACCCTGACCCCACTGTGCCACAGTTATGCGGCCTACATAACCATGTCCATATTCTTTGGACTGGCCATCTCGGGCTACATCTCGCTAACGTCAATTATCCTGGTCGACCTGCTCGGCCTGGACAAGCTCACAAATGCCTTCGGATTGCTGATCCTGTTCAGAGGATTTGCCGCCCTGATCGGAACGCCTTTGGCGGGAGCCATCTACGATATAACGCACACCTACGACCTGCCTTTTTACATGGCCGGTGCTCTGTTCGGGATCTCCACGATAACCAGTTTCCTTGCGCCCTGCCTGAAGCGATGCAGTCCCTCCGAGGAGACGCCCGTTCATGTGGAGACCCTCACGCCAATCGACGAGGAGCAGGGCGAGGACGCCGAGGAGGAGGACGAGGATCAGCCCATCACCATTGTGCCCAAGATCATCAAGACACTGGCGAGTCCACAGCAGGAGGAGGGACATCCGCAGTTCCCCCAGAAGACAAGCGAATCGAAGCTCTAAGCGGGCTAATGAATTTACAGGGGTCATTGCGAAGCTCAAGATCCGGTGAGATATTTTTCTATTTACTTATACAGCAGAGGGAGGAGATCAGAGATCGAGCACACCTATATACAACGTGGAGGAGACCGGATATGTATAGCCAGCCCATACCATATATATATGTATACCTTTAAGCCTAGGCAACAGCGGAGGATGAGATGTGGAAAATGCACTTTTCTACCAGAAGAACTCAGCTTAGCTTGCGATAAGATATAGAAAACCTTCGGCTATATATAAACTATACTACGCTCATAAATTACCGATCGAAACTGATACCGATCGCTGGTAGATTGCAACTGTTATACAGAAACCACAAAATATTGTAAAGTAAATTCTATTATTATTATTTGTTTGTTAAACCCTACGATTACTATGATTACCATTATGATTACTATTAAAGATTATTGTGTACTACTACTAAATAGTTGTTGGCCAGGCGTTATAAATGTGTCATACCGTAGCGATATATAGCGTGTGTGTAAACTGTAAACTGTAGCTAAGTAGAAGTGGCCCGATCAACTTAAAAAGCATCAGCAACTATTTCGCAACTAACAAATTGTATATTTTATAAGGAGGAACGCTACACAAATAACAAGAAGCGAAAACACAAATGAACCGCATTAAGAACTAAAATTGTTTTCAATTTTACACTTATCATTTAGGTGGCAACTCAATACACTAAAAATACAAATTTACGGCTCATTTTTGTAAGTTACTAAGCTAAAGTCCAGCAACAGAAAAACCAAGAGAACATGAATTTTTAAGGCTTGTGTGTGTCTGTTTTTTAACTATCCAAATATATAGCCTAGTAGCTACGAACCATAAGCAATACGGCAAGTGCAGTTCTATACAATCGAAATTGTTCACGCGGCTAAAACTAATTAAACAGTATATATGATATGTACCACAAGAAATATTCTAAATCTGTTATACGCATAAGGACAAGAGCAACAACAAGTGAACGAGTGGGAAACACATCAAAAGTTACATTTAGAACAATAAGTGTTGAAAGAATGAGAAGAGCAGCCAGAATAGAAATAAAAGAAATTGCCATACATTTTAAAACTGTAAAACAAAAGTGTTTTTCCTGGGGTTTTTTTATGATAATAAATATACTTTTTTGTGCAGTGAATATTACGTTACTGTTTTACGTAATGTAACAGAAGAGAACAGAAAATATAAGAGTTTGCTTCTATTTGAATAAGTACTAAATAAGTACATAGAAGTAAATCGTAAAAGCTTTAGCACAGTTATAATCTCTCAGGGGAAGCGTGTGGCGCTCTAAAAACCATCGATCAAAAGTTCGCCTTGGTCTTAAAATATTGCGTTTATCAGGAAATTTAAAACCCTCCTTTCGATGTCGTGAAAAATCAGATCATAACGTGCTTACTCGTAAACCCTTCGCCCCAAATGATTAGCCTAATCAATTTGCCATGGGGGAGTTATGGCTGCACTTAGGCAACATTACTAATTGTGGGCAACTGGGGAAATAGTATCGCCTATCAATCTAGTCTGTGGACAAACACTTGGCGGTATCGGCACGCTGTTTATATGAATGACCGTCTAGAAAGCGAAGTGCTTTGAAAACACCCATAAAAGAAAAACCCCTCGGCTAGACTGAGCTCGTTCAACCAAACCCAGGCACAGATACAGATACGGGTAAAAAAAAAAAAAAACCAACTGGAACCCAATCAGTTTGCATTGCGAAGACCTCGTTTATTACGTGATTGATTCCTAGCTGTTCCATGTGCATTTAAGTACTGTAGCTAATAAAATAGCACTCAAAAAACACTGAAATAACCATAAATCAATCAAAAACTTGTAATTTTTGACAGTATTAGCCTCATGCGAAATCTGAGAGCCATATTTTTATTTGTCAAATTATCTTTTCCTTTTACTGAGTTTTTGAACTATAACTATATGTCAACTGTACACAAATGAGTTCTGAAATTAGACCTGAATCATTTGCAAACCGTTAAATTGGTGTTATTATATATTTTACTAATCAGTTTCCTTTCAGGTTTTATTTTAGGTACTAGCTCCACTTAAAGGGAACCATATATTCACTGCCTATTTGCCCTTTGTCTAGCAATTAAGCCGACACCAAGCAAATAGAGTTTGCCCCTTGGCTTAGATGAATCCCTTGCTCCGGTTTCATGACACACTCAATTACGATTCGTATGCGAGTGGTCGGCATTTCGCACTCAAAACAATATGTCCATTCGGTTGATAAGCATGAACAATGCTCACACAGCGAACGTGCAAACAAAAATAATAACAAAGCGCTGGACGGAAGCCACTTGTGGTGCTGATTAGAGAGTGGGTGATTGGGCTAAGCAAAGTGGTCAACAAGCTTAACACCTGTTGGAGGCTCCACGAGGGTTGGGCTCTAGCCTAAACCAAAGACCCAAGGCAAAATCCCAACCAAAAACAATCGGAGGCCTGGCAACAAAACGAGTCCGAATAATTAAGGCCCAGAAACTATGGCAAAATTGTTGACATCAACGCTGTTCCCCAGAGACTTCTCAGCTATATATATCTTGTGACACCCGAGAAGAGTGTAAGCCAAGTAAAGAGAATATAGTAAAAAGAGAGCGTAGAAAGGCAAAAGTAAGCAAAATTGCATATAAACACGGCGGACAGAATACGCTATCGAGGGCATACCATCACAAATTCCAAAATACAACTTGAAAAAAACGCCTTTAAATAAGTGTGGAACAACACGAACACCAAACACTCTGGACATAAGTTCGGTTTAAAGTCCAACAAGAGCTATTGTAGGTTTTATCTTGAACCATTGTGGCCTCCTTTCAAAACAATAACAAGATAAACGAAAATTCATTTGTGATGCGGGGATATCGCGTTTTGTTGGCTATGGTTTTCATTAGGCAGCAAGTGCGACAATAAAGGGCATCAAACTCAGTGGACAATTCTTATTTACAACTTACAATTTATTTTAAATTGAAATTATAATCAAGAGAAGCCATAACAAGTTCTAAAAAATTTCAAGCTGATCCCCCTCAGTGCAAGTGAAAATTTTGTGCCATCCCACAGATGCGCAAACGCTCATTCACTCAATGAACAATTAATTCTTATCAAGTGGCATCGACAGAAATGAGATTATTAACAATTGTGAAGGAAAACTAGTCAAAGTCCAAATCGGGTGGATTATAATTTCCAATAACAGAATGAATCACTAATCAATGTTGTGCACTCACCCATTTGCTCCTGATGCGGTTGTGCTTGCTGGGGAGTGGGTGTTGGGGGCTGCGAAGTAGGAGCCTGTTCGATTAACACGGGAGATGTTTGCTGTAAGATGTGGTGAGGGGGCAGCAACGCTTGCTGGACGCCATCCGGTGGCAGGGGCATGGCTGCGGTCCAGGCCACCGGAATAGCACCAGGCGGAGGAGCACCACACTCAGCTAGTTCGTCTTCGTACTATAAACAATAAATAAGGAGTTAATTAAGTGATCTTCTTTTTTAATAATATGCAAATAAGTGCATGCTAAACTCACCTGTGGCACTGCACCCGCTCCTGGATGAATTGGTTGCAGGGCGGCCATCTGGCCGTCGTCATAGATCTGCATAACGCCCATCTGATGCTGAATTTCGTGCATTTGGGGATCGTAGATGGGGTAATTCGGACTGAGCATGCTCGACGTCTCCGAGGAGGGCAGCGAGGAGCTGTTGTGGTTCAGCTCGTCGCCCACACTGGCGACTCCTCCATTGGGATGTACAACAACCTGTTGCTGCTGTTGCTGATGTTGTTGCTGCTGCTGCTGGAGCACTTCGAAGTCCTCGGCGTACATGGGAGTTGAGTGCCAGATCTGGGTCATTCCACCGTCCGGCTGGGCGACCCGCTCATCGACTCCCGGCTGGCCAGCATCTTCGGGGACATACTGGTACTCAGCCGCGTGCATCATGGGGTAGATGTACCCGCCGGGATTGAACCACGTTGGATTGTACATCACCGGGCCGGAGATGAAGAGCGGTGTCCCGGTGGCCTGTTGGGCAGCAGTTGGATTCGGAGGAGGTTGCAAGCTTCCGTGCTGCGGTGCAAAGTAGGGCGAGGGATACGGGCCGTAGGAGTAGGGGGGAGGAGCATAGTACTGCGGCAGGTGCTGCATATGCGCCTCCGGCGGTGGCGGCATCTGCTGAGCCAACTGATCTGGCTGAAGCTGCAGACCGGGATTGGCTCCGTCAGGCGGCGGCATTTGCTGTTGCGGCGGCAGCGAGATCAGTTGCTGCTGCTGCTGCAGATGACGTGGCCCATGGTAGTTATTGCGTCGCGGTCCACCGCCTCCACGGTCTCGGCCGCGTCCCCGCGTACGTCCGCCACCCATTCCGGGAGTATGGGTATTCGGCGAGCCGCCCTGGGGTGCCAAGTTGATGGGCAAGGACTGTAGATGCGGCATAACGGTGTTGCCCTAAGGGGAGTTAAAAAAACTCCTGTCAGTAATGATGTTGAAATAATTTAAGGTGAAATAATAAAAAGTTGCAGATGCTCTGGGTTATACCAGCACATGAAAAGGAACTGAAACCCTATGATAAGCCCCCAACTTTTGTACCCACCTGATCAGGGGGTAATTCGCCGTGTCCAATGTAGTGGTGCTGACCTCCAGCCGAGTAAGCCGGAACGCCGTGCGGCCAGCCATGCAGATTCACATTGGCAGTGACGTTGTTCACGAAGACGGTGTTGCTGGGCAACGGGGCGGGTATCATGGCCGGGTAATGGGCTCCGGCGTGCGGATGTCCTCCGTGGGCGGACATGAAGACGGGTGGATTGTACACGGGCTGTCCGGCCGGAGTGAAGGCCTGGACGGGTGTCATTAGATTGTTGTTCCCGGAGGGCGAAACCAGAGTGTTGTTGTTGTTATTGTTGCTGGGTCCGCTAACTCCAACCGGCTGTGGCGTCGAGGGCGTTGAGATGGGCGTTGCTGATCCCCCGCCTGCTCCGGAAGCCGCTGCTCCGGTTCCAGCCGCCGTAGAGGACGACGGCGTCGACGTGGACGGCGCTGCCTGCTGCTGCGGCTGCGTTTGCTGCGCCATGGCTAAAAAGCCAAAGGTTCGGAATTTGGCTCAGGTCCTGATTGGATTGATTTGCGGCTTAGATGAGTCTCAAGAGTCGCAACAGGTGCCAAACATTGAAATTGTTGTTTGCTGTTACGAAAAAAAATAAACAATAAATACAATATATAAAAAAAATGTATTAGTGTGGTGTGTTATATTCATTGTTATTGCAAAAGATTCTTAATTCTTTAAAAAGATTATTTGCCAAAATGTAATAGTTCTTCTATGACGTATGTATCCTTATCTACCAAATATTTTAAAAGAGTTTAAACACACATATTTTTTAAACCTTAATAAGGATTTCATTCAATATTAAGCAAATTACAGTAAACTCATAAGCAAACACCAAAAAATGTAGAATTGGGGACCAAAATACTTGAGCCGCAGCAGGTGTTAATTTTCCAAACGACCACAGTAACTTGCACAAAACAATGGCAATAATGAGTAAAATTAGCCACATCTGCGGGCGGCTAAGCACATTTTTTCCGTTTTCGGACACGGGTAAATTCTAATTAAATGCGATTTTCAATTCACGCCACTCCGCGTGCCGCAGCCCCAAATTAATATGGCAACGCCGCACAGCTGTCGGTGTAATAAGAAAATCAAATAAACAGAGCAAAAGAGACAGCAAATGCGAATGGGGCCTTTGGATGGGGGTGACTAAAAAGCAGACACATCAAAAAATCCTCTTAATCAAAACAAAACGAAGACGCAGCGATTGAATATCATATCTTTTGGTCAGTTTTGTGGTGCCACACGCCGCCCGCTAGTGATGAGCTGCCGAACCGATTCGCCGGCTCACGAAAATATCGGTCACGAATGTAACAGGTTCAAAGGGCTAATTTGTTGGATTTACTAGGTTACAATACATAATTGCACGGCAAATAGATGGGTTCATGAAGATTTATTAGCTTTAATGGTTTTTCAGTGGTTCTTATTCAAACTTTCCCCTTACTTTTTCAGAACTTGGACATTACTCATCTCTGCCGAACACAACACACACAGCCGCGCACACACGCATTCACACTCACGCACATGAAGAGGCAGGGCAAGTAAAAGAAATTGGAATATAACTTTTGCTGGAAGTAAAGAGCCGAGGTTTTTCGAGAGTTTTCCAGGGATTCGGAAAGTTTAGCTCTCGACGGCTTACAAAACAAAGTAAGCCGGGCTTTCGGTTACTTAGGGTTAGTATTAGGGCTGGGGGAGGACGACTTTATCGAACGTACCTTTTGTTGAGTGGCCAATTGAAATCAATTTTGCAATTTGATCATATTTTATGCGTGCGGCAGTCTCTCTCTTCTCTCGCTCTCCCAATTCTCACTCTCTTTCGCTCTTTCTCCGCGCGGTGCCACGATAATTCCGCAAGTTTTACACGCTGCGTGCTCCAATTTTGTTGCTCCAACAAATTAACACTGAAACACGAAGGTTCGCGGGGTCACAGGTCACGGGCACGGGGGCGAGAGATTACCGGTTAGTTCGGCATTCGCTCTCTTTGTTGGCGATCCGTTTTTCGCTGCTGGCCCGCAAAACGTTTTATTGTTCTTTATTTTTCGGCCGAAAAACCTCTTCCTGCTGCCAGGGTTGTTGCACATCGATGACAGTGCGATAATTGGCGGCTCTTGCTATCGATGGGCAGGGTAGCCACCCGAGGCGTCATCGGTCGACATAGTGTGGCAACGCTGATTCAGTTTGGCGGGCCCTTTGAACATGCAATATTAGAAAGTTCTGTGTTCTGAATTCCTTAATTTAACCCTCTAATGCCACTTTCCACAAAAACGCATGTGAAATGAGTGCCTCAAGGCACTCTTGGGGCTTAGAGGGTTAAGTCCACTGCTAATGAAACAAACCTTTCTAGATATTAGACACACAGTTTTTGATTTTATTTATGCAATATTAATTATGCAATGAACATTTTTACAAAATTTGCTGCACATCAACCGGTTTTCGTTTTCGAAGCTGGCTCCGTCATTTTTAATTTGTGGTTTAATATGGGTTTCTGTGGGGCTTTCAACACTTACGGAACAAGAAACGTTGTAATTGCTTGGCTTACAAATAAACACTCAGATATACATATAATCGTATAGGTACTTTAATGTCGGGATAAACACTGAGAGCGTAAAACTAATTATGTGTATCGAACATAATCCGTGTTCCGATTGCTTTCCATTGACTCGATTTCCATTCGCTGTTGACCAATTTGTAAAACAATTTGCCTAATCAGTCTTTACTATAAGCTGATTGTACTTTTTACAGGGTATGCAGAAGTATCGCATTTAGTTGGCCTCGCCCGCGTGTTTAGATCGTTGTGACTACAAATCCTCGTTGAGATTAACATTAACAGTAACCGATAAATAGTAATAACGTGATATATCTCATATTCTAACAATAGGAAGACTAGTGCCGACAGCTGCGATTAAAATAAATTTTGAACAGTTTTGAAGGAAACTTTAAGCCAAATAAAATATGTAAAATGTTTTCCAAAGGTTAAGTAAAAAGTGTTTTCAATTGAATCTGACGATGGGTAAAACCATTATGTTCAAGAACATACATAATAATGTATTATAATGTATATTTAATTAATATTTTAATCGCAGCTGCAGTTTTTTGTACAGTAACATCAGTTAATCGAGTTAATAGACATCGTTGAAGATTCGTTAGTTCATTGCTTAGGCCCGAGGCAACACAGAGATTATTGCTGGTATTAATATATACGCATATATATATAACACTTATCTAGGTACGATCTAGGGGTTATAAAAATAAACGACACGCACACGCACAAAAATACATATACAAACATCAATCGAGTTGCTAAAGTAATTGTCGATGGCTGCTGGTTAAACGCTATAAAGTGGGTTCGTCCTCTCGATCCTAGGGATCCTCATCCTGGATTTTGTCAAGCTCGACGACAGTGGTTGGTGATAAGGGAGGCGGAGGTGGAGATGAAGGTGGAGGTGGAGCAGGTGGCGATGTAGTAGAAGCAGGTGGTGGTTGCTCATCCGAATCCGCTTCGATCTCAATGGAGTTCTCCCGCTCCGTAATCTCCGGCATCTTGAGGGAGAAGCTGCTCAGCTTCCGTTCCGCCGAACCCAAGGAGCTCTGGGAGTCCGCCTTCAGCAAGGTGGTCCTCCTCTCGTTTATCACCCTCAGCGAATCGTACATCTGCTCATCCGCACTGCCGGCCAATCCGCGCTCCATGGAGCGAATGTAGAACACGGAGTCATCCCGCTCGTTGGCAACCCCCTTCTTGGGCCTGTAGAACTGCCGGGAACTGTTGCTCCTGTAGAGAGGAGCCGCCACCGGTCGCGGATCCTCGTCCTGTTCGCTGCGGGCGAGCGGCAGGAACCCGGGACGCGCCTTCTTCGGCGGCAGGCTGCTCGTGTGGTGCTGCAGCTCGGTGATCTCCTCGTAGGAGGTCTTCGGCTGGGAGCTCGTCTCCTGCTCCTCCGACTGGTCCAGGCTCTCCTCGGGCACCGCCGGCTCCATGCTCGACTGCCCCGACAACTGGCGCACTGGCGGCGGTGGCTCTGAGCAAACTGATAACTGACTGCTGTAAGGGGAGTTAAATTGGATTGACTTAATATTTAAAAGGTACCAAAAATAAATTGTAAACTAAAAAAAAACGACTTAATGATAAATATAATATGGTAAGTTTATGTATAACTTAAAAGTCCCTAAGCTTACAAGTTTATGGTTTCATAAAAATGTTAGAAAAATGAAGGGAATTCTATATACATATAGCATTATATTATATTATATATTGTATGTAGAGTTTATATCAATCGATGTCTTACCGAAATTCCTTCTCCACAGAGGGCGTGGCCGAGGGGCCGGAGCTGTAGCGCTTGGGCGATCGCAGTATCGACTTGGGTATCACCTCGGGACTGTGAAGATCCACCTGAATCCTCCGAGATTCGATGCTGGATGTCCGACTGGCGATGGACGCACAGCGAGCCGTCCAGCGGCCGCTATACGAGGAGTCCGACATGGTGGAGTTTCTGAGGGGTTAAGGATTATATTAAATTAGTTTAGTTTATATGGATGATAATATGTATAATCATATAGTTATTCTGAATAATTCTATCTATTTCATTACAGCAACCACTGAATAAAAATGTATCTATCAGATAGTTTATAATCATAAAGTTATTCCTAATAATTCTATCTTTTTAACTACAGCAACCATTGAATAAAAATGTATCTATCAGATAGTTTAGTTTATATGGATGGTAATATGTATAATCATAAGGTTATTCTTAATATTTCTATCTCTTCAATTATAGTACCCATTGAAATGTATCTACAAGATACCCACCTTCTGTGTCCCAGTGGACTGCGACTGTGGTCGCGAGCCTCCTCCTGTTCGATGGGTCTCTGTCTGGAGAGGACGTGCCTCTTGGCGGTGTCCGATCGCTTGTTCCGCTCACTGCGCTTCTCCGCCGAGGAACTGAGTCCCAGTCCTGGCGGAGGATTGCTGCCGCCGTCGAAGGAGGAGGCCTGCCAGTAGACTCGACTCGCGGCGGGCGGCTGGAGCAGGGAGCACTCCCTGGTGGCCCGCTGGATCAGGCTGGAGGAATTGCTGATGATCCGGGCGGACGAAGAGGAGCCAGCTCCTCCGCCTCCGGATCCCCCGCCCCTTCCCTCGCCACCGGAGGGATTGGATCCCGAGCCCGGACGCCCTTGCCGCACGCGCCGCACACTGCTGCTCGAGGATTTTTGGTGGTGGTGGTGGTGCGAGTGGCGGTGCGAGTGGTGGTGACGGCGGTGGCGGCGGTGCGAGCAGTACATTTCAAAGTCCAGCGGCGACAGTCGATTCAGTGAGAGCAAATTGTAGTAATTAGTGGCGGAACTGGTGGGATTTGGGTGGTTTGTGGTAGTGGAGTTGGTGGAGTTTTTGGTGTTGTTGGCATGAGCATGAGATCCGGACAAATCCGGAGCGGAACCCGCACCCGAAAGGCGGCGAAACTGTGGACAGAAGCGATTGGATGCACTGATGGTTGGCGGAAGCGGGATGCGGATGCGGTTTTAAGAATTCAGTTTTCAGATATCAGATTTCGAAAGCAAAAAGCGGGGCGGTAAGAGCGAGAAACAGCCAATTGGATAAGTGAACTTCGATATATATACAATGGAGTGATCTGGTTAAAAATCCCACTACTGTCATACCTGAGTGACCTGGAGAACTTGACCAGTTCGGCGGTGAGTGCCTCGCGGTCGAAGGGTTGCTGCTGATGCGGATGCGCATGCGGATGCGGATGCGGATGCGTGGTCGAGATGCAGGTGCTCTGTGGTTGCTGGTGGGGATCGCCTGGCGAGGACCGGAACACCCCGAAGTGCTGATCCCAGCGACTAGATTGGTACTGGGCACCTGAAATTTAAAGATAAAGGATATTTTGTTAACATATAAGTTAATACGCCTGTTGGACCCAAACTTTCATCTTGACTTGTTTCGTTAAGCTAATAAAAAACTGAAAAACAGTTTAAAACTTTTAAATATACGAAAGAAAATCGTTAGTCGAGGACTATATGTTTCCAAAACTATTTTTCTTTAGACTGTAGGCTCGTTTTTGAGCAAATGACATACAAATTACCATTAAAAAGTATTTGTTTTTCCCAAAACTATATAAAATGGCTAAAAAAAAAACAGTTTTTGTTTCAATATCTGAGGAAATACTCTTCCAAATGTGGAATGACATACACCGTTGAATTCGTAATAAAATTCTGAATCCGATGGCATTCACAGCTTAAATTGATGATGTTACGCCTTACCAAAAATGCGAAAATTGGGCAAAAAATCAAATATTTTGTATTATCCAAAAAGTAATAGGATTCGTTAACTTGGGTCATAAGAAGCATACAAAACAACTTCGTTTGGATCTGTGTCACTTTAGTTTTGACCAAAATTGTGACACTATTGACTAAGGTATAATTTCGATCAGCAAATTAATTTTCTCCGTGTACCTGGAAGATTTCAGGAACATCAACATATTTTTGGACTTACCCATTCCTCGACGCTGCGATGCGGAGCTTCCCTGGTTGCTCCTCGACTGGTTCTTGCCGCTGCCGCCGCCTCCGGCTCTCAGCCGGGCCGGAACCACCTTGGCAGCGGAGTCCCGAGCCTCGAAGGTCATCACGCAGGAGGCCACCACGATGAAGCCGCCGAAGCCCATGACGATGGGACCCACATACGCGAAGTTGTTCAGATGGAAGCCCTTCAGGTCGTTCTTCACGCGAACGGTGACATTGCCACGCAACTCGGATCCCATGGAGAGGTGATCTGCGTAGTAGCCCAGAGTGGCCATTCCGGCGCCCAGGAGCATCAGGGTGAGCCCGAGGATCAGGGCGCGGCAGGCGTGCCACAGGCACTTCGAGGACATCTTGCCCCGCACCACCTGCACGTTCCACGTGGCTCCGGAGGCGGGGTGAGCCCTCCTCAGGTTGCCCAGGGAGTGCTTCCTCTTGGTGGTGCCACCGCCACCGGAGCGACGGGATGGCATGGCGAAGACTCTTCAATTCCTTGGGCCTAAGTCGGTTGCGATCATAAATGGTGGCGCTGAAAAAGGAAACAATAATTTTGAGAGAAATAAATTCAAACAACCTTTGGTAAAAAATATAAAAAAATATATTGAACATTAATAACTCATCTTTATATTATTCATATCTATATTATATATTGATTTTTGTTGAGTTATGGTACTTTAAACCCACCGAAACTACTGCGGGTAATTTATAACATTTAGAAAACTTAACTTGGAAACGGGGAGATCCAAGCCATGCCCACCAAATGTCCAAGGAAGGTCACCATGTGCTCACGGCTGTTTGCCGAAGAGGAGGAGGGAATCCCGAGGAGGAGGGGCCACCCAAGGAAGGCGCACGGAGTTCAGAGAAGGCAAAGGGACGAGGAGAAGAAGGTGGACCGCCGGTGCAGCCAGCGAGTGCCAGCGAACAATTAAAATCCAAGGCACAATGCCAGCGACGAGAATAGCTAAAGCCGCTGACAACCGCGTGACGGGGCTTAAATAATGGCCAGAAGAATGGCCGACACTCCTTGGAGGACAGAGGCAGAGTCGTCGGCCAAAGCCGCAATTAAAGCCAAACAGAACGCACGAAAGTCTGATAACAAGGCCCACAATGTCCTCTGTCCTCTGTCCCCTGTTTTTTACTCAAGTGCGGTGCTTGACACGCTTGGCTCGAGAATCTACTGCTGCTTAAATTTAGACGTTCACATGCAGAATCCTTCAGCTGATTCTTAAGCTAATTGCACGGGACACATCAGATTTTTCAGTAAAAAATTACTTTGAGAGATAATAATGATTATTCCTAATTTAAATCATGTTCTTTTAGAAACTAATTGTTAATTTGTCCTGCGAATATATTCTTGTTCTGTGAACATCCAAAAAGAATAATAGAAATTAAAAGTTTCATGGTTTTCAAACTGAAAACTAAACAGCTCTAACCGCTTAAGAATTCAAGGATGAAAGTGCTTTGGAAAGTTAAATATGCATGCAATCCACATATTTGCATTTCATGAGTTGTTTTTTTTTTTTTTGCTGTAAATTCTAGCGCTGAACGGGTGGATTTTGTCACCTGACTTGTTTCTACATCGAATATTGTTTTTGTGATGATTTATATGAGAATTTGAGTATTGCATCCGGAAAGGCAATAAAATCATGACACTCAATAATTGTGACGAATGAATTCTCAAACATTCAAGTTAATGAAACACGTTTGTTTTGTTTTGCCTTCAAATGTTTTTTTCAAACCTTAAGCAGGAGTAAAGGGAGTAAATTATCCTTGAATTCGGGGAGTTTCTCACGAAAAGGCTAAACGTTGTTTGTATAGGAAGTCTGGGGCCACATTTGATGGCTTACTTGTTGGTTCGTCGGTTGGTTCTTGGAATTCCTCGGCTGCTCCTGTTGTTCTGTTGCTCCTGATGCTGCTGGTTGCTGATTGCTGATTGCTGGCTTCTGGTGACCTAAAAGCAGATTTGCCTTCGCTCCGTCTGTATGTATACTGGCTTGTGGATATATTTTCGCGACTTGTAGTGTTCAATGCGCCACCCCACATGTCATCGTCTTGGCTGGCTTTTGGGCTTTGTGGCCAGCATTATCGCGCCCGATCCACCAGTCAGTCGGTGGAGAACCCGTCCGATTGCTAATTGAATGTGATTAATTTTCACAGGTGAAAACGCTCCCGCAGGCTGTCCTGACCCGACTGCTCCACTCGAATTCGCCAGCTGTGCGAGACGTCTGCACACGAGCAGCTTCCACGCGCGTCTGATAAGGACGAGGTCCTTTCGAGATACCAGAGCCGAAACAGAGGCCAATCATCCCTCATGTTGGCCACTAACCATGGTATAATGGCTAAAAGGCAGTCTCATCGGATCCATCAGTTCGTTAGCAATACCTAAACTGAGTAAGAGCAGGAGGATGTTCACCAATAGGAGTGAAACAAACAGCAATAGAGTGTGTTGCCTAAACCTTATGCGGTGCTTGGTGTTTTAAATAACCAGTCATGCGACAATAAGTTAATTTTTTTGTTTCATTTTTTTAATTTTCCACCAATGGTGCAGCACCTAATTCTCTCCCATTTTGTTCGCCTTGCTAACAAATTGGTTACATTGCAACATTAATAAATTTTACAGCTTTCACCTATCAGCTGCAATAACTTCAACAAGTATTTTTTTTATTTACACACAAGGGTTAAGGATAAGAACGAGGTCCTTCCTCGTGTTAGCCACTTACACACCGCACTGCAAATTTGGTCCAAATGTGTTTGGGCAAAATAACAGGCGCCATCTGGTGTGCATTTTTCATTTATGGTTGAAATATTTATAGCAATATTTGGACACTCCTGATATAAAATTTTGTATCGAGTTATGAATATATTTTTACTATATAAGTAGTTTTTTGAAAAGATGAAAAGCACCTTAAATGCTGAAAAAATTAGAAAATGATTTATTAATTACCTATTATTGTCTTATATAAAATAAGACTAAATTTTCAGGGACTACTTGTTGATTGAATAAAGTGCATCTACTGCTTTACGACTGCTTTATGCCTATTTCTCGGGCACAGTCCAATACAGCTACCACTTTATTCACGCATTAGAATATTTACTGCTTGTTCACTGCTTAGTTACGATTTTTCCGAATAATAAACCACCACTTCAAACACCCCTTTTTAAGTCCGAAGGATTAACCCACCACTCGCAGAATCACACCTCAGGATAGGGGTAGAAACTTAACGAAACAAGGACATGCGCAGGCAAAAGCACAGAGAGCATCCTGTGGTGAAACCGAGACCAGGACGAAGTGCGAACGAGTTGCGAATGGGACATCAACAACAACGGGGTCCAAGTTCCTGCCTCGGATGGCCAGTCATTGGCGAAGTCTTCAGGCGCGTTGACGTTCTTCGCAAGGATCCGGATGCCGAGCTCCGATTCTCCGCTTTCGACCAAATCGGTGTCGTCCATTGTACGTGATGCAGTTCTGCCCGTCCGTGCTGCGATTCGCGACTGCCATCGTTACGGGTTATCTGAAGGATGCCTGAGGATTGAGCATCCTGGCCCAGTGCAATCCCTAACTCCCGCTTTCTCGATCCAATCTGTGTGCCCTTGTCCCCCAGTGCGTTCCGTAATCGGGTGTGTATAGGTCAGTGAGTTCCGGAACTATGTGAATCCCCAAAAATATTTCAAACAACTGAAACAGTGAATCAGAAGAGATTTCTCCTAACGATCGTTCCTAGAGCACATATTAAGTTAATCAATAAGGATATCCCTGCTTTATGTGAATTAATCAACTCGATATTTACGTGACTCCGAAAGGGAACGAGAAACAAATGGCCAAAGTGCGTGAGACGCCATAGGTGACCCAAAAAAAAAAAAATACAAAAACTATAATAGGAACGGGAAAAAAACAGCGGTTAGGTCGGCAAAAAAGAAATCGAGTCCAATGCAGTTAGTTAGAGCCGACTACGCCAGATTGCAAAATGCGTTTGAATGAACCAGCTGAAAAGACGCGACCCCGAACTAAAGCAACGACAGAAGCCACCAAGTACTCATCATCGGGTGACCTTCACCTCGAATGTTCCATCTACAACCTGATCAGGCTGCTCCTCCTCATCGCAACGATCATGGGCGGCGGATTTGTTCAGGCCAAGAGCATCTACGACACAGTTAACAGGATACAGGGCTTGGATCCCTTGGTGGAGCCCTCCTCCTCCTCCCTCGACCTTCCCTCATCATCGAAAGTTCCCAGGCAAACGACGGCTGCCACGCCCACTGCCGCCCCCCTCCAGGTGTCCACGTTGCGGAGTAGTTACGGTAGGCAAATTGCGAAATTGCTACTCCCAAGTTTCCGAGAGCGGTTAATGCATAATTATGTAATTGGTTTTCAATTATCCTGCTGACCCAATCGCTTGGCTGCCATTGTCTGAGGACTGGTGTCAAAAACACACGGCGGAGTTCCATTTATCCTCGGTTTTAGCACTTGATGGGATAGCCCCTTTAGACAGTGGAAGTTATGGTTTTTCTGAAAGGAGGTCAGCGTTAATAGCTTTTTTTAAGTCTTTTGCTGGGACTTATTACTTAGGAACACGACTGTTAAAATATATAGTTGGCTTTATTTTAGTGATAACATACATCAGATTAATAGGTGGTTTGAGTTTTAAAGGTACAAATTTAGAGACTTTGGTAGTGTGAAACTATCACAAACAGTCAAAAGTTAAGGATTTATAAAAATGCCGACACAATTAATTTATAAAACCAATATTTGTTGGCTAAAAACTTTATTACCCTTGCTGTTACTTAATACATTCAGATAAATGAAAACATTCCCATTGAAAAATATTATTATTTCTGAATTTATAGGAGCAGAAAAAAAATAAAATAAAAATAATTGAAGATGTAACTCCCTTTCTTAATTTGAAGTATGCAATATTTCCTTTAAGGAATGAAAAGTTTAGCTTTTTCTTTTAAACATTAGGAATGTTTTATAAGCGGTGAATAGATTTGCAATTTAAAACTTATTTTTAAATTTTTATCTATATTTTAACAAAAATAACAACAGCTCTGTGTGTTTGTACATTTAGGTGCACATTTGAGTTTTGTTATGCACAAACAGATAAATAAAACGTACCAAATTTATCGTAAAATGTTCCATAGAAATTGCTCAAACAAAACCAAATGTAAATGTGATAGGTATTGTATAGCTTGTTAGCAGCAACCAATTTGATTTAATTGAACTTTAATAAATATCTTATGAGCCTGGATTAAAATGTGTGTAGCATCAGTGGATTCTCTTACTAATTGGATTGGCAGACTAGGAATTTAACTTTGATAAACACCAATATATCCGTTGGCCGACATAATTTAGTTCTGTTTGCTCTCGGGGAGAATCAAACTAAATATTTGCTCGGTCCCAGAAGGTTTCAGTGTACTCGCAACGAACAAACAAACTCCCCCGCACACATCGGCCGATTTGGCATTAGCATACTGACATATACACACATGAGTGCTTGAGCCATGTCATCAATTCTCAACTTTCGCTCGTATCTCTTCTCCCTCTTGCTCTTCCCCAAATTAAAAGACCCAGATTCGAATGGAATCGATAACTCCTTTCCGGCGGAGGGGAGCAGCCAGGCTGTGCCCGAGGATTCGGATTCGGATGGCGTGGATGAGGATTACATCATCCCCGAGGGCCAGACGTCCTCCTTGCCGATCCTCGAGCAGGAGGTCAACCTGGTCAAGGGCCAGGACATGGAGTCCCTATCCCTGCAGTCGGGCGGGGGCACAGGGGATCCGAAAGCACAGCCCGATCCTTCGGGGCGGAAGAACTCCTTCCAGCCTATTGGCAGCCAGAACGTGAATGCCTTAGTGCCGGCCACAGTGGCCACCACTTCATTGTCCGGCGGCTCGTCCAACGCCTCCTCTGTGGCCACGCCCACCGAGCCGGCGAGGAACCGGAGCACCGGCCATGTCCACAACTCCGCCGTCAAGGTGGACAGCAAGCATCCGCTGGCGAAGGGCCAGAAAACGGATGCCCCCATGTTGAACTACATCTTCGACACGTTCTCCTCGGCCAACAAGCATCACCACCACGATCAGAGGTGAGTCCTTGGAAAGAGGTTATCCTTTCGTGAATTGGAAGTGTATGTCCTCATGATGATATCGCAGGTATGGCCCCCACTTCGAGGATGTGCAGCGGCTGGGCCAGGCCACCAATCTCACCGTGCAGGCGGGCTCCAGCATCCACCTGAACTGCAGGATTTCACTGCTGCAGGATAAGACTGTAAGCGTTTACCTTATTTATGTTTAAATATTAAATAAAAATAGTTTCAGTGTGTAAAAATTTTTGTTTCATATGTTTGAAACTGTTTTTAACCTAACCATTCGATATTTTTTTGATATAAAAAATATTTGGATGTATGTATTTAAAACACTTTTAAGTTGCTCACAAAAATGATTCCTGAATGTCGCAAATAAGTATGCTACACATTTTTTGAAAGGGTTGGGTGTTTAAGATATTTGTCTCATTTACGTAAGATGTATTTTTATGCATGTTTTTTTTTATTTATTTGTAACTCTTAGAATTTCTTGACTTGCTTTTCTTCCTAATATTTATTTTAAAAGTTGGTGAACCTTAATCCTTGCTAAGATAAAAATTTAAACACTTTATAACTCACTTTAAAATAGGTCTCTTGGGTGCGACACAACACGCAGGCTGAGGATAATGCCCTGGATCTGCTGACAGTGGGCATGCACACGTACACGGGTGATAAGCGCTACAAAATGGAGTTCCAGTACCCCAACAACTGGCGACTGAAGATAACCAACGTGAAGAAGGACGATGAAGCAATATACGAGTGCCAGATCTCGACTCATCCGCCCCGTGTCATTCAGATTAACCTGCATGTTAATGGTAAGTTAAAAGCCCGAAATTAATTAAAGCAAAAAGGTTATACAAATCCATTAAATAGCTCCCAAGGTGATGATTGTGGACGAGGTGGGCGATCCGCTGCAGGAGAAGTACTACGAGATTGACTCCACCCTGCAGCTGTCTTGTGTGGTGCGAAATGTGGCCATGACCAGTTCTGTGGTTTTTTGGAAGCACATTGACAACATTCTCAACTATGACGTCACTCGAGGGGGAGTGAGGTGAGTGCGGGTCATGAAAATGGACCCTGTAATCAAGTGTATGGTACTAAAGCGCATTAAAATTTGGTTATAATTGATTTTGGTTTATAAAACAATATATGTATAATCTTAATGGGCTTGGTTGCAAACGGGAAATTTAGTTTAATTTATTTTAAAATTCTTTTTCAGCGTCAAAACGGAACTGATGGAAGATGGAGCCAACTCCACCCTTTCCATAGCCAAAATCAGTAAAACGGATTCTGGCAATTACACGTGCTCCATAAGCGAGTTCCAAAACTTTACCATTGTGGTGCACATTCTGAATGGTAAATTGCATTTAATTAAATAAATTCATCACTCGATATTATCTATTAAATATTTTCAGGTGAAAGCTTTGCCGAATTGCATCATGGTGGTGCGGGTGGGTTGAAAACCAAGTGGTGCAGTCTGGTGGTGCTGCATCTAGTGGCACTCCTTACGTTAAGTAGTCTAAGGGGGGAGTTTAGCTAAGGTTCTCGGTTATTTTCGGTAGGCTAAGTGGAGGGAGTAAACAAATTGAGACAACGTCGTTTTTCCTGTAGCACTTTTTGTTGATTAATTGTAAAGATTATGAATTGAATAGGGCAGTTATTAGAAATAACTTAAAACGCAGCCTAAGTTTAACTGGCTATTATAGATATGTTTCTACGTCTATCATCAATTTGTACATGAGCAGGCACGACTAGGATTAAGATTAAGCTAAGATCGAGGATATGGAGTAATACTCTGAGAATTGGAGAGAGAGGCCAACGAATTTCCCTAGAAGAATGTCACGATGTCAGAGTTATGGTCTGGCCAGATCTAGTTGATACAGGAATGTAAAGCATAGTGTAATCTAAGTCACTAACAGTTCATTATCAAGCTTTTGCGGCAAGGATCTGAACTCCTGTGAGAACTACTCAATGTTGAACTAATATAAAAAGTGCAATACGGTCATATACATATTATATACATACACACACACGAACAGAGGCATCGGTCGAATGATATGTTAATAAACGAATACTCGTATGTATGCAATAATAAAGTGAACTATAAAAGAGTGTATGCTGAATTTAAACTTTAGTTGGGCGGGAAAAATTCATTTACTGGTCTATCGATAAGTCAACTTCCAGGTTGCCAGATTGTTCCCTTTTTATTTATTTTTTTCAGAACTATAAGTTCAGCTTTATCTTATTCGTTTTTAGCCAATGAAAACAATAAAATACAGTACATTTTTTACATATCACTTGTATTTTTGTCCTATTCATTTATCCATAATAAACATAAACATTCACTGAAAAAGTAACAAAATTAGTTTGAGTCGGCACACCTAAATAAACAAAGATTAAAAGCCTCAACAAAATAATCTACAGGGCATCATCCTACGCACCTAAAATAGCTTTAATCTTATCGCAGAAATTGCACTTGTTTTGATCTTTATTTTATAAAAATAAACCTAAGGCTTTGCCAAAAATACAACAACATTTCAAACATCTACAGCTTGGACTTGGATTTGCGGGAGGCAAAGTCCATTATGGCCTGAAAGAATTCCTCATGTTGGAACTGAAGCAGTAGCTGCTTGCACTCCGATTCGTTGGCTTTGAGGAGATTCTCCTTGAATCCCTCCTTTATAAGACGTTTTCCTTGTAGCAGGGAGTTTGTGGGTAACTCGGAATACTGACGCAACTTAGGCCAGATCCAAGTGTCCAGTTCACTGGGCTTGAAGACACGAGAAACGAAGTTGAACTGGAGGGCGTCCTTGGCGGAAAGAGGTTCATTGAGGAGAAGGGTTTCCGTGGCTTTGGAACGCCCCAGAATGAGAGGCAACATATAGGATGAACCACCCTCTGGAACTAAGCCCAACTTCGTGAAAGGGGTGGAGAAATAGGTCTGAAAAGGCGTTTTCTAGTAAAACATAACTCAGTCCTGGGGAACTATTAAACACTCACCGTTTCGGAACACCATGCCACATCGCATAATCCCACAATGGTGGCTCCAATTCCAATGGCTGGTCCATTAACCAGGGCAAATACTATCTTCTTGCAGTTCACGAAACTGAGCACCATGGCCTTGAAAGTCGCATTAGATTGTTTGAAGAAGGCGTCTATATCGTCGGTCTTCGCGGACTGGGTTAAATCATTTCCGGCCGTAAAGATATCACCTACGCCGGTGAAAACAACTAGGTTTACACTTTCGTCGTCATTGACCTCGGTTAAAACCCGGGTCATCTCCAGGTAGGTGAGCCTGTTGATGCAGTTCTTCTTTTTCGGATTGTTGAACTTAACCACGAGCAGCTTTCCCTGTTGCTCCACGAGGAGCTGTTGGTATCCTTGGTACGACATATTGATGCAAGAGCTCCAGAAAGAATGAAATCCAAAGTCTGATTAACGTTTCATTATACTCCAATTGCCGGTGTTTATTGTTGTTAAGCCAGCCAATTATCAGGGGTACTCTAAAGCAGAATTGTAGATAAGCCTAAAGATGGACGATAGTTGGTGAGGAAATCACTTTAAATAAAAATAAATACTTTGGTGGCAAACACCTTTCTTAACTAATTTAAAACTTCTTAATATGTTAAAATTTGTAGACAATTTTTAATTTGATTTCCGATTGCATTAAGTAAATGTGATTCACTGTTTTAAAATAGCAGTTATCGGGTGACGGCACCACTTTGACTCAGTCTGGCAACTCTTAAAAGGGCGCCAACTTTTGAACCCCTCGAAAAAGAACATGAAAGGTTGGTTATTTTTTTCATTCGCTGTACAACATTTATCTTATTATAAAAAAATTCGTTATTCGCTAATTTCATCGATCACGGGCACATTTTGCAGTTCGGAGCATTTTCGTTTCCACAAGGCGAGTTGTTCCCTCAACACTTTTTCCTTTGCGGCTGCTCGAGTCAACAGGACCTTTGCTTTCTGCAGAAGCTGCGTCTTCTTCACCAACTGCTCCTTGATGAACTTAAGCTCTTCGTTTGCCGCGTCCTAGAACAATATTATATTATTGTTGTAATAAAGAAATAATCTTAGTTATACTACAACCCATTACCTTACTGCGACCACCGCACTGGCTGCATTTCGTCCGCTTTTGCAGCTCCTGCTGCAGTGCGGCAATCTTTTCCATTGCCTCTGCATTCTGCTGCTGCAGTCGTGCCGCCTCCGGCGGAGTGGAATCCGTAGAGCTCCTGGACTCCGTGGAACGTCGACCATCCTTGAGGAACTTGTTTTCCGATCGCAATTTCTCCACAAGATTCCGAAGCGAAAGGATCGTCTGCTCCGCAGATTGTCCCTGATTGGTGTTCACTTTTAGGCCACTGCACTTGCACAATTCTCTGCGGGATTCATTGCGGGCCATCTCCTCTTTCAGGGCCAGGATATAACTTATAGAAAAAAGGAACATTTTATAAAGAGAAGTGTTAGTTATAGAACCTCATCAATACTCACTCCTCCAGGTGCTTGATCCTCTTCTGCAGTCGATCACTGCTGTCGCCCTGCCTCAGAAGATCCGAGTCCAACTGCAGCTGGAGATTCCTGGCCTCCAGTCGGATGTTCTGCGCTTCAATCGCCTGGCAGCGCTCCTGCATCTTCTCGAGCTCCGTGGTCAGGGCATTGCTGCCCCTGCCCTCCAGTTCCATGGCGATGATCTTGCGCTGCTGCAGCTCGATGCGGGACTTGAGCGCCTCGATGAGGTCCACCTGGCTCTGGTCGAAGAAGTGCCCATTGGGCGGCTGGGAACGATGAGCCGGCGAACTGCACTCGCTACTGGGACCCGTGTAGGTTTCCGGACTTTCCGAGGGCGAGGGCGTGAACTTGTTGCCCACTCCCACGTGCTGGAGATTCGGGCAGGATGGAGTGCGGCAGCACTTGAGAGTATTTCCAGAGCCATTGCTCGCGGGACCATTTCTGCCCAGCTTGGACTCCATTATCTGCTTATCCTTCTCCAAACGCGCAATTGTGGTGCGAGCTGCCTGGAGAAGAGATCTGGTCTTGTCCAGTGCCAACTCGGTTTCCTCCAATCTCGCCTTCGTTTTCTCCGCCTGCTGTTGGTACCTCTTCTGCTTCTCCCAGAGCTGCACCTCATTGGCACTCCTGGTGCGTTTGGCCTCCAAAAGGGTCTGCTGCCTCTGCAGTTGACCACGTGCCTCGTCCAAGTCCGCCTCCAACTGCTGGATTCGCTTCTGCTGGTTTTCATTCTTGACCCGCGCATTTAGCTCTGTTTTAATGGAAACCACTGGACGTTTGAGCAACTGCTGGCGAAGAGATTGACTCAGATCTCTGGCTTGTTTCTCCCGTTGGGTCACATTCGCCAGCTGGCGACGCAGTGCCTCCATTTGGGTGTGATATATCTTGTTAGTGGCTTCTGTGCGGTTGAGATCGGCGGCCAACTTGGCTATCTGATCCTCGGAGAAATTGGAAGTGTCTTTGATATAGCGCTGCTGGTCGTCCTTCGAGGATAAAGTTTTATACAAAAAATAGAACGCGTATTATAAGCTTAGATATTTACATGGAAGTTCTTTAGAGTGTCCATCAGATCCTTAATGTGCTTATCCTTCTCATCGAGGAAAATGCGTAACTGATCTAGCTCTGGATTAACAGTGCTTTCCACCGACTTTTCCCTTTCCTGGCAGAGTTTTAGCCTGTAAAATATAGTTTTTATTATTTGTTTAAATATATTTTGCTGTATAACTCACTTTTCTTTCAGTATCTCCACTTCCTCTTCCCTTGTTTTGAGGTTCTTCTCGCTGTACTCCAGTTTGTCCTTTAATTCCCTGATTTGTTTGTGCAGTGTGGGCAGTTCCTTAAGCTCCTCAGTGTCCTGTTTCTCCTCCTCACCTTCTGGTTCTTCAATCACAGGATTTTCCGCCGCCACATGAACCTCCACTTCTTCGTGGGGTCTTTCCACGGAACTACTTTCAAACAACTCCTCGATTTTCTCATCCGTAAGTTCATTGACTGAACTTTCTGAACTGGAAGTGGAATCCGAGGTTGGAGTTCGCTCCAAAACTGCCTTGGGTTTCTGTGGCTGCTGCTCCAACTTCCCCTTGAGCTCCTGAATCTCCGCATCCTTGGTCTTGATATTAAAATTAAGGTTATTGACTGTGGCTCTTAGGGATTCATTTTCAGCCGCCTGTTTGCTGATAGCCTGTTGATTTTGATCCCTTTCGGTTTGCAGAAGGTCCTGGTACTTTTGTATGGACTGATCCTTTTCCAGGAGCAGAGTGTGGAAAGAGAGTATGGTCTTTTCCACCACTCCACTGTGAGGACTCTCGGATTCGCGGCTTTCCGATCTGGAAGCCTCCAATTGTTTGCCAAGAACCTCGATGCGTTGGTTGGCTTCCTGAAGTCTACAAATGTTATGGATATGATATAAAATCTTAAACAAATTTTAAAATAATGTACTCTTACGTTTCCTGCATTTTCTGCAATTCCAAGTGGGAATCTCTCTTGGTTTCCTCCACAGCGTCTGCGGTTTGAACGGCTTGATTTTGCTGGCCAAGAATGCCATTTGTCTGGACTGCCGTCTCCGAAAGCTTAACTGAATCTTCCTGAGTTTGAGTCGCAGTATCCAAAGGTGGATGCTTTCTCAAAGGTGAACCAATGGGCGAGGATTGCCTGTCTATCAGCTGGGCAGCTCTTCTCATGGCTGGGATAGGAGTCACTGCATCCGTATTGGTTTCCGCATCCACCTTGGATTGGGATTGGGATTGAGTTGGAGTAACTCCCTCACCGAACAAAGCCTGAATGGTACTCCAATGCTCCGTTTCGGTGGCTTGTCGCAGCCTCAATTCACTCAGTTCCCGGAGGAGCTCCTCCTGTTTGGTCTGCAGGATCTCACAGCGTTGCTCCAAGAGCCTCGTTTGGGTTTCCGACTTGATGAGCTTCACCAGCTGCTGAGAACTCTCCTCCTTGGATCCCATCTTGGCCTGAACCACCGCGGTTACTTCATCAACGAGGGCAGTGTGATCAGCAGTTCCCTGGTGCACTTGCTCCTCCTCCAGGCGACGCTGGAATTTCTGGTAGGCGAACACAAAGTTGGTGAGGAAGACCAGTGGCGTGAATTTGGCATATTTATCTTTGAGCATAAACAACGAATGCTGGAGGAATCTAGAAAAATATATGATTATAAATAAATGATTATTCTGTTTAAAAATATATAATACTTGTGCTTAATATCGCTATTGGTGCGCTCCTTTTGGAAGTCCTGTTGCGCCTGTTTCAAGGATAATTCGCTGGCAAAGAGTTGCGTTTGCAAGGAGTCCGCCTTTTGCTGCAGTTGCTCTCGCTCTGTTTCCAAGCGAGAGCAGTCAGCTTTAGCTTTAATTAGGGATATAAATTAAGATAAAATACAATCTATATTTAAGAGATCACTTACCACTATCCAAATCCCTTTGCACTTTAGCCAGCATCAGTTTTTCATCGGAACTACTCTGTAGATCAGCAACCAAATGGCGCAGATTAATATGGTTGTCTGTAATCTCATTGAGTAACTTTTGCTGCGAGTGGATCTATGGAATAAAAAAATTATTTAGTTTATTTATTGGTTTATTCCTATGTGGATTGACCAACCTGTCCATTGGCAATCTGGAGTAGACCCTCTAAATTCTTGGTTTCCCTCTGCAACTCCGCCTGTTTGCTTTTCCAATTTACCAACTCCTGTTTCTGGTTCTCAAACTCCTCTGCTGTGACATAATCCAGCTGATAATTATCCTTAATAATGCCATATTCAGCACATATTTCAGAGGGTTTTAGCTCTCCTAAGAGTTGTTCAACCGCCTGAGCAAGTTGCATGCTCAAAATGGCATTTCGTTGCTCTAATTTCTGTTGCTCCTCGGCGGTGTATAAATTCCTCCTTTTGACTTCCTCCAATTGGTTCTGAGTGTCGAGTAACTCACTCTTCTTTTCCTCCAATTGCCTGGCCAAGGCTGCCTTATCCTCTATAGAGGCTACTTCTTGTTTTCTTGTTCGACTCAGGAGTTCATCGTAATCCCTCCTCATATAACTATAGGAATTTTCTTGCTTTTCCAGCTGCAACTCCAAACTGATCAGTTTATCGTGAAGCTGTTGGTTTTGGTTCAAGAGTTCACTGCCATCGGCGGACATGTGAAGACGTAGTTCCTCATAATGTTTGCGAAGGATGGAGAGTTCCGCCAATACCTCAGATTTAGGTTCTGTTTCGGGATCAGGGATCACAGGTCTCATTAGTCCCTCTGTGGCTTCAGTCGGAGAACTTGGTCTCGTGGCAGTATTAACAATGGGATTCACATCTTCCGGATGTTCATCTGGCATTTCAGGGACATCGCAGAGGCTCTGGACGGAAGACAGTTCCCCCGTTTCCGATTCGCTGTAGTTTTGCTGCTGCAAAAGTTGGCGAAGAGCCTCTTCTCTGGCTTTCAGTTCTTGAAGTTGACCCTGAAGTCGTTGGGGAGTGGCTGTTCCACTCGGAAGAGCTTCGATTAGACGGCGCAGCAGCTCTGAATCAATGGTTATGTGTTCTGAAGTGGCTGCAATAATATATATAATAGATGTAGATAATAAATATAATATCTTCAATTGAAAACCCACCATCGTACTCCCTTAGCTTCTCCAGAATTTCGTACATCCCAGAGCGCAGTGTTTCGTTCTCGGCCAGAACTTCATCGTAGCGATTTTGCATCTCTGAACTGGCGGCTCCATCACCTTGACCACGTCTGGGGGAATTCTCCAGGGGAGCACTGGCCGGAACTTCCCCAACTTCACTGGGAGGCTGCAGGGATACATCCAAGTCCTGTGGCTGATCCGGTTGCAGCTCCAGAAGCTTGCGCCTAATATTTAATTAATTTATCATTATAATTTATATGTTAGTCACAGATAACCTACCTCAATTCACTCTTGTCCAACTTCAGTTGCAGACGCAGTTCCTCGGAAGTCCTTAATTTGAGGGTCAATCTCTCGATCTGCTTATCCTTATTACGCTGCTTGGAGTGCACATTTTTGGCCAGGATCACCACATCATCGGGTATTTTGAGTCGCCGACGCAGCAGCTCGTTTTCCTGGACAACTTCGTGCAGGGAATTCAGCTCCTGGATGTAGGTTCTCAGCTGCTTCTCGCGTGCCGCCAGCTTTTGCTCCAATCCCGAGCAGCGTCTCAAAGCTGGAATCAGACCATCCTCGCCTCGTTTGTAGCACTCCAGAGCACTCAGGGCGTGCAGAGCCTGCTTGGACTTCAGCACATTGTCCTGCTCGGCGGCCTCCAGCATTTCCGAGAGCTGCTGACTCCGGGCGTTGGCCACCTGAAGCCGCTCCTCGATCATCTGGCAGCAGGCACGCGGCTGCTCGGGATCCTGGGAGCGCTCCTTTTCGAGGCACAACTGGTTCATCACCTTCGTGGAGGTCACCATCTCCTCGGCCATCGACTTGAGCCTCGCCTCCAGCTTCTCAATCTGCTGCTCTCGGCATTCAAGCAGCTAAAATAACATTTATTTAGTATTTAGATTTGTTATTTAAATAAATCTTTTTCCTTACATGTCTTAGTTTCACATGCTCCTCCTCCTGTTGGCTTTGACTGCTGGATGAAGTGGTCTGAACTGAGCTGATGCTCTTTCCCTCCAGTTGTTTCCTGAGGCGTTCCACCTCCTTTTCCCGATCCTCGAGCTCCTGCCTCCAACCCAAGGCCTTGGTCTCGTATTTGTCCAGGAACTGCCGCATTTCCAGCTCCTGTTTCTCGCGTTCCACCTCCAAGAAGGTAACATTTCCCTCCAGTCTGGCGATTTCCAGACCCTGCAGCTGCTCCTTTTGCTTCAGGCACTTGCGCTCCTGTTCCACTTTGGTGATGTCCTGGCTGAGCTGCACAAGATTGGCCTTGATGTTCTGCAGTTCCCGTTCATGGAGTACGATGGTCTTTGATTGAGCTATGTTTTGATTTTGGAGAGTCTGAAAAAATACAAAAAACAAAATTATTAATTTAATTTCAATCAAAAGAAGAGAAACATAAAATAAATACTTTTTAAGGAGTAGAAAATAAATGCATGCACTTTTATTTGGGTCAATATATTAATATATTATTACACAGATTAATTATTAAATTATTTATTCACCTCTATTTCCTTCAGTAGCCTCTTTATGTGTTTATTTTTGGAGTCTATATTTTGCAGTAGTTGCTCCTGCTTGTCCAGTTCAGACAAAGGATCCGAGGAGTCCTTGTCACTGGCCTCCGCCTGCTGGGCCGCCTCCCTTAATCGCAGTTCCAGTTGTCGGATTTCCTCCCCTAACTGAACAAATATTCGTTCAAAAAAGTATTGTAATTACTTTATGTAATGCGCAGTTCACCTCCTTTGACTTGGTTTTCAGGCCATCGCGTTCGTCCTCCAGCTTCTGCAGCATTCGCTTCAGCTTCTCGTTCTCGTCCTGCAGGCGGCGGTCAGAGGTTCCTCCGCCTCCGCCGGCAGTCTGCTCCTGGAGGCGCTGCACCTGCTCGCCCTTGTACTCGAGAACAGCCAGGGTGAGTTCGAGGGTCTTCCGCAGCGACTTCTTGGGCAGCTCCTCGATGGACTCGGCCAGCTCGAGGAGCGTTTCGTACAGCTCCTGCTTCTGGCGCGCCGAGAAGTCGCGGAACTTGCGCAGGGAAACGGTCTCTGGTATGTCCATGCTCATCCTGGTGGCTCATGGCCTCGCTCCGCGGCGGTTCCTCACGTTCTGAGTGAAAATTTTCACCCGATTTTTCGGGCTTCGAGTTGCCGAGCGGTTGCCATGACAGTTGGACGGTCAAAACAAAGGCGACTCAACAAGGGTTGCCACTGACTCACTCACGTGCGGAGTCCGGAAATCGGGGTGCCGGCGCCTGTTAATGACCCGGGCCTTTGTTTTTGCTGGCATTTTGTTTTGCTACCTGCTTCGGCTGCGTACGAAAACTTCCTGACAGGATAATTGCCCCCCCTGCAGCTCCAGCGAAAAAAGGATTGGGATTGGGAGTTCGCTTCGCTCCACCACAAACAAAAATGGCAATCGGTAACCAGGAAAGTGTTAATTGGCAAAGTGTCAAAGGCCGCGAGTCCTGGGAAATTGAAAAGCCATTTCGGATTGTTTCTCCCGTTCCAGGTTCGTTCACTCCTTTCCTTCGCAACTTTACCAACTCGTTTGGCTCCTTTTTTCAGGAAGAAAACTTTTCCTAAGTTGAACTTCTTTTCCAGCTCGACGAGTTGCCATCAACATTACGTTTGTCTACATGTGTAAGAATAATTGAAACTAATGGCAAACGACTTTGGTTGCCCTCCCATTTGTGGATTCGCCCTCTGCCAGTGACAGCCGACGGGCCGAAAATTGAAATGATACTTCAAATGGCCAATTATCCGGGCAGCTTTTTGGCCATTTAACAACCGGGAACCCTCCTGTTGCACCCGACTCCCGCGTGAGTTTAATGAACCCGAACAGGAACTCACTCCCAAAGTTATTGCTGAATTACTTTTGTTCTAGAAAATTAACATGTTTGTTTAAAGCAGTTGTAAAATTGTTCTGAGTTCATCAGAAACTTTATTATGAATTCTGAAATTTATTTAACACGTTAAAAAGGAGTTTTGGTACACAATATTATAATACTTTTTATAAAAATATTTATTTTATACATTTTTTGTAGTTATGGCTTGCTGAGCTACTTTTTTTTTCAGAAAATAACATATTTATTAATAACAGTTTTAAAATTGTTCTGAGTTCATCAGAAACTTTATTATGAATTTTGAAATTTATTTAACACATTAAAAAGGACTTTCGATACACAATATCATAATACTGTTTATAAAAATAAAAACTTTCTACACTTTTCTTTAGCATCGCAAGTGTTTGGGGCTCTTTGCGTCCATTTGCAGAAGCATAAGTTCATAAGTGAGCAAAGTAGCAAGCATCTAGGTTTTAAGAATTGGTTAAAAATGTATAGAAAGCTTAAAATGAAAATGTTGTTACCCCAAAAAGACTCTTCCTTGTTAAGTAGAATAAACGATAGCCGGACAATCCCACAAACTCACTGGTCAACTGATCACCGAATCTCTGCACCTCCTGCGTCCAATCATCTCTGGGGACCATAAACAAGGACTTAAGAGGCAGAATCGAGGCATCGTGGATCCCGGAGGCAGTCATAAAGACGAGACCAGTTCTTCCCATCAGAAATATCAGAGAGTACCAAAAGTACACATAGTTAATGGGATGTCGAAGCTCACTATTTGATAAAATAATTAAAATGTGTAAAATAATATTTATAATTTGTATTATCTCACGTGAAAATAGCTAGTGCCTGATTGCAGATCACATACACATTATTCGCACAGGAGAGGAAAACAATGTTGGATATGCTGGCATCTACGAGACTTGTTAGTTCACAAAGGCGAATGTGATCACGACGGATACTGCACCATAAGGCATCTGGAACGTGCTAAAGGATAAATATATTACTAAAGATATATTAAAAGGATTTTTATGAAACTTTACACGACCCTCCAAAGCCTTAACTCGATCGGCAAACTGCTGAAACCTTTGAGCCAATCCAGTGCTAGTTATCACTATAAAAATATCCATAAAGTTCCACAAAAAGTTAAACACTCCATTGATCCACTAAAATTCGAATGCATATTTAAAAGGAAGAATCAGAACATAAAATAATTCTTACAAATCCATAGCATATGGAAAAAAGATTATAGGGCAGCAGAACCATTATGTCCGAAAACTCATTTTTCAGAAAAAGTCCAAAAGTAATTTGTGACTGATTTCCTGGGCACTGCAAAATGCGCATGCTGTAACTAAAATATCCGGAGGCATAATACAGAATATGATCTCCTAAAATTATATATCATCAGTATTGATCAGAAGTATGATATAGCAGACTCACCTAAGGCAAGGAATCCCACTGTAAACACTATCAAATTAACCTTCGACTGAAGGCTTCTTTTGCACCTTTTGTAGGGAGGAAACATCATCAGGATATCCAAGGAGCTCCAGGGTAGCATTATATTCGACCAGGAACGAGCGAAGCCAACAAAGTTCAGCCAGTTCACCATGCCCACAATAAAGAACACCAGACCAACTGTGACTTTTTAATCATTGAATTTAGTTAATAACTTTCCAGGACTTACTCATATTCCTGGCATTGAGTCCTTCATTGAAGAGAACATTGGCAGTTATCAAGGTCTTAATTCCTCCAAGAAATAGAAGTAAGAAAGTAATTCCAAGACCAACACTTTTTACTTTGAATTTAACATCCTGGGGATCGCGACTGAGTATATTCGATAGTGGCATAATGCCAAAGACCTGGGCGACACAAAGATCTAAAATAAATATAAAGTATTATAATAACTGAAGAAATTGTTTTTTTTTTGTTATTTGTATATAGTTTAGTAATGCCTAAATTATTTCTGGCTCACTTACATGGCCTGATGGCTCTGTAGAACGTGTCCAGCTGCTCGAACTCCAATCCTCCCTGGGCACATCGCCATCTCATGGTCAGGACGGCCCGTTGCCTTCGGCGCTGCGCCTTCAGGTGCTTCAGGATTCCATCCGAAGCCGTCGACATGCTCCTCGAGTCTGACCATCTCTAGTCTCGTTTTATAATTTCATAATTGTTGTTTATATCTTTGGGTCAGCTTAGGTCTTAAAAACTGTAATTAGTGGCACTTCAGAGCGACTAAAACCATTGTGGGGCTTTCGGTGTTCAACTCCGCCCATGACAAGCTTTGGAGCTATTTAAAATTCGCATTTCGTGCCAGTGCAAAAAAGACCAGCGTCATGAAAGGACATACTTTGAATTTTCGCAAAAATCCTAACAAGGATATAAGTAATGATGGAAAGGAGGTCAAACCGGAATCGCCTCCACCCAAATTTGTGGAGGAATCGAATCTGGAATTCAATATATTGGCAAGCGAGAAGCTGCCCAACTATGCGAAACTGGATCTGTTTCACCGAGCTGTGTATCCGTGTAAGAAGAGTTTGAAGTATAACTTCAACTAGTTATTATATTTATAGTTAGATAAATATAACTCCATTTTGTAGTCATGTTTTTGGCTCAGTGTTTTGCCATAATGCCTTTGATTGGCATTCGGGAGTCCAATCCACGAAGGATTCGATTTGCCTACAAATCAATACCGATGATCGTTACCCTGATTTTTATGGCTGCCACTTTAATATTGTTTCTCGGAATGTTTACTCATCTGGTTAAGATTGGCATAACAGCTAAAAATTTTGGTGAGTTTTAGATTAACTATAATTGAAAAAATATATATTTGAGTTGTTTTATTTTTTCCAGTTGGACTTGTATTCTTTGGTTGTGTTTTAAGTGCATACGTGGTCTTTATTCGTCTGGCAAAAAAATGGCCAGCCCTCATTAGATATTGGACCAGAACGGAAATGGTGTTCACCAAAACTCCCTATGAAATACCCAAAAGAAATCTTTCGCGTCGAGTTCAGTTAGCTGCTTTTGCGATTATTGGATTGTCATTGGGTAAAAACTTATTTTTATTTTAGAAATATTATTTCTGGAATTATAAATTTTTAGGTGAACATGCTTTGTACCAGGTATCTGTTATTCTGAGCTACCAGCGTCGCATTAATTTGTGCACCAATATAACTACTCCAGCCAGTTTTGATGACTACATCCAAAGGAACTACGACTATGTGTTTCAACTGCTGCCTTACAGCCCTTTTATTGGTGCTTTTATCCTGGCAAGTTCCTATAACAACCAATACTTAAAAATATTATAAGAATTTATCTCCTCAGTTAATTAATGGAGTCTGCACTTTCGTCTGGAACTACATGGACCTCTTCATTATGATGATCAGCAAGGGTTTGTCTTACCGATTCGAGCAAATAACTGCTCGAATTCGCAAATTGGAACATGAGGAGGTCTGTGAGTCGGTGTTTATTGAAATCCGAGAGCACTACGTTAAAATGTGTGAATTGCTGGAGTTTGTGGATAGCGGCATGTCAAGTCTGATACTACTTTCGTGTGTTAATAACCTCTACTTTGTGTGCTACCAACTGCTGAACGTTTTCAAGTGAGTTCACAAAAGTATAGCATGTTCTTTATTTAAATTTATATATATTTTCTTTGTATGATCTCCTAGCAAACTTCGCTGGCCCATCAACTATGTATACTTCTGGTATTCCCTGCTATATCTCCTCGGACGAACCGCCTTCGTATTCCTTACCGCAGCGGAGATCAATGAGGAATCGAAGAGGGGTCTTGGAATCCTTAGGAGGGTTTCGAGTCGCAGTTGGTGTGTGGAGGTGGAGCGACTGATATTCCAGATGACGACCCAGACAGTCGCTCTTTCCGGCAAGAAGTTCTACTTCCTCACGCGGCGCCTTCTCTTTGGAGTGAGTATCTCACTGGGAATCTCAGAGTTCATGTTCACACCTTTGAATTCCATTTCCCCTCAGATGGCCGGAACCATTGTCACCTATGAGCTGGTCCTCCTGCAATTCGATGAACCCAATCGACGCAAAGGACTGCAGCCCTTGTGCGCCTGATGACGAGAAACACATCACCATTCGCCGCACTCCTTACCCATTTGTCATGTCATTTTTCATAAGCAATGAATATTCAATAAATTTTTCAAAAGCAACATAAATGTTAAGAGCTCTTTGCTTCCACTGCAGAAGCATGAGTTCATATGTGACAAATGAGGGAAGCATGTACGGTTTAAGGATTGGGTAAAAATGTTCAGCTGCAGTACAGATCTAAAGATACAAAATGATCTAAAGAAAATATTTGATAATAATAGGGGCATTTGCTATAGGTAAATAGTTTAGAAAATGTGTTGTTGGGTTATTTATACATATTTTCAGTAATGCCTAAGTTATTACACATCTTTGAGTCAGCTTATGTTTTAAAACCCATAATTATTGGCACTTTAGAGCTGCCAAACCCATTGTGGGGCTTTCCGTATTCAACTCCGCCCATGAAAAGCTTTGGAGCTATTTAAAATTCGCATTTCGTGCCAGTGCAAAAAAGACCAGCGACATGAAAGGACATAATTTGAATTTCCGCAAAAATCGTAGTAAGGATACCACTAATGATGGAAAGGCAGTGGAGAGTTTAACTAGGCCGGAAAAGCCTCCATCGAATACGGAATTCAACATATTGGCAAGCGAAAAGCTGCCAAATTATGAGAAACTGGATCTGTTTCATCGAGCTGTCTATCCGTGTAAGAGGATTCTGATTTAACTTTAACTTTAACTATATTTGAATTTATTTCCTAGTCATGTTTTTGGCTCAGTGCTTTGCCATAATGCCCTTGATTGGCATTCGGGAGTCCAACCCGCGAAGGATTCGATTTGCCTACAAGTCAATACCGATGATCGTTACCCTGATTTTTATGGCTGCCACTTTAATATTGTTTCTGGGAATGCTCTGTCACTTGGTCAGGATTGGTATTACAGCGAAAAATTTTGGTGAGTTGTAGTTAAACTTTAATTGTAAAGGTATTTATTTGATCTATTTTTCTATTTCTAGGTGGTCTCGTTTTCTTCAGTTGTGTTTTATCAGCCTACATCGTGGTTATTCGCCTGGCAAAAAAATGGCCAGAACTTATTAGATACTGGACAAAGACGGAAATGGTGTTTAATAAAACTCCTTATGAAATGCCGAAAAGAAATCTTTGGCGTCGAGTTCAACTGGCTGCTTTAGCGATTATAGCATTGTCTTTGGGTAAGAACTTCTTTTAAATTTTATAATTATTTCTATCACTATAAACTTTTAGGAGAACACGCTCTGTTCCAAGTATCAGCTATTCTGAGCTACCAGCGTCGCATTAATTTGTGCACCAATATTACAAGAGTAGCCAGTTTTGATGATTACATCCAAAGGAACTACGACTATGTGTTTCAACTGCTGCCTTACAGTCCCATTGTAGCTGCTTTTGTGCTGGTAAGTTTTTAAAAACAAATAATTATTTAACATTTATTATAAGAATTTATTTTCTTAGATAGCCAATGGTGCCTGCACTTTTGTCTGGAACTACATGGACCTCTTTATCATGATGGTTAGCATGGGGCTGTCCTATCGCTTTGAGCAAATCACTGGCCGTATTCGCAAATTGGAACATGAGGAGGTCTCTGAGTCGGTGTTTATCCAAATTCGGGAGCACTACGTTAAAATGTGTGAATTACTGGAGTTTGTGGATAACGCTATGTCGAGTCTTATCTTAATTTCGTGCTTTAATAACCTCTACTTTGTGTGCTTCCAACTGCTGAACATTTTTAAGTGAGTCTTCTAAGGGAAAATAGTTATTTGAATTAAGTTTGGCATACTATATACTATCTAAAATATTCTAATAGAATTTTATTTACAGTTCTACTCTTACTTGAATCTCTAGTTTAGTAACTATACCCTTCTAATATTTTTTCTCCTAGCAAACTTCACTGGCCCATCAACTATGTATACTTCTGGTATTCGCTACTATATCTCATCGGACGAACCGCCTTCGTTTTTCTCACTGCAGCGGATATCAATGAGGAATCGAAGAGGGGTCTTGGAATCCTCAGAAGGGTTTCGAGCCGCAGTTGGTGTGTGGAGGTGGAGCGACTGATATTCCAGATGACGACCCAGACAGTCGCCCTTTCCGGCAAAAAGTTTTACTTCCTCACACGGCGCCTTCTCTTTGGAGTGAGTAGCTTCATTGAAAAAGTGTGAGTTCATGTTCACACCTTTGGATTCCTCTTCCCATCAGATGGCCGGAACCATTGTCACCTACGAGCTGGTCCTCCTGCAATTCGATGAACCCAATCGTCGCAAAGGATTGCAGCCCTTGTGCGCTTGATGAACAAAAAGCACAACACCCATCGTCGCACTCCTTGGCCATTTGTCATGTCAGCTGAGTGTGACAGGTGGCGCAATTAGTTGTAAATACTCAGTTGGTAAATCGTTTAAGGCCGCCACGCCCCCTTGGTTAAGTGAGGGGCATTTTGCACGCCAGATTGGCAAGTTGGCAGCCAGTTGTATTTTGGCCATGCCGCAGGGCGAGACATTCCATCGGGCGGTGTCAAAAGGTGTGCGATTCTAACTCGAAAAGGTTCTCTAAAAAATCATTAATAAAATTTAAATGTTCTCCAATCGCAGTTCTATTTATATCGCAAATCTATGGCCTGCTACCCGTGAGCAATGTTCGCGCCTTGGATGTTGCAGACATCCGGTTTCGTTGGCTTTCGCCTCGGATTTTCTACTCCTGCCTCGTTGTAATTCTTAATCTCTGTGAATTCGGTGCAGTTATCAATTATGTCATTAAGGTTGCCATCAACTTTCATACCTCGAGCACGCTTTCCCTGTACATAGTCTGTCTTTTGGAGCACTTGTTCTTCTGGAGGTTGGCCATTCAGTGGCCCAGGATCATGCGAACTTGGCATTCTGTGGAGCAACTGTTTCTGAGGGTTCCTTATCGCTTCTACGGGGAGTACAAGATAAAGAAGCGCATCTATATTGTGTTTGCGGTGGTCATGTCATCTGCTTTGGGTGAGTTGTATGTTTAAATATAAGAGATTTAAAGTAATATTTAACATTTTATTTTTTTTAATTTTATTTGCCCTGTATCAAATATATTTTTCAGTGGAACACTGTCTTCTGCTGGGCAACTCATTTCATCTCAGCAACATGGAGCGTACCCAGTGCAAAATTAACGTAACCTACTTTGAAAGTATCTACAAGTGGGAGCGTCCACATCTTTATATGATTCTGCCCTACCACATTTGGCTATTACCCATTTTTGAGGTTTGAGAAAAATCTTTTACATTAGTCATGAAAATCTTTAATGATTATTTAATATTTTTTAAGTGGGTTAACCAGACAATTGCCTATCCACGTTCCTTTACCGACTGCTTTATCATGTGCATTGGGATTGGTTTGGCCGCCAGATTTCACCAACTTTATCGGAGGATTGCCGCTGTCCATAGGAAGGTAATGCCAGCAATATTTTGGACGGAGGTACGAGAGCATTATCTGGCTTTAAAACGACTTGTGCGACTTCTGGATGCTGCAATAGCTCCATTGGTTCTCCTGGCCTTTGGCAACAACATGTCCTTTATCTGCTTTCAGTTGTTCAACAGTTTCAAGTGAGTTGAATAATGTTTTAAAATGGTTTAAATATTTATTAATATTTTAATATTTTATATTTTAAACAGAAATATAGGAGTGGACTTTCTTGTGATGCTGGCTTTTTGGTACTCTTTGGGTTTTGCTGTGGTTCGAACCCTGCTAACAATTTTCGTGGCATCTTCTATAAATGACTACGAACGCAAGATAGTCACAGCTTTGCGGGATGTTCCCTCCAAGGCTTGGTCTATAGAGGTGGATATAATTAATGATCCTTTCTATTTAGGTAATTATATTTGGTATCCTTAGGTCCAGCGCTTTAGTGAGCAGTTGGGAAACGACATGACAGCTCTCTCCGGCAGCGGATTCTTCTACCTCACTCGCTCACTCGTCCTGGCTGTAAGTTGAGCACATAAAACAACCAATGTAATGTTTATACCAATATTTACTCTTTCGCAGATGGGCACCACAATTATCACCTATGAGCTCATGATATCGGACGTCATCAACCAAGGTTCCATCAGGCAAAAGACTCAATATTGCAGGGAATTCTAGATGCCGGAATTTAGCATTTAGCACTCGAAACTGCAATTCAAAAGCACATTTGGTCATAAGTGTCACGCCCACGCACCTGCACAAAGTTCGCTTTTGCGAGATCCTAATCTGCAAATTGAGTGCCATACGCCCCCTTGTTTATGGCGTGTCCTTTGGATCCAAAGGACCTCTTTACATTCTATACTAAACAGCCGAACGATGCAGCAGTCGGGCCAACGGGGAACCAGGAACACACTTCAACATGGAATGGGTCCGGGTAAGATCACCTATTTGATTTCTTATTTGATTTATTACTTAATATTAATATTTTTTTTAGTGCTGGTTATAGCCCAGTTTTTTGGGGTTCTACCAGTCTCGGGTGTTTGGCCAAGTTCTCGACCGGAAAAGGTTCGTTTCCGCTGGATTTCTTTGTCCCTGCTGGCTGCTCTGGTTTTGTTCACCTTCTCCATCGTGGATTGCGCTTTATCCTCGAAAGTTGTACTCGATCATGGACTCAAAATCTACACTATAGGTTGGTTTTGATTTGAGAACATTAGAACTGAAATGTTTTTAAGAGAATTTTCCTTTAATAAACTACAGTGCTTTATTAAAATGTGTTTAAATTATTTTGAATACCTTTTTCATTTCAGGATCCCTCAGCTTCAGCGTGATCTGCATCTTCTGCTTTGGGGTTTTCCTCCTATTATCCCGTCGTTGGCCGCATATCATTCGCAGGACTTCGGAGTGCGAGCAGATCTTCCTGCAGCCGGAATACGATTGTGTCCATGGACGTGGTTACTCCAGTCGCCTTCGCCTCTGGGGTGTCTTTCTCCTGGTGGCTGCTCTCTGCGAACACTCCACGTATGTGGGAAGTGCCCTCTACAACAATCACTTGGCCATTGTGGAGTGCAAATTGAATGCGGAGTTCTGGCACAACTACTTCCAGAGGGAGCGACAGCAGCTCTTCCTGGTGCTCCACTTCACGCCCTGGTGGATACCCTTCATCGAGTGGACCACTCTGTCCATGACCTTCGTCTGGAACTTTGTGGACATCTTTCTGGTCCTCGTCTGCCGTGGCACCCAGATGAGATTCAAGCAATTGCACTGGCGCATTCGCCAACACGCCAAACAGCAGATGCCCAATGAGTTCTGGCAGCGGATTCGGAGTGATCTACTGGATCTTAGCGATCTTCTGGGGATATACGACAAGGAACTGTCCGGGTTGATAGTCCTCTCCTGTGCCCACAACATGTACTTCATATGTGTGCAGATCTATCACAGCTTTCAGTAAGGAATATTATTATAGAATTTATAGAATATAACAATCTTTTATGTAATTAGATCCAAGGGAAACTACGCAGATGAGCTTTACTTCTGGTTCTGCCTTTCCTATGTCATCATTCGAGTGCTAAACATGATGTTTGCTGCATCCTCGATTCCCCAAGAAGCCAGGGAGATATCCTACACACTTTACGAAATTCCCACTGAGTTTTGGTGCGTTGAACTAAGGCGACTCAATGAGATTTTCCTCTCAGACCATTTCGCCCTCAGTGGCAAGGGATACTTTTTGCTAACCAGACGTTTGATATTTGCGGTAAGTTAGTATAATATAAATATTAATATAGTAAATGTTAATAGAATAAATTATCTATAGATGGCTGCTACTTTAATGGTCTACGAACTGGTTCTGATCAACCAAATGGCTGGATCCGATGTGCAAAAGAGTTTCTGCGAGGGCGGCGTGGGTTCCTCCAAGAGCATTTTTTCCTAGTCCTACGTATATTTGCATTTTGTTGTATTTTTGCACCTTCTGTAATGGCACCCAATTAATTGCACCTGTCCGATGCTATCTATCAATACAATGCGTGTTTGAAATGTTCTGCTGGAAGTGTCTCAATTATCACGTCCATGATGAAGAGGCGTTTGTCTGTCCGTGGACTTCAAATGGAGCGGTCAGTGCAGGAAAACACCCTTCATCATGCCCTCGGGAATGGTGAGTGTGAATCTTGGTTGGTCGGTTCCTAAGTTTTCCCCTTTTAGTTATGGTCATAGCTCGGATTTTCGGTGTGCTTCCGCTTTCGGGGATCAAACCTCCTGATAAACCCGAAAATGTTCGCTTTCGTTGGCTTTCCCCGATTATTCTGCTTTTCGCGGTGGTTTTCCTTTTTGTCATCGGTGACTTTGTGCTGTCGACTAAGATGGTATTAAATGATGGACTGAAGATGTACACCATAGGTAAGATTTTTTAATATAATTATGTATTGGAAATTCCCCTATTAGTATTTTTTTCTAAAAATTATTCCACAGGCTCTTTAAATTTCAGTGTGATTTGCATTTTCTGTTTCGGAGCCTTTATAAATCTGTCCCGCAAATGGCCCTATATCATCCGGAAAACTTCGTTTTCTGAGCGGATATTCCTGAAACCCTGCTATAGTAGCCCCCAAGGACTCAATTTCAGCCGATATCTTCGTCGTTGGGGAATAATCCTTTTGATAACCGCCCTTTGTGAACACCTCACTTATGTGGGAAGCGCCGTTTGGAGCAATTACGAGCAAATTAGAGATTGTAATCTGAAAGTGGGCTTCTTGGAGAACTACTTTCTAAGGGAACGCCAGGAAATCTTCTCAGTGTTCAACTATGACCTCTGGATGGTTTTCTTCATCGAATGGAGCACCTTGGCAATGACATTCATTTGGAACTTTGGGGACATCTTCCTATTTCTTCTGTGTCGAAGTTTGCAAATTCGTTTTCAACAACTTCATTGGCGTATTCGTCAGAATTTAGAAAACTCTGGATCACATGAATTTTGGCAGGAAGTTCGTTCCGATTTTTTGGATCTCGATGATTTGCTCAAGCTTTATGATAAGGAGTTGTCTGGCTTGATTTTGGTGTCCTGCGCCCACAATATGTACTTCATTTGTGTGCAAGTCTACCATAGTTTTCAGTAAGTTTTGATATTTCATTTACACATTTTTCAATATTTAATATAAATTCTTTTATTCAGAGTAAAAGGAACTTTTATGGACGAGCTGTACTTCTGGTTTTGTTTGCTATACGTCATCACTCGCTTGATGAATATGATGTTTGCCGCTGCCTCGATTCCCCAGGAAATCAAGAGTATTTCCAATACACTTTACGAAGTACCCACAAATTGTTGGTGCGATGAGCTGAATCGATTAAGTGAGATGCTCCGAAATGAAACCTTTGCTCTCAGTGGAAAGGGTTTCTTTTATCTCACCAGAAGGCTGATCTTTGCAGTGGGTATCGGAAACATTTTATAAGAATCTAAGAGTAACTATGTTTTTTCAGATGGCAGCCGCTTTAATGGGCTACGAGTTGGTTTTATTCCGGCAGTTGGAAGGCGCCGTGGTGCAGAAAAGTATTTGCAGCCGCGGACCCGGCTCCTCCATGAGCATTTTCTTCTCCTAGTGCCGTTCACAGTTTTTATTTTCATTTGGAATACTTTATCAAGCCAACTTGGCCTGTCAACTTTTCGTACTTGCACAAGATTATGCACAGATAAGCACACAATTGGCGTGGAGGGCATCAATTAGAGGTAACCGTTGGTGTTTTGTGGGCTTAGCGATTGTCAGGAGAGGATTGGCCGTCAGTCGAGCACGGAACATGGCCAGGACCACTGGAGATCCCGCCAAACGGCGAAGGTGCATTGCCCGCATCAAATTCTGGCGGAGATCACGAGTGAGCAGCGAGTACGTGGATTAGATTTGCGTTTAAGAAATATATTCGACTATAATAAATTAATTTATTAATCAATTTAATACATTACAACTGCCAGTGTCACCTTGGGAATTGTTAAATACAGAGTGGTCTCCAAGCCCTCAAGGCACTTTAGATTTTCTTTCAGTAAGTTTGCAAAACTTTTATTCTTATTTATAAAACATTTGCTTTCACAGTTAGGGCTTGGCTTCATCGAATCAAAATCGAGGATAACAAGTATAGTGGCTCATTTCAAGAAGCCATTAAGCCAGGTAATAACATATTGTTCACAAAATGATGGTTACAAAACTCTTAATTTAAGTAATTTAAATTCAACAGTGACTTTGCTGAAGTTAGGGCATTCCTAGTTATTTTATTAATATTTTCTTTCAGTCCTTATTATAGCCCAGATTTTTGCACTGATGCCAGTTCGTGGAGTGAGTTCCAAGTTCTCGGAAGATCTGACCTTCACCTGGTTCAGTGCTCGAACGTATTACGCCTTGGTGACGATCCTCTGTTTTGGAGTAACTTCTGGTTACCTGGTGGCCTACGTGACAAATGTGTCGTTCAATTTCGATTCGGTGGAGACTCTGGTATTTTATTTATCCATATTCTTGATTTCGTCAGCCTTCTTGCAACTGGCCAGAAAGTGGCCTGCAATCGCCCAGGAGTGGCAGTTGGTTGAGGCCAAGTTGCCTCCAATTAAACTGCCTAAGAAGCGCAGATATTTGGCACAGCACATCAAGATCATCACCATTGTGGCCACCACTTGCTCCTTGGGTAAGAAGATATTTAATTGCATAATCTGTTAATTAATTTCTTAATTTATTTATGTGAAAAGTGGAACACATTATGAGCATGTTGTCCATGGGCTACTATGTAAACTCCTGCCCTCGATGGCCGGGACTTTCCTTCGACAGTTTCCTGTACTTGAACTTCTCCTCGGTGTTCTACTTTGTTGACTACACCCGTTTCCTTGGGCTCTTGGGAAAAGTGATCAATGTCTTGAGCACCTTCGCCTGGAACTTCAACGACATCTTCGTGATGGCTGTAAGTGTGGCTTTAGCTGCTCGTTTCCGGCAATTAAATGACTACATGATGAGGGAGGCCAAATTGGTAATGATATTTGTTGTATAAATAATGAAATAATACATATTTCGCATCTCACATTCAGCCCACCTCGGTGGACTATTGGATGCAGTGCAGGATTAACTTCAGGAACCTTTGCAAGCTGTGTGAGGAAGTGGACGATGCCATATCCACTATTACTTTGCTCTGTTTCAGCAACAATCTCTACTTTATTTGTGGCAAAATCCTCAAGAGCATGCAGTGAGTTTTTAATATGATTTTGTATACAAAATAATAAATTTCCTTTTCTTTCATTTATTTTAGAGCAAAACCTTCTGTATTTCATACCCTGTACTTCTGGTTCTCCCTCACCTATTTACTTGGTCGTACTCTCATTTTGTCGCTATATAGCTCCAGTATCAATGATGAATCTAAAAGACCGCTGGTCATTTTTCGCTTGGTGCCCAGGGAATATTGGTGCGACGAGGTAAACAGGAGTATTTATCAGTTAGGAATAAGAATAGAATCATAAGAATCCTTTACCTTTCAGCTCAAACGCTTTTCGGAGGAGGTTCAGATGGACAATGTGGCTCTGACTGGCATGAAGTTCTTTCGACTCACTCGCGGCGTGGTAATTTCGGTGTGTCACCCAAAACAAAACAAATCGCAAGCACATCCGATTATAGAACTATACTATATCCCTAGGTGGCTGGCACAATAGTGACCTACGAACTAATTTTGCTGCAGTTCAATGGCGAGGAAAAGGTGGCCGGCTGTTTTGAAAACTGAACTTTGTGGGAGGGAACGCAAACGCTAAGCCCGCAAAATATGTACCTTTATTGTTGCTGTTCCTTAATTATAGATAAGTGCAAAACAACAGGTGTTTTTAATAGTCACTGGGCACTCAGCGAGTGACAATTTGGTTCGCTGGGCAATTCCTTTGGAGCAGTTCACTCCTGCGAGTGGAATCGAAAGGTCGAAGGATGAAGTTCCTGCCAAAGCTGGAAAACAAGATCCGACGGCTGAGGAAGAAGATGACCAGGACATCGATGGTGCGGAAACTTGATTTGGTTCACGAAAGGTGGGTGGGTCAAGACAAACTTATAACTTAGTAAAGATTTGATTTAAATAACCATTTCTTTAGTGCCCGCAAAAAAGCTTTTCAGGAAAGTTGCGAAACCTACAAAAACCAAATTGAAACTGAATGCGAAGTGCGGAATAAATTGCCCAGTAAGTTGCAAGACTTTAGAACTTATCAAAACAGCATTAAATGATCTTAATTTAAATAGAGCTATCCCGTGGCGACAAGGAGGCGTTCCTCAGCGATGGAAGCTTCCACCAGGCGGTGGGCCGAGTGCTCCTTGTGGCGGAGTTCTTTGCGATGATGCCCGTTAAAGGAGTGACCGGGAAACATCCTTCCAATCTGAGCTTCTCCTGGCGCAACATTCGCACCTGCTTCTGTCTAGTTTTTATCGCCTCGAGCTTGGCCAACTTTGGACTGTCCCTGTTTAAGGTTTTAAACAACCCGATTAGTTTCAACAGCATCAAGCCCATCATATTCCGAGGATCTGTTTTATTGGTTTTGATAGTGGCTCTTAATTTGGCCCGTCAGTGGCCTCAGTTGATGATGTATTGGCACACTGTGGAGAAGGATTTGCCCCAGTATAAAACGCAGTTGCGCAAATGGAATATGGGCCACACCATTTCGATGGTTATGTTGGTGGGAATGATGCTTTCATTTGGTAAATATTTGTATTATTTGCCTTACAATCTTAAAGGTTTTCTTATTTCCCAAAGCGGAGCACATTCTGAGCATGGTTTCTGCTATAAACTATGCTTCCTTTTGTAACCGCACCGCTGATCCCATCCAGAATTATTTCCTGCGCACCAACGACGAGATATTCTTCGTGGCCAGTTACTCCACTGCTTTGGCTTTGTGGGGCAAGTTCCAAAATGTATATTCAACGTTCATTTGGAATTACATGGACATGTTTGTTATGATTGTGAGCATTGGATTGGCTGCCAAGTTTCGCCAGCTCAACGATGATTTGCGGAATTTTAAAGGAATGGTATGAGAGTAAAATAAATAAATAAATTCTATGGAAAACAACAAAATAAATTGCAGAACATGTCACCCACTTACTGGTCGGAGCGTCGCATTCAATACAGGAATATTTGCATTTTGTGCGATAAAATGGACAATGCCATTTCCCTCATAACAATGGTGTCCTTCTCCAATAATTTGTACTTCATTTGTGTGCAGTTGCTGAGGAGTTTAAAGTAAGTATTTAAGAATCTTTATTCTTTATTTCATTTAAGATTAAATATTTTTCCTTAGCACAATGCCTTCGGTGGCCCACGCCGTGTACTTTTATTTCTCGCTCATCTTTCTCATTGGTCGCACTCTGGCGGTTTCACTGTACTCCGCCAGCGTCCATGACGAGTCCCGGTTGACTTTGAGATATTTGCGCTGTGTGCCGAAGGAATCCTGGTGCCCGGAGGTTAAGAGATTTACGGAGGAGGTAATCAGCGATGAGGTGGCTCTGAGTGGAATGAAGTTTTTTCACCTGACAAGGAAGCTGGTGTTAAGTGTAAGTTAAAATGGAGAATACTATATCATAAGAATACTCTTCCTATTTTCTTCTTTAGGTTGCTGGCACCATCGTCACCTATGAACTCGTACTCATTCAATTTCACGAGGACAACGACCTGTGGGACTGCGACCAAAGTTATTACTCCTAATATCATATCATCATTAACAGGGTTTATTGCAGAATAAATAAAAAATCATCTTGCACTTTATTATTATTGTTTGTTTAAAGCGGTAAAAGGAAACCAACAAAATGTCGCTCTTAATATTAATCGGTTACATTGCCTAATTGTACGTCTTTTATCCGCTAGAGAGATTCTACGTGTGTCCGTGTGTAGATTCCACAAAGAATGGTCGCTATTTCACTTACTGGCTAATCGGCTAACTCTGATGGTGGATGAGATAATGGGGCACCTCTACTGTCGACTGGCATGGGGTCCTCAGTGTCAGCGAAAGTGTCGTGCTCGGAACGCTTTAAATGTACAATATATGCGGTATCGGATGCAAAATTCAGCTAAAGATTTTCAATTACTTATGCTTAGGTTCAGTGTAGTGGACTACACTCTGTTCCAACTTCGTGTTTACTCTTTTTGCCACTACAAATAAAGGTAACATGTTCGGAAGTTTGGTGGTTTCTGGTTGCATATGTCTGTTCCATTACAAAATTTATGAAGCGGAAGCTACACGATAACTACATGGTATTATTATGTAAGTGTCTATATATAGGATCCTAGCAGATGTGACTCTGTGTCTACTAATACGAATTCTACGACTGCCAATAAAGAACTACAAAAACTTGTTCGATGTTTTGCTGAACGCCTTCCACGCTTCAACCGGGGAAATGCATAGGAGGGGACTCGACTTGGGGGACTCGACTGAGAGAAGGCAAACATAAAGTATCACAAAGATTGAGATCTTAAATTAAAGCATAGCAAGAGAGCGCAAACAATCGGTTGGAGGATTAGCCTTAGTCCGTATTGAAGATGGGGGAATGCAGAGGCTTGAGTAGCGAGTGTGGCATGGATGCGTTGCGTTTGCATTAGCGTTTTGAGTGAGACAAGTCTGGGGCATCGCAGGTCCTCAGTGCCGCTTGGCGTCGTATTGCTTAACCTTCTCCGGGATGGCAGCCTTCTCCACGACCACGTGCAGGCCGAGCTCCTCCAGGGACTTCACGTAGACCAGTTTGCGCCAGAACTTTGTGCTGCACAGGAGAGCAAGAATTTATTTCAATGTTTAACTGGGAACTGTTTGCTGTGGTTTACCTCACAAAAGGCCGCGCCATCCAAACCAGAGACTTTATCCAAAACGTGGGATGCACCAGATACATGTGCTTCAGGCTCTTGCGCAACCGACGGTCCAGCAGTTGGTAGCACCTGTATTAAAAAAGCTTTTTTAATAACCCGAAAGAAAATAAAGCTAAGTGAAACCCACCTTTTGAGCCAGGGAAACGGCGGCACATTCCGCCTGTTGGAGCCGCCATGAAGATAGATCAGCACATAGTCATCCGTGACCAGCTGCTCGAGGGTCTTGACCACGTAGAGAAACAGGTTGTCCATCACATAGCTGTAGTCGGCCCTCGACCTATCCGGCAGGTGGCAGGCGCAAAAGATGACGATGGCGTTCTGGCCGCCAGATTTGAGATATCCACCGTGGGATAGAACACGCTTGTACGGCTCGATGACCCGCATATCGATCTCCCGGGTGCGTCCATCCGGTAGAGTGATCTTCTGCCAGTTTCGCGAATCGCGTCTCTCCTCAGCAGCTGTGTATTGCGGTAATGTGGAGGCACCATTGGCCGAAGCCTGGGCATTTGGCGTCGGCGTAGTGGCCAGACCGAACTCCATGTCTAGTTCGAGGTCGTCATCGTTATCAGGCAGCAGCTCCGGACCCTCGCAATCGTCGTCGTCGTCCTCCCCATCCAAACCATCGATTAGGGAGCTGGAGGGGCTCAAGGATGCCAGGTTGTGCTCGATGTCCTCGTCGTCATCGAAGCTGTGATTCGAGATGGAATCCAGACTGGATATGTCCTCGCCTCCAGGGAGAGTGGTCGTTCGCTTGGATTTCTTTCCGTTTCCATTGGGCATCAGGGAGACAGACTGAAAGTTAGACTCGACGGCGGCCAAGTACTGGGAGACATCCGCATCCGACTCGCTGCTCAGAATGTCCGGACTGTTGGCCCGTAGCAAACTGACCTTGGCATCCTGAGGCTTGCTCCGCGACTGATTCAGCGAGTTCTTCGCCTGCACCGTCTCTGTGGTGGGCACCACGTCCGGAAAATTGTTCCGCGGCGGTTGTGTCTCCTGTTTCTTTAGCTGAAAGGGCTCGGAATCCGAGTCCGTGTTGGTCGGTGACATCAGCGGATGACTGTTGGCTAGGGTGCGCTCGATGGTGTGTCGCTGGGGGGTGGTTTCCATGGGCAGCAGCTCCGGACGCAGTATTCTGTTGTCCAGCGCGGAGCTCGTCTTAAACTCTATCTCTTCCTTGTCATGGTCCTTTGCCTGCTCCATTTCCAGGATGTTCTTTTCGGGAGCGGGGGTCACAGCATCATCCGCCAGCGGCGAGACGCCCGTGGAGTCCGTCGGCGTCTCCGAGATGTCCATTTTGCTCTCTGACTGCGAAGATTCCGATTCCGCGTAGTGCAAACTGCAAATCGATTAGTCATATATACAGTCATTCCACTGTTTTGTTTTTGTGCACAGCCATTTACCTCATAGTTTTCCGTGTTATTTGTGTGGCTAGTGCAAAATTTCGGTCGCCCGTTCATCCAGGCACTCATCTAGTCGCTTTGGGCATCAGTGCTAATTGATGAGTCTGGCGTTATGGCCCAAATTCGCTGATATTTAAATGCCAGTAAACAAATTTTACACTCTCGAGTGGGCTACAGAACTAGGGATGCCAGACGGCCAAAAGTCTGCGACTAAGAGTGTTGGTAAGTGTTGGTTGCGCGGAATTTTTTTCGTGCTATGAAGTTTAGGATAAATGTGTAGTTTTAAATATCGTCAATATGATGCTAATTCAAATCAGTTTGAATTTTTAATGGTTTTCCTTAAATATTAAGTGAAAGTATCTTTTTCAAACTACGATTTTCTCTCAGTGTTACTTTTTCCCGACGATATGGCAGCTCTGAGTCCGACATACTTTTTCTTGCTGCTGCGGTCACACTGCGTGCGTTGTGCGTCGCGAAAATAATTAGTTTTAACCCGTAAAATCCCCGTTAGAGCGATGGAGGTAACAAGGATCACCGTTAGCAGCAGCAGTGCAGTGCCCGTGACTGCTCCCAACGCCCCCGCAGCCCCCGGTAACGCCACGGCAGCTGCGAGCACACTAATCCAAGCAGGCGTGTCATCAGCAACAACAACAACAGCCCCCATAGCAGCAGCAACAACAACAATAGGAAGTACAGCAGCAAACAGTTCAACTGTTATTTCGACAACAATACGAAATCCGATTCGAAATCTACCGATTGAACTGCAAAACGATCAAAAGCGAAGGAGGTAAGTCGATGACAAATGTCAGATTTATCACAATTAGTGCTGGGTAATCATTTATCCCTTTCATTTTCTCATCGCAAACAGTTCGTCGCGTACGATCAAAAGGAAGCGTTTTGATGACGAAATAGTCGAGTACAACATTGCAGTGCCCACAAATCGCGGAGGAACGGATGCAAATCGCAACAGCAGACCTCGGACTTCGTCCCAGAATTATCCCGCCTTGGTGGGCGTGCCGCACACCACGTTAGCTCCATTGAACATACCCATTTCTACGCCGGAACCTCCACAAACGCCGGGTTCCGCGGATTCCTTGTTGCCGGGAACACCTAGTACCGTTGCTTCACTGCCCCTAGCCACACCTACCACGCCTGCTCCTCTGGCCACTCCTCTTCCAGTTGCTCCAGTTGTTGCGCCAGTGGTGCATCCCAAACCACCAGCCATGGAACGTCCTACAACCAGCGATCGTCGTTCTCGTTCTGTGCGTCCTGCCAGCAAGAAGTCGCAGCGCAGGAATGGTCGTCCCATGGGCCAAATGGCCACTAAGGATCTAGGCCGCTGGAAGCCCATCGATGATCTTTCCTTGATCATCGGTATCCAACAGACCAACGACCTAAGGATCATCCATCGCGGCGTGAAGTTTTCCTGCAAGTTTACCTTGCAGGAGCTTCAGCAGCGTTGGTATGCTTTGCTCTATGAGCCTGCGGTGTCCAGAATTGCGGTCTCCGCCATGAGGAACCTGCATCCAGAGTTAGTGGAGTCCATTCAACGCAAGGCCCTGTACAGCGTGCAGGAGGAAGATCTTCTTGGAACCATTAAAAGCGTAAGAGAAACGTGTAAACTTCATCTACAGACATCACTAATCAGTATTCCTATCCCACAGTCCGAGCAACCCAAGCTGGAGCAGTTCCAAGAGCTGCTGGACAAGAACGCCTCTATCTTCTACTGCGCCCGTACTGCAAAATCTCTCCACAACCATTGGCTTCTGCTTAAGCAGTACAGCCTGTTGCCGGATCAGACGGTGAAGCCTCTTTACGGCACGGATCAACAACCACTCAGCTTCTCCGATGCAGAGGATCAAATCTTCGAGCATGACTTGAACGAGCCACGTGACGAAGCTCTGGAAATGGAGAGGGCTTTGGCTGATCGGCGCAACAAACGTGATATTCGCCTCCTGGAGAACGAGCTGTCTCGCTGGGGTGTTCTAGTTGATTCCGTACTCGGTCCGACGGCTGCCTCGGAGTTCGACAACCAGACGCTGGCCTGTCTGTGCGGCCGTCATGTGCGTTACCTCATGCGTTCCAAGGAGATCACCTTTGGCCGTGATGCCAAGGACTGTGTGGTGGATGTGGATCTGGGACTAGAAGGGCCGGCTGCTAAGATCTCCCGCCGTCAGGGAACCATCAAGTTGCGCAGCAATGGCGATTTCTTCATCGCGAATGAGGGCAAGCGGGCCATCTTCATCGACGGCACTCCTTTGCTGTCGGCCAACAAAGCCCGGCTGGCTCACAACTGCACTGTGGAAATTTCCGGGCTGCGCTTCACCTTCCTGGTCAACTATGAGCTGATCAACGCCATCCGCCAGGAGAGCGCCAAGACATCGAATCCCCTCAACTAACTGCGCTCAGAGCGAGGACTTTAGTGTATTTTAGTACTTAGTAAACGGAAAACTGAATTCTGGAATAAACAGCATATGAACAATATGTTTTACCCATAAATATTTTAGTGTGTCGATATTTTAACTGTAATATTGCTTTCAGCATGTTTCTATAAGTGTAGTATTGGGTGTCCTTTTGGAAATTTACCACATGACCAGGGGTCAAAATTTCGACCCTCGCAAAATGGAAAATTTTGAATGCATTTTTTTTATGGCTGCAATTACAAACTTTAAGAGGTATGCCACTTTAGAATCGGATCAAAATTGGCAATGTTATGGCTTACGGAAATGTAGTTTTGGGTCTCCAAAACTAAAATAAATTAAACGAATTAATCTTTTCCCATAGGCTATTTAAAAGCAAATGCTATCTTAATAGAAACAGTTTTTTAGAACGGTTGAATGCTTTTCATTACCATATTTATGACTTAAATCGAACTTAACGAATTGTTAGTAATTTAGAGTGCTAAAAGAACGCCCACTTTGTAGACTCGATAACCACAACGCCTCCAATCGAACGGAAGCCGTTGACGACTTTTTCAACCATCGACTGTGAAGCCGAGTGGAAGTGGTAAAAGAGCTTAAGAGTTCTCCCGGAACTTTGGGGTCAGCTCTGCCCACAAGAAACCGTCTCGGCTCCGTCTCCAGACTCCTACGACTCTGCGGACGCTGTGTCATGTGGCTAATTTGCGACTAGCTCGTAAGCTGCTATTAATTACAGCTCAGTCGGTGGAAAGTGGCTGCCGGCAGACACCGCTCACACACCATCCGCAGATCCATCCATCTAACCATTCTATCCATATAACCATTCTATCCATCTAACCATTCTATCCATAACCATTCTGTTCGCATGTCACCGTTTACAAAGCTGAATTAAACAACAAAGATTCGCAGCTCTGAGAAGAGTCACGCGATTGTTGATAGTTCTTTCTTGTTTGGGGTCCCTGGGCCCCCAACTTGGAGAGGTTCACTTGTCACGGCAATTTAGCCGCTGATCGTTGTGATTGTGTTTAGGCAAATTTGTTCGACCTTGCGCCTTGGGAGCCGCAGTTCGCCACTTTACAAATTGTAACATATCGCAGATCGCAGCAGCCAGATCGACTAACCCGACTAAGTTATAAATGATCGCAGCTGCTGGGGTAATTAATAGAGCCACCGACAGCCGAGGACCATGACACCTAATATAGAAATTAGTCGGCGAAAGAACAGGGAGAAAGTTCGATGACTTTCTGCGCCGGCCTTTCTTCGAGGTCGAGTTGGGGTTTGGAGTCGGATTCGATGGAGGGGCTCTTTAATTTGTATTGTTGATACTATAAACTAATAAGCCAAGCTGCGCAGCATATTAAAATATAATTAATTGTTGTCACTGTCTATAAAAAGTCAATTTACCTTTGCCTTACCGGGAATTCTCTGTTTGCCCCATCGCGCCGAATTCTCCATCTTTCTCCGCTTTGTTCCCGCTGGAATTTCAAATTCCAAATTCTAACGTTGATTTGTGTGCATTTTTTGTCCGCTGGCCAATCTTCGGCTGCTGCTTTCTTCTTGGATGATGATGGCGATGGTGCTGGCGATGATGATGCCGTGGCTAATGAAGCCCGGCTTTGTCTTATTATACTTTGTATCTTTTGTGCAGTTCAGCGAACTTTTGTTGTTGCTGCTGGCTCGATATTCTGATATTTTGGCGATGTCGCAACTGCTAAAATTAGTTTACAAATTTCGCGATATCTTTCTCCTCTCTATTAGCGTAGGTCATGCTGTTTGTAAGACTGGGCTCCAAAGTGTCCGAAGTGGAGCACCATCGTCCACTCCATTTTATGCCGGCGTTGCGTGGGGGTCTTCTAAGCCAAAATGTAGAACTTTCACAGTTCGATCGCTGAGATCATACCTAAGCCACAGATCTTGGGTTTTTGATTTATCTAGTGTTGATTCTTTATAGGCAAAAACACCTGAGCCGAGCTTGGCCCAGTTGGGCTGACATAATGCCTTGATTATCTCATTGCATTATATAAAGTAAACAAATCGAATTGTCACAGCGCCCCGAGATTTCGTGACTTTGCAGGAAAATGGCCAAAAACAATTGAAGTCGGGGCCATAAAAATAGCCTACTGATCAGTTTGCCGAATCGAAATATGCCAAAATCATTTCCCCCCTTTTTTACAACACCTGCCATAAGGTGTGATTATTCAATTCAACATAACAAAACATTTATAGCGTTAGTCAGTCGTTGTTGTTGGTGTGGTTGCAGTTTAATATTCATTTCGCTAATCGCATTTCAATCAATTTCATTTCAACTGTCAATGGTGTGAGGGGTTTGAAGTGCACTGAAAAAATATATAAAACTGTGTTACAGCTACGTAAAAATAACTGTTTAATAACTTTAACTTAATATTAACGAATTTCATTTAATTTTATTGAGTATTTAACATTACTAAATAGATAAGTATATGACTAAGGAACTATCTGCATTTCCCTTAACATTTGTTCAACATAGCTTTTGTTGTCACGAAAAATATTTCATTAGGTAACCACAAATTAAATATATTTCTTCCTGTACTTAAATTGGGGAGGGGGCGTGGCTGCTTCTGTTTGGAGCGACATTTGTCGTAGACACGCATGTCAACCGAATGCGTCATGTGAAATATTCAAATTCGGCTTTGTGTTTCGCATGTAACGCATAAATAATCCGAAACCCCCGAGCAAACTCAAAATCGTTTTGTTCCGCGTCGCTCATACGCACAGTGGGTCGTCAAAGTCAAAGTCCAGACGCTGTGAGCTGCATTGGTAATTGAATTGCCGTGTGGTTTTGTTTATTGAACTAGCTGGCAAATATATATCTCTAGCATTCGTTCGTCTATGATTATTCATGGAATGCTCGCTGATTTATCCCTATCCCCAACATTTCGAAAATGATTTCATGCCGTGTGTGACGTCAGCTGCATATCGGCTATATAGCTTTATAGTAGACTCAATCGCTGTGATCGGTTTACCGAGCGCCAGTCAGTCAGAAAAACCTTGGAGCTCGCTGCTCCATTAGACGAAAAGCGACTCCGAGTCGCCCACGCACTTGATATTTACCAACAACAATGGCAGCTCTGGCGCCAAAATAAAGCAAGTTCAATTTGCAACTCCACTTTCGGGTCTTAAGATCTCGAGAGCCGTTGTTGTGCCCCATACCATACCATACCGATACCATCGAGTGCCAGACACTTTTTGCAGTCGAGACGAATAATTACAACGACTTTGATTTTTTAATTAATTCGGGCCACAAGGCGAGCAAAGCAGCCAAGAGATACAGATACAGATGGCCATAGATACGCCGCCAGAAATCAAATGCCGGACTTTTATTATCCGTGTGGGTTGTTGGGGTTGTTGTTTTGTTTCTAGGTTTGTTTTTTGTTTTCTTGTCTTCTAATGGATTATGAATATGGCTGCATACCCTATTTGAGAGCTTTACAATTTAGGGAAGGGGATTGGTTCTACAAGTAACCGAAAACAATCTTGCGGTCGAAGTATATTCAATATTGCGTATTATTTCGAAATTATTGAACATTATAAAATTAATAAGCTGTAGGTTACTTTCAAGAAGATTCTTAATAAAAGGTACACATAATCTACATCGGTAATTTCTTTCTTATAATGGTATAAAATTGTTAAAAAATAGCTTGCACTTAGTTTCAAAGTTACTGTCATTAGATTGCTGATCTTAAGTGTGTTAATTAGCTGGGTAACCCCGAAATGAATCACGGATCTGGGCAACTGAGTCTAGACCCCCTTCTCTTCCGCCATTAATTGGATAATGCCTCTCCCTTGGGCGAAGGGTATCAAAAGCTTTGCACTTGGCCTTTCTCCCTTGACTATCAAATATTTGCGTTGCCAGCAAAAACCGCTGACTCAAATCGCGAATTGCCTGGAGACTTGTATTTTTAGATGTGTTTATTTGTCTCGATATAAATTGCGATATGAAATTGCTCGCATATTGCCGCCTGGTGGATTTTAATAAACTTTTAACCGATCGAAAACTGTCGAGACGTGAAGTTATCTAACTCCACTTCGATTTGAACCCGCTTCACACTTCAAGATCCAACATGCCAAGGCCGCTCGCAAACCCTTTCGAAAACGAGGGGCTTAGCACCTGAAGTATTTATCACTCATTTGGCTCGGAGATGCACTGAGATCTCACTGATGTGGGATCTTTGGACCCGACTGGCTGGCAATTAGATGCAATTATTGAACGCTTTTTGTGGCCAATAGCAGTTCGAATTTGGCGCGTGACAATTGCGGGTGGGCTCAAAGAGCCGAGAAATCGGCTTACTGGCTCCCCCCAAAGTAGATTAAATGGCCCAAGCAGAACTGACAAAAACAAAAAAAAAAACAAATACGAACCCAGAGCCGAAGCTTTGGCGCTCGCTTTTGAACCGAAGCGGTTTCGAATTTGAAGTTTTTAAACCGTCAACTAAGCGCGCTGCGAATTTAGTGGCAAACGAGCCAGCCAGTCGACCAGACACACGAGCGCGCGAGTTTGAAAACCTGGCCCAAACCGAAATTCAAAACCGACAGCAAAAACCGATCGCATATTGCAACGAGCGTGGGCTGCAATCGGAAGTGTTAACAAAATAAATACCTACAAAAAAACAAAAAACAAGCAACTCCAGCAGCCGAAGCTGGAACTAATTGAAAGCCTCGCCGGCTAATTGCCAATAATGAAGATTGCCAAAACTGGCGGCCGCTGAGAAAAAAAAAAGATAATTCGGAAAATCTTGTGCGTGTGTACAGAGCCGTGAAAATCCAACGGCAAATAAATTGCAAATTAAATCGGAAAGGCACCGGAGGATCATCATGAATTCGTGGCTGGTAAGTGGTGCCAGCTTTTAATCAGCGATAAGTTGTGCACAGTAGCATTTGGTGTGTGTAGAATAAATCGGCTGACAGCAGGGTTTAATACAAAATAAATGCGTTTGAACTCAAGTGGTCAATTCTCGTCCACGTTGAACTCTTCAAAGCGGCTCTTGTTCTTCAAGAGAAAGGTGGCCAGGTAGCTGATTGGATCACTGGGTCTCTCGCGGGCCAAAGCCTGCAGTCCGTGCAGCAAAACGGGGGCCACAGTCTGCTCGAGGTACTGGCGAGCCGACAGGGAGTTCTCATCCGGACGGGGTTTCCGGCACGCCGCAAATGCGGAGGGTCCATCCAGCGACTGCTGCGAGTTTGAGTCCTTTTTGGCCCAGATCTCCGTTGGTCTGGAAGTTTCCATCGCCGTGGGACATTGGCATTGCTTGGCTGGGAAATACACTTCCTTACTTCCCAAAAAATAGAATTTATTGAAAACTTACCCGCCAACTGAATTTGTCAAGCTTTAAAAGTATATTTAACAGCAAACTGAGCTCTTAGCGCTTTGAATTTTGTTGGCAGAATGATGTTTTAAGGGATTTTTTTCCACAAGCTCCTGAATTCAAAGACTTCGCCTGCTTAATGACAGCTAAAAAAAAAAGCGGTTTTTATTTTTAAACACTTTTTTTTAGCTAACACTGTTTTAGACCACTGGTTTGGAAACATACTAGTTTTTTAGATCTAGCATAAAAGGGAATTTTTAGTTGTCAATTTTTTAAATGCATTCTCTAATTTGTGAAAATGTTCTACGAGCAGTTAAAAGAATTCAGTTTTTTGTAGTCTCCAAGCTATTCTGTATTGAACGCTCTCGATGATGTCAGCCAGAGTTTTCCCATAACTTAGTTGCCGGCTTTCGGCTAGAAATTCAATCACCCTTAACCGGGTCGTAAATCCATCCATACTGCCGCAGATAACCGCCTGACCTCGACCCAAAATTTATGTGAAGCGAACAAGATTTAGGAGCATCGTTCGGTTCGTTTTACGGATTAGACAAAGGCGGGTAAATAACCACGGCAATTAACTCCTAAGTGGCTGCCAAGTAACCCCCAGCTAATTAAGCAGTTAAAAGGCAGAAGCGAACCAAGTGCACTGCCCATAAATTTCCCCCCTTTTGCAAACTTGTCGCAGAATTTGATTTCAAAATGAGCCAGCTGGCTGTGGGATAACCCTTGATTACCGGGGCTCCATAATAATCCATAATTCACAATCAGACATATAATATCTTTGGTAGCCATGTAAACGTGTTCTAAGAGTCGTAAAATCAGTGTAGAATAGCCTGCTAAATTGTTTGCTTATGTTTGGCAACACTTTTCTTAATTGCCACCTGTAAATCACACAAATCAGCGGCTGTCTCGCTCGCACCTTCCTTTATGAATCTGTCGTTGTTTATACGAAATTTATTGAATAATTCATGGGAAGTGATTAACACATATTTCGCTGCGAGAAGCGAGAAACCTGTAGTTTTTGACCCATATTCGGGATAATTTTGCCACAAATTTGAATACGAATAGAAGCGGTCAGAAAACAAATAAAGAGGGGAAAATTGAGGGGGTAACGCTATATGCCCTAACTGTTTTCGGATCTTCGGAGGCCTCAATCACTTGGTTTCGACAAAATTCGTGCATTACATGGAGGCTTCCCCCAGATATTGATCAGCGAAGAGAAGCTAAAGGAACGAAGAGCCCGGCAAAGGTCACTGGCATCTTAGACGCAGACTGACTTCGATGATAATGATTATGATGATGATGATGATTATGGTGACGCGGATGATTATGGGCTATTCAGATGGCCCGAACTCCAACTCACGCGGAGTATCTTTGTATCTTTTTTAAGTGGGCAGCAGCACGTGGGCCTTACATTTTGTTAGTTTTGAAGGGAACCACGGAAAGGGCCAACAAATCAAAACAAAACTTTGGAGGTGAAAAACCCAACTGCAGCCCACAATTGCGCAAGTCTCAAGGGAAGAAAGAGAGGGGGAAGAGAGCTCCCTAAGTATATGCAAATTGGTTAAAGCAGCATCTAAAAACCAAAACAGAAAACAAAGACCCCAAAAACGGAGCATTTATAGTCAAAGGTGACAATACCCTAAAATCATGTCAAAAAATTGGGTCAAACTTAATAAAATAAAAATCTAAATATTTACAGTAAAATATAATATTTAATGATAATATATGATTATAATGATTAAATGATAAAAGGTTTATTTAAACTAATATAAGATAAAACCACAGTAATATTTAATAATTCTCTTTTAAGCAAAAGTCGAACTATTCCTCAGAATACCTTTTTTACAATGTATATTACATAACAACTTGTTACAGTTCTCTCATAATTGATTTGCTTTAAAGTAATAACAAACTATAATTAGTTACGACAAGTCAATAATTAAATAATAAGTATACATTTCTTATAGTTTCGAGTTTCTCTTTCCCTTTTTTTACAAACAACCTCATAAACATGTCACACCCATTCTAGGGCACTCGAAAAAACCAAAACAGAGCAGGGCGAAATTAGCGCAACTGAATTAATTAGCGCGGCGGAATCACTTGCCACATTTTGCATTTATTATTTATGCGACCTTGAGGGAGATAGCCGGGTCCAAAAGAGAGGCAGACAGCGAAAGAAGCGATCCATGGCAGAGTGACAGAAATAAATTCAAATTGTCTTGGCCATTTTGCCTCGCACTTTTCTTCGCATTCGCTTTTTGGGCCCCAAAAAGCCAGACTCCGAAACAGATTAGTTGCCCTGCGATAATTATGCAAGTTTCCTAGATGGATTGATACATGGGCGGCCGGCCGATTTGTGTTTCTCATGTTTTTCATTTCACAATTACCCATTATTAAATATCATTTCAAATGGAACCCGCCCCTGCCGGCGGCTAATTCGCATTTTGTTTTTCTGCATTTCACGAATAAATTATTTGGCCATAAACTGTTTTGAACGCCGCAGACGACCGCCGATGATGCTGCAAGTTTTTTTTTTTCGGCCACATTCCGCCGACACATCGAGATATTTTTCTATCCCACAGGCTGACCCAGTTCCTTTTGTTGATTCAAAGGAGGTGGCTAATTCAGCTGGCCAATTCTACTCAATTCTATCGCAGTTCACACGCCAGAGAATTTTGCACTGTTTTTTAATGGCCTTCTTAACGAATTAACCACAGCTGCTGTTTTGCAGTCGAATGGGAAGCGGATCCAAATGCGGTCACAGCCATAAGTGGCGGGTCACCTCAGAAGTGAGTGATGTGGGAAGATGTTCTGGGTGAGACTCAAAAGCAATTAAACCATTAGGTCACCCATGGGAGTACAGCCAAATATAATCTGGAATTTACTAGGTACTTAAAAAAGATAATATATGTTTTTGAGACAGTTTTACTTTTGAATGGTATAGTAAATTATGTGCATAACATTTTCTTCAAGAGTTTGTGTTATTTGCTACCTTTTGGGATTATGCAAATCTATTTTAGGGTGTTGGCCTGGAATCCTTTGGCTCAAAATTCCATTTCCTTGTCACACTTCTGTCTGTCCCGCCCCGAATTTCTGACTGCGCATAAAGCTAACTGGCAAGCTGACAGTTGTTGCAGTTGTTAGAGTGCAAACGAGGCAACCACGCCGCCCAACGCAGCGACAATCAGAGACACTCTTGCCCACACAAGAACTGACAGCGAGCGCGGAACAATGTCGCCAGTTTATCGGGGAGAACAAGAAATATATATGCGCAGATACCGAGCATATAGTAGGTACAAGTGAGTCCCACGCAGGGCACACGAGTTGAATGCCAGATGAGGTGAGATGAGCTGCGGCGGGGCAGCGATGCTAATCAATCCGCTTGGCATCGAAAGTATGCCAAAGTCAGCTGGCTGCCTGGCCTGGCCCTTTTCCACATTTTCCCAACCCAGTGGTAATGGAAATTTTACATAGCAAATAAAAAAAAAATGATCACCCAAAGTGCCAATAAAAATGCTTTTCAAAACTATTTTTTTAGTTATGATGATTTCTGGAAGAACCTTTTTAAAAAATCTAATCGGATCTAAAATAAATGTATAAACATAAACCACCTTTATTTAAATAATAGGTATTTCTACTTTTAAAAAATTTATCTTTACCCACCCCGACAACCAATAACCCCTTTTTTTCCCCAAGTGCATGAGTTCGAAAGTAAAACACGACAATTATCACACATAGCTGGCATTTTTGCATATAACGCTGACACAGATGGCGCTCGCCGAGTTTGAGTTTGAATTTAAGTTTGAATTTGAGGGGCATGCCGCTGCCAAAAAATGCGGCTTTTCCCACAGCGCTCGACTCCCCGGCGGAGTTCATTTACACGCAGCGCGCAAACAGAGTCGAATCCGGCGGCAATTACTATGATTAATTTCGCTTGATATGTGCATCGGGCTCTGGACTCTTTTAGTATAGCTTTTCTGCTGCGGCCCAGCTCAGGCGCAATTATGAAATACGCCTTAGCATTTAGAGGGGGCTCCGAAGAAGAGCGCTTCGGCGGTACAATAGTTGCATGCCCGCACGCTGACAATGAAAATTGGGGGCGGGGATGGGAAGAGCGGTGGTGTGGTGTGGTTGGGGGGGAAAACAACACTTTAAACAACACGAAATTAAAACACGAGCGAGCAATGAACAACTGCCTGCATTGGCCCATGTCGAAGTCGAAGAAGTCGGATCGAAGTCGCAGCTGAGCTGAAAATTAATGCGCTACCACCGATAGCGATGTGCTCGTGCAGCTTTCACTCTCTTTTGGGGCCGAATGTCAGCCGGGTTTTTTTTTTTCGATTCGCTTCGTTTTTGGCCACCGTTTTGTTTTTTTTTTTTTTTTTTTGCGGGAACTGGACACCCAAATCCCTGACAAATTGGAGCAGCCAAAGAGCAGTTCCCAAAACAGCTGGCAACTGGCAAGTGCCAAGTGCAGTGCCAAATTGCGGAAACATTTTTGGCGACGAAGCGCGAAGCAAAGCAAATCAACGCAAAAAACAAAAGACTTAAGACACGAACTCGCGGAGATGCCTGGGTAAATCACACAGTTGGTGGCGGCGGCGGCGCCGTTTGGTGCCACATCAGGTGGATTTTCCACTTGGTTAGCGGGCCACTTTTTTTTCTCTCCTCAGCAGATGGCGACCTTCATCATGGGGCATTACCCAACCCGAAGCAACTCCACGCCGTTCCACTCTTTCACGCCTCGACAAATTGGGCGCAGCCGAATCGGAAAATCGGAAGACGCCCAGAACAGACGACGTCTGGCTTAAGTTCTTGTTTCGCAACTGATTTATTATGAAACTTTATCCAAAAAAAATTATTTAAATTCACTACATATATCTCTGTATTTACTTAGCAGAGAAGTATTTAATTTGCACTGTTCTTCACATAAATAAACAATAATAAAACCACTTCAATTACAATTTGTGCCCCATTACTAATGAACAACTTTACAGATATGGTCACTTCTACTCTGAATTGTGGGTGCCATCTAGAGCTGACAAAAACATAAAACTAAAATCAACAGGTTTATCCAACTTCCATTCTGATTATGCAACTCTGTAATTCATTATGCAATTTTCGCAATAATTGTGTCAACAAAAGTGAAAAGTGTCGGAAGTGTCGCCTGGTGGAAAACTTTTGGCGCCGCTTCGCTTGCCAGCTGTTCGTTGGGTTCACCGCTCTGCCCCTGAGTTGTCCGCCCACGTTCGTCGCCTCTGGATGACCTTGGTGTGTTCGGGGCGGCATGTGCATAAAGCATATGCATATGGCCATTTGTGGCTCAATAATTGTTTATGGCTCTCGCTGATGAACATTTGTTTTGACAGTCGCCCAGTGCATGTCAATTGCATGATTATCGCTTAATTATCAATTCCATTCCGTGGCTTTTGTTCCGTTCTGTTTAGTTCTACGCATGACTGTTGGGGATTCGACACGTAACATCCACCTCACACATTACAACACACATATTCACGCAACACTCACTCGAATAATCAAGTTATCACACCCCAAGTGCCACAAATATGGAGAGCAGCAACTTGAAAATGATGCAATAAATTGCAATGCAAACTGCGGTTGAAGCTGGTTTAGATGATTGCTGGTTGTGCAAAGAATTCAGGAGAATCGACTTGGAGATACCTTCTCAGATCAACGAAATTAAAGTTGTTTTCAATATGGTTTGAATGTTAAAGAAATCATAGATGACTTCGTTGTATTTATAACTAATGATATATATTGTCAAGAAATTGGATATAATTAAATCTATCCTTGTTGATATTTTTTCAGTAAAGTATTTGTTTATGAGATTATTTTAAATTGTCACATCTCCCGCTTAAATCAGACCTGATCCACATTGAAAATTCTTCATATGCAGTTGACTGATAAATTCTATAAATAGAGATTAGCAACAGGCAGCAGCTGTCCAGCGATAAACTGGGTTACTTAGGGGCTGTAGATCAGCTTGTAGATCAGTTTGAACCCCACCGATCGGATGAAGTGGCTTTTGACTGGGACAAACAAGACAGGCAGCATTCTGCGTGGTCGCATTTGTTCGATATTCGATTCAGGGGCGGGTTCTGAGAGCCCACACTCTCGTCTTAGCCGCAGTTAAAGCCTGGCCCGAAGGCATGGCTGCTGCTCGTGGAAACCAATAAGTGGATTGTATAACTGCTTACAATGTTCCTATAAAGTTTTCGTACTTTGTTTTTTTGGTGGGGCTTCAAGACAAACAGGAAATGCCGCCGCCAAAAAATCGTTGACCGAAAAAGGCAACACTTTTTTTGCTTTTACTCTTTTAGTTTTTTGCTGCTAGGTTAGCTTTTTTTTTTTTTTTTTTTTTGCAAGTTACGAAAAGTCAAACAACTAACGAAATTTAATACAATTTTGTACGGCAGATTGTTGTTGCTGTTCGTCAGCTGCTTCCCACCGCCGAAAATCTGCGGGCATTGCTCGAAATCTGACAGCGAGCTGTCAGTCAGAATTCCCTCTTTTCCCCGATTTGCCCCCTTTGGATATATCCGAGTGGGTGTTTTCAATCCCCATGAGCCACTCGAATATCTTTCGGCTGCTCTCAGTGTAACTCAATAGTCGCCGCTTGCTGTTGGCGGGTCGCATTCTTGGAATTGATTGTGCCTAATGAAATGTTTCATTAGCTGAATATTGGGTTTCATGTTTGCGCGGCTGCCGTGTTTGTGGAATTTGATCAATTAGAAATTATTATTTGCTTCGGTTAACAGCTGAGGGGTTTTCAAAAAGGCTTATTGACAAAGCTTGCAAGACTGCAAGACAAAGTTTGTGACTTGTAATTATTTTTATAAAAATTGGGGAATAACATAAAAGTCCCCGCTCAGTGGGAAACAATTTGGGATCATTTATTTCCTCAGTAAAAAGGTCGTATAACTCAATTTAATGGTTGCCTGATTACAAAATTACTTGACTGCGAGCCGTAATACCTAAAAGTTTGTGCCTTAAGTCTTTTGATTTGCACTAGAGCTTTAAATTTTTGTAAGATTTGCGGGGGATAATATGATTCACATTTGTTGTTCTCAAATTCCGCCTGTTTGTGTGTTTAGTATCTTTAAATTAGCTTGAATTTGGATATCCACTTTTGGATATTTGTTTACATTTTTATTTCATCACCGAAAACATGATTCATAGTGTTTTTCCTCTGAAAATGTAAGCAAATAGCTTTAGTTTCAACTACATTTTCCACTCTCAATTTCTGTGGGTTTTCTTGTCGCATGATTCATGCTACCTGTCTTGAAAATTATTTATTAGAAGCGGATCTTGCCGCAAGTTGGCAATGCTGGACATTCAACCCGTCCGCCTGCGACTTGAACTAGATTTTCCACCGATGATTTCTGTGGGTTTTCATGCCACATGATGCATGGCTCCCATTCCCCAGGCGGAAGCAGCCATCAGCCGCAAAACGGGGAAATAGCCAAGCCAAAATCCATCACAACATGCACTCCCCAGTGAGTATGCAAAAACACTCCCCGAAAAGTTAAAACCACCAAATCGGAACCAAAAACCCGACTGAGCAAAAACAAATACGATCCACACGAGATCGATTTGAAAGGCTATGGGCTTCATTAGCTCTTTGTTTGTGCCCAGAATGCAGGCATTTAAAAAAAAATAAAACATAAACCTAAATTCGGAATTTTCTTCGCTTCATTTATCATCTCTGGTAAATTTGGAGCGAACTGCGATCGTAATTGAAGCGAGTTTTAATTAAAAAGCGAACTGTGATCGGGCGAAGGTCACCGACAATGGGGAATTATGATTGCTTTGTTTCTAGCATTTTGCAGAATTCTTTGTTCAACTTTTGGGGTCAGCCGAGCAATTTCAGCTTGCGTAAGTTACAAAAAAAACTGAAGGGGCAGTGGGGGCGACGATGCTTGCGCAACAGAAAGAAACTCTTTTTGTTTTTTTTCAGCTTTTCTGCTTTTTTGTTACCGTTTCCATGGGCAGACGGAGCGGCAGCAACAACAACTAACGACTGACAATAAAGTAAACAAAATTGCGCGCCAAGGAAAACGTGATTTTCCACTTTTGATCGCGCCCAAAAGGAGTTCGCCGCATCGGGAGTCATCTCAGGCGATTCTCACGTAACCAAAGACTTTGCGGCAGCAACTGCAATGCAACATATGTTGCAGACTCCAACCGGTTGCCTCAACTGCCAGCAGCCAGCAGCCCGAACTTCCAAATCGGTCCAGCTAAATTTCATTGAGAGTTTGCCCCTCTGTGGTGGCCACTTTTACTCTCGTTTTGGCCAAACACAGCGGAAAGACTCGCAATAATTTGCTCGCAATTTATTTTGTTGCGTTACCCGATCACATAAATCTCCATCTGCTCACACGGAGCTCGAAGACACAGTGGTGGCTATGGCCAAAACGACCACGACACGCGAATATCTCCCAAGTGGACCGCCTTTTGCTGTATCTCATTTTTGGGGGAGTGGATGGGAAAGTGTCGGAAATTAATATTTTGATCTATTATGTCATTAGCTGTTGGTATCGGAAATGCTTTAACTAAGATTACAGATTAAAGAACAATCATTTTTAAAAATTACGTATTGGTAATAATCACAGTTTTTAATGTTTTGAATGGATTGCATTAGAAAGTGTTTGGGAGAATGTAAATTATTGCGCTGATGTAACACGAACGTGTCTCCTTAGAATATGATGAATAGCTAAGTTTAGTCAGGTGTCAGGAGAGTCATCAATCAATTGTACAATCAGAATTTATATCCCATCAAGGCGGGGCTAACAAAGACCCCCTTTTTAAGGGAAGTTCATTCTTTGCGGTTCAATTATTTTTATTATTCCGAAAAGTGTCTCAGCAACGATTAATTAAAGCGCCATAAATTGCGCCGAGCCAAGAGGTACATATAATAAGCCAGTAACGAGCACGAAATTAAAATAAAAATGTCAGCGGCAGCCGAAATTAGCCAGCAAACTTGGCTCAGAGTCGCTCCACCCACACGAACCCAAAGTTCCCTCCTTCGCGGCAATGGAAATTTATGACGGAATGCTAAAAGTAATTGAAGCGTAAATGATTAAACGTGCGGGTGGCGCATACATTAGAATAATTGGCAGAAGTATTATTGTTCGAGCTCCAACCTTAACCATGAGCGCGGGCATCCGAAGTGATGACAATCCCCAAAGCAAAAACCAAACAGAGTCATCCGCATTACGCATACGCCACGTGAACCGGTTAGATTTGCCAATGTTTATCGATTCAGCTGCTACTTGTTGTACTCGTTGCTTGTTACTTACTGCTTGTTGCTGCTGCTGTGGAAAACACTTTCACATACTGCATTTCCGCACGCGGTCTGCTGAAATGTTGCGCCACCGCATCTGGTGCCATTGATTCCTCTTTGGCCAGTGTCACCTTGACTCTGAAACGTGCCACACACTGCGAGAAATGTTTTATCAGAAAAGACCAAAAAATAACCAACTACAAAGTAGAATTGTTGTTTAATTATATGAGAGCATTTTACTTCTTTTAAATCTAATATTAAGTAACAATTCAGAAGCTGTAATTTAAACTGATTTGTTTAAGCTATATATTTCATTATAAGTGTCTGTATTAAGTTATTTTCTTCAGTATAAAATATAAATAATACTGTTTTTTACAACTCCTATGGGTATTAATGGGTATCTATTAAGTAACTTTAATTGTCCTCTCTGCACTTGAGTTGCCCCACCGGAAAGCCGCCAACTGTTTTGACGACTGCCCATTTTGGGTTGGGGCAGCTGCCGGCGGATGTGATTAGTTAGAAATACCCAATCCTCGAGGGGATTGCCCCTCTCCGAATCTCAGCTCGCAACTCATCGAAGAAACTTTCCTTTCAGCTGGCGCTGGTGGCCCTGGCAGCAGTTGTCTCTGGCAGTCAGACGCCCAGTGCGAATCAGTACCACATCCAGACGGACGAGGGACCGGAGCGGTACTTCCGCTTCCAAACGGACAGCGGTCAGTTCCGAAAGGAGAAACGGCTGCAGGATGGCACCGTCATAGGTGAGTGATGAGGGGACAACCATAACAGGAGAGTTCATTGAACCAATAAATACTTTGCTTACTCTCCAGGAACTGAGGCCTGGATCGATGCAGCGGGCTATCTGAGGCAGAAGGACTACATTGCCGACAAGCAGGGATACAGGATACTCAAGTCCAAGACCATTTACGTGGGATTGGGAAGAGCCGTGGAGGTGAGACCTTTAATAGTGGAAAATTTATATCTAAAAGAACTTTAATTAGTTTTGTTACTTATACAAAACAAAACATAAAACAAAGTTCGTTTATCAAAAATATAATATTATATTAATTATTATAATTATTTTATATTATTGATTATCAATATAATTTAATATTTGTTAACAGTTTTTATCAGATTCTGAAAATGTATTATTAATAATAATATTATATTATTTAATTCTTAGGACGCCATAAAATCCACCAAGGCGGCTCCCGCCCAATCGGGAGTCCTGGTGCATGGTGGCTCCCCAGGATCGTCGGTGAACAGCTTGGGCAGCTACAAGCGTCCCAACTATGTTTACGTGTCCAGCACCACTAGCACCACCACTCCGGCTCCACCACCACCTCCACCAGTGCTCCTGGACATCGAGGACTCTGGAGTGGGCAAACTGAACTACCTGCCACCGGAACAGGCTGCCAAGATTGAGCCCCAATCCCAGCTGGGATTCGATCACTATCCGGATGAGTTGCCCCGAGCGAGGGATCAGCTACTGACGCCCCTTCCGGCCACGCCCCTTGGCCCTTTGGTGGACATCCACCCGAATGCCGAGCCTGTCCAGGATGTGGAACTGAACGCCATCAATGTGTACGATGCCGAAGCGGATCGAGCTTTTGGCCATGGTCGCTTTGGATCGGTGATTAGCTCCACCACAGCCAGACCTCCTTCGCTGGACATGCTGCCCCCCTTGAGTGCCCCCAGGCGCCGCCTGCGTCCACGCCCAACTCCCGCCCCCATAGCCATTGTCTCCAGTACGCCGGCACCGATTTCTGGCGGGGATTTGTACGGCTTCTCCACGCCACAGCCATTCGCCGCACCTGCCTATCAGTTTGCCCCGCCTGCCACGCCCTCCAGCTCGGGATACGGTTACTATCCGCCGCCGCAGTCTCCGCTGGAGGTGAACTCCCTGGAGGCGGCGCTCCTTCCTCCCCTGCCCTCCAGTGGATACCGAAGACGCCTGCGCCCGAGGCCAGTGCAGGGTAATCACCTGGACAGCCTGGCCAACTCCGAGTACGACGGCGTGGGCGTGACCCGCAATGGATTCCGGTACGTGCTGCCCAAGCAGTATCACGAGGAGGAGACGAGTCCGGCGGACGGGAAGCGGGCCGGCAGCTTTGGATACGTGGATCCCTTCGGAATCCGGCGGGTGGTGTACTACAATGCGGCGCCCGGGCGGGGATTCGTCCACCGGAACAACAACCAGTATGTGGGCGCCAATGGAGCGCCCTACGATGCTCCTGGTCCGGCGCAGTTGGTCAACGAGTAGAGAACAGGGAGTAGGATCATTGACGGAAATTAGTGTGGGTTACCAAAAAAATTCGAAGGGATCAGTATTCATTCAAAATCCTACAGTTTCCTAGAAGAAGTTTGAGGAAGTGTTCAAAAGATTTCTCGAGTAAGGATCACCTAAATTTCAGAATCGGACCCACGCTATCGAAGGTGCTGCACTTAACCCGAATCCCGACTCACTCGACGAGGCACCAAAACTAACCGTAGAACCTCAACCAAAGGGAAAGCTCTTTCCCCTTTTACGATTAACCTGTACATAATAACCACGCTTATAGCTTTTCCTCCCGTAGAACCCACTCCTCACGTTTCTTTCCCGCACGCACACACAAAGAAAACGACATCTGTGTTAATTAATTTAATGCTTAATCACACCCTAATGTAACATAATTTATAAATCGAAACTCTGTGCAATCAGCGCTTAGCTTACTTAGATGTATTAGGGGTACTCACTGCCAAATTGAGTTGCGCAAGTGAAGGGGGAGCAATCGTTTCACGTATTAATCTTGCCATATTAACGAGAAGTAAATAATTAAAGCCCTCTGTTCATCCCCGGAAACTCCCCGCTGGCCCCTTAGCTTAATGAAATGTGTACGATTAAACCGATAACGATAGTTTCTTGGTTTCTTGGCCGATAGCTGTTCATTTCAGGGGAATGAACACCCGTTGCCCGGAAACTTTAGCCAAGTAGAGCGAGCAATTATTTTGTGAATAGTTAAGAAGTTTGATGATAATAAATAATTATTTAAATTAATATTTTGTTTGTTTCTTTTATATTTCCTTTTTTATAATTAAGGTTACCTACTGATTTCATAAAAAATTCTTATCTAAGCAATCATTAGCCCGAAACTTCAGCTGTTTGGCTTGGGTTCGTCATAATCACACCGATATCGTAGGGCAAACAAATCCGATTGAAGCCTTATCAGCGCGACAAACACATTAACCGCTCAATCTTATCGGGAAGAACTACCCAAACAGCTCGTCGAAGTGACTCAGTTGTGAAAAGAAAGTGGAGCAATGAAGACCGTGTCTCTACTACACGTGGTCATCCTTTTGCTGACCTTTGACCTTTCGAAGGCGGCGCATATCCTCTGCCTGGTGAGCACCGCCAAGCACAACAATCCCGGCTGGTCGCAGCCCCTTTTCGACGCCCTTCTGGCCAATGGCCATTCGCTTGTGGTGATCAGTACTGCTCCCAATCCGGAGCCAAAGAAGCAAGTGGATGGTCTGCTGTACTACCATCTGTCCAACGATTACGATGTGATGCAGAAGCACTTCATTCGCGACAATCCCCGGGAGTATCAGAGCATGATCAGCCTCAACCAGCTGCTCGTGTGGTACGAGGTCCTCTTGGGCAGCTGTCGTTCTGTCCTCAACTCGGATTCGATGAACAGCAAGTTGCCGGAGTTGACGGCCAAGCTGGCCGTGGATTTTGATTTGATAATTACGGATGTTACCCAGGGAATGGAGTGTCTGATGGACGCGTATCCCTCGTGGCGATCGAAACCCATTCTCGGTCTGAGTGCTGGCAAGCTGACACCGGATTTGGTGGCCTTGCTTCAAGCCGAGAACACCATCAATCCGGCCAGGATACCACACCACATCAGCCAAATGCCCAAGAAAATGGGCTTCTTGAATCGACTGCATAACCATGTCATGTATTACGCGGAACCGCTGTAAGTATTGGATTTATTTCGATTGATCCCACATTATAAAAGGTATGATTTCTTTTAGAATCCGCATAGTGATCGTAAAGCCAGTGCTTAATGGCCTGGTGAGCAGGGAAAATGCCTTTCCCACTTTACAACTGGTGCTGCTAAATACACATTCAACTCTCGATTATGTTCAAAATCTTCCACCCGGAGTGATTGAAGTGGGGGGTCTGCACATTAAGAGCAAGGCCAATCCCCTGCCCAAATATATACAGGCATTCACAGATCAGTTTATTGATGGCATCGTCTATATTAACATGCCATACATTGAGTTTATAGCTGGCAAGGGAATACCAGCCATGATTGAAATGATCCAAAACAATCCCAACTGTGGGTTTATATGGAATGTGGAGCAGTTGCAGGATATCCCACTTGAGATCTCTAATTTATTGACCCTTCATGTGGATCAGTCACTGCAGCAGGATATTCTTGGTAATATATTATATATTACTTGTTAAATATAATTATATATTTGTTATTATTTTGTAGCTACACCCTTTGTTAAGGGTTTTCTAAACCACGGCGATAGTTTCAGTCTTCAGGAAGCGGTACACAATGGAATACCCGTGATTGTACTGCCCCTAAAACTAGAGGAGTTCAATGTGAGTAGTTATAAATTATATTATTATAATAAATTTTATTACATTTAAAACTTTATTGCAGAATGCCCAACGTGTCAAGGAACGCAACTTAGGTGTTGTGGTTGAGGCCAGTAATTTTAATCAGAGATCCCTTGCTGCTGCTCTAAAGAAAATCCTTGATGACGACCTAATCACCAGTGCTCTCTACCAGGCCCAATTGAAATTCCGGAACCGTCCAAAGAGTCCTCTTGAGTTAGCCGTTTGGCATGCGGAACAACTGATTGCCGAGCCACGTTTCTTCAAGGACTTGGCTCAAACTGAGGCCCTGGCCCAAAACTTTATCGTGGCCAACTCGCTGGATGTCCTCATGGTTCCTATCCTCATTTTCGTGGCTTGTGTGGTGAATATAGGGCACTTGGCCTACACCCTGATGACCGGAGGCTCGAAAGCTGAGGAGAAACCAGTAGAAAATGTGGAGACCAATGGTGAGGCAACTAAAAAACGCAAAAAGGTCAAAAGGACACCGAAGATTGACACATCGGTAATAGAAGACTTAAATCAAGAAATACTCGAAGGGGAGAAACAACTTCTCAGCGAAGAAGAAAAGCCTCTGCCAGACAAAAAAGTTGACTGAGCATTTCAGTTTTTGCTATTTTATGTACAATAGTATTCCAAAGAAAGACTGCCAATAAATAAATGTTACGATCTCCCCAACAGTGACACATTTATTTGGGGTAAGCCCATTTTCGGATATTTAACCCAAATAAACTACGTTTAAATAATATGAAATGTCTGGCGAGCTGCCATATTCGAGGTAAAAACCATTTAAATGCTAATTGAGAAATGAGAAGAAATTGTTTACAAGAAATTATGGGGGTTATTCATGTTTATTTTGGGACATCTACGATATGTTATAAATATATTCATATATGTTTTAATAAAAATATTATCTAAAATAAATAATTTATATTGAAAATGTTATTTCTGCAACAGAATTATTTACAATTTGTTTTACACTTTTAACTATCAAGTATTTAACAAATACTTTTTGTTTCGTTTGCCCAAAAGTATACCTTTGAAAAATCATTTTCATTTTCGCTCTCTTAAATTTAAGAGAGGAATTATTTTTAAAGAGCACGCCATCTCAGGTAAGTCATTCGGAGATGGTTTCACCACAGGTAGCCATGGTCTGGGTATTTATGTCTTGCAAGAATGCTAAGCCAGCAATAAAACCCTCGATCCCTCGTAACCTTCAGTGCATTTCAAGAATTTGCCGCGCAAAGAACACTGAACCATAGGAAAAATGCTGACCAAGCTGCTGAAGATTAGCTGCACTTCGAGGCAGTGCACCTTCGCCAAGCCCTACCAAGCGATTCCAGGACCTCGAGGACCCTTCGGGATGGGCAACCTCTACAACTACCTGCCTGGAATAGGATCCTACTCCTGGCAGAAGTTGCACCAAGCCGGTCAGGATAAGTACAAGCGCTATGGCGCAATCGTCAGGGAAGTAATTGTTCCCGGACAGGATATCGTCTGGTTGTATGATCCCAAGGATATAGCTACGCTGCTCAACGAGCGGGATTGTCCTCAGCGAAGGAGTCACCTGGCCTTGGCCCAGTATCGTAAGAACCGTCCTGAGATCTACAAAACCACTGGTTTGCTGCCCACCAATGGTCCGGAGTGGTGGCGACTCCGTGCTCAGCTGCAAAAGGAGCTGAGTGCCCCGAAAAGTGTGAGGAACTTCGTCTGCCAGGTGGATGGAGTGACCAAGGAGTTCCTCAGATTTCTGCAAGAGTCGCGGGAGGGAAATGCCATCGATATGCTTCCCAAACTCACCAGATTGAATTTGGAACGTGAGTACAGATCGCCTCTTAAATATATTAAACATTCTAGCCAGTATCTGAAATTCAGATGACGAATGTAGCAACTTCCCCTTCATTTAAATTTTTTGTATAAGGTTTATTTTAACAATACCGTTTCTAGGTCTATGATAATTTTAGGTTACTATTATAAGTCTAGGTGCAAACATGTATAAGCCATTTGATGACGTAGAATGTATTTATAGATTATTTACTTTACCATTCAGTTGCAAAAGGTACAACTATTTGTAATTTAAATTTACACCTTCCAGTTTACAGTTCTTTTAAACGGTTTTTCTTTATAAATAGAGTTTCTGAGTCTAAGAAAATGTCAGGTCGTTTTTGGAAGCCCAAGTGCAAACATGCATTGTATATTAATAGCAAAACATTTACTGAACAGACTTAAGACTTTGATCAGGACTCGGCGGTATTAAAACAGTTTTGTTCATAAAATTTAATTTAAAATTGAATCATTATATTCTAGTAACCTGCCTGCTTACCTTCGGGGTCCGCCTGCAGTCCTTCTGCCCCAAGGAACAGGACTCTGATTCGCGTTCCACTCGCTTGATGCACGCGGCGGAGACCACCAACAGCTGCATCCTGCCCACAGATCAAGGACTCCAACTGTGGCGCTTCCTGGACACCCCGAACTTTCGAAAACTAAGCCAGGCTCAGTCCTACATGGAAGGAGTGGCCCTGGAACTCCTCGAGGAGAACATAAAGAACGGATCTGAGGGAACTTCACTGATCTCTACGTACCTCAAGAATCCTGAACTGGATCGCAGTGATGTGGTGGGCACAGCTGCAGATTTGCTTTTGGCTGGCATCGATACCACCTCGTATGCCTCGGCATTCCTGCTCTATCACGTAGCCCGGAATCCAGAGGTGCAACAGAAGCTCTACCAGGAGGCTAGGAAAGTGCTCCCGAATTCTAAGGAACAACTATCAATGGATGCTCTGAGAACAGATATTACCTATACGAGGGCTGTCCTCAAGGAATCACTACGATTGAATCCCATTGCGGTGGGTGTGGGTCGAATCCTTAACCAGGACGCGGTCTTCAGTGGATACTTTGTTCCCAAGGGGGTAAGATTGCAGTTTACTTTTTACTTCATAAAATAGTTATAAAATAATATTGATATATTTTATCATAAAATCATATTTTAATGTTTGGTAATGCTTACTAACATTTTATTCTAGAATTAAAATTGAAATTTTATATAAGAAATTAATTAGCATTCAAAATCTCTTTTTAGACCACTGTGGTGACCCAAAACATGGTGGCCTGTCGCCTGGAGCAGCACTTCCACGATCCGCTTCGCTTCCAGCCGGATCGGTGGCTCCAGCACAGGAGTGCCCTCAATCCGTACCTGGTTCTGCCCTTCGGACACGGAATGCGGGCCTGTATCGCCCGACGTTTGGCGGAGCAGAATATGCACATTCTACTCCTCAGGGTGAGCAAACGGAAACAGATCAGCACTTTGCGGTCTGCAAATTGTTTATTCCATTTCTCCTCTTCGAAGTTCGAACTGATTTAATTCGATTTGCATTTACAGCTGCTGCGTGAATTCGAATTGATTTGGAGCGGATCCGATGGAGAGTTGGATGTCAAAACTTTGCTGATAAACAAACCAGATGCTCCCGTTCTGATCGAATTGCGATCGCGTAAAGAATAAATATTAAAGATACAGAAAGTCCCGAGGGGAACTGAGACTGAGAGACAAAAGACTTGGATCACTTTTAAATAATTCGTTTATTAATTAAATTAAGTTTGTTTATAATTATAATTAGTGTAAATTATACATAACTAGACTTGCATTTAATGTGATTGAAAGGCTGCGGGTGTTTTGGTCTAAATACTAAAGAGAACGACAAAAAGGCATTCATCGAAAATTCATCCAAAGGGGTTTACTACATAGAGTTGACAAATACTCGAACAAATGGGTCTAGGGCTGCCATTAACTCTTGAGAGGCGTTCGTAATTTGTTAACCAGATATTTTATTCCGAGTATTTTGTGCTCTTTTTGTATACATGTTTTCCGTATGATGACAGCCCAGGTCTGTCGCCTTAATTTGTAATTATGTGATGACTAAATATTCCAGTACAATGCTTAGTTAAAGATATACTCGTAATGCAGATCGTTGCTATATATGGCTCTATAAAAATGGTCCGGCCAAGCCCCTTCCTCCTCGACTTCCTTCCTCGCCTTAAGCTCAAATCGAGTGAAAACCATAGATGTACAAACTATGTATATAGACTACTACCTGTTTCGCTCTGGTTCAAATTCAAGTTCAAGTCAGAAAATATATATGTGTGTGTGGGGCTATATACTGCTATATACTGATACTCGTACGATTCTAGTCTGATCTAACCTATAAGGACTTTGGTTCTTTGCCGCACTACACGCTAGGATGATTGGTGAAAAAATACATTCAGATATACACATACTATCTTCGAACTCCTCTCTACTATGTTTGAAAAATAAATGTTTGGAGGATCTGTTTTGGGTTTTCAAATCTGTGATCCTACGATTCCTGATTAATACATCTATGTGCAATAAATCTCATATTTATCCAAGTTAAATTTAATTGCATTGCTCTGATTGTTTGGTTTTGATTTGAAATCAAAGAGTTCTTAAGTTGAAAACCCAAACAGTCCTGTTTTCCGTTTCGGTTTCTGTGAGAAGACTTTTCCAGGAAGCGATGTGGGTCTTCTGCTCTATGGCTATCGTTGAATATGTGTGTGTTTTCGATGGAGGATGAGATATGAGTCAGGCTATCGTGTCCTGCTGCCTCCGTTCAGTTTACAGTTCCAGCAGCAGGACTTCCTCATGCTAGAGGATGTTGAGCAGGGAGGAGTCCATCATCCGATCGTCGTACAAGCTCAGAGTTTTGCTGGCCCTGGCTTTCCGCACCGAAGGCGGCACATCGCCGGGAGTCTTCACCCGCTCGCTGGGATCCCTCAGCCGCTCGCTGCTCCCCCGACCGCTGAAGACCTCGCGGAAGACCTCCAGGCTGTGCTGGCGCCGCATCTGCTGCTCCGTCGGAGGACCCTGGCTGTCCTGGCCCATGGTGACCATCAGGGAGTTGGTGCGCAGGTGGCCGGGTCTTCGCTTCGGCGCGGGACGGCTGAGGGTCTGCAGTTCGCTGCCGTGGCTCTGGATGGAGTTGTTGTTGGTGCTTCCGTTAATGTGCTTGATCAGGCTGCTGGACAGTGATCGCGGTACGATGTGGGCCGGGGTTCCCGTCCTCTGTTCCGCACTCCTCAGCTGAATGGGGATGGGTTTGTCCTGGCCCCGGGGACTACTCAAGTCCAGATTGTTCGGTCGTCGCAGAGCCGTCACCAGATTGGACTTCTCCTCGCCCAACTGCAGCTGGCGGCACAATTCCTCGGCGTGCTCCTTGCGGAAGAGCTTCTTGTGGATCAGGGCACGAACGCCATGCCATCCGCGCAGCTTGTGATCCGTGTTCTGCTGCTTGGGGAAACCCTGGCCCAAGCTGGGATTCCCATTTCCTCCGACAGCACTGACTATCGTGTTCTTCTGCTGCTGCTGCTGCTGGTTGTGATGTTGGTGATGGTGATGGTGGCTGGCTATCAGCTCCTCCACACTCACATCGTGCTCCAGGCAGGAGAGGGAGTTCTCCTGCGGCTGCGTCTGGAAACTGTGCTTCTTGCTCCGCTCCACCAGCACCGGAGGCGTTCGAAGGGGCAGGGGTGCCAGGTTGCGTTCCTGGCAGGGATTCCTGCCCTGATACGGCTGCAGTTGCTGCTGCGGGTAGCTCAGGTGGTTCTTCTCCCGCTCCAAGGCGGCCAGAGGCAACTGCTGATTGGGAGGCGGCTGGATGAGACCAGTGGCATCCGAGCTCATCTGGTGATGCACTGCAGCCGAAGTGGTCGTTGTGGTTATGATGTTCAAGCCCTGGAAAGTTATAGTAATATATAAAAAGATTTCTAAAACAGTTAGGAGTATTATTTCTCACCTGTTCCGGAGGGTTGACCAGGTTGTTGGTGTTCAACAGAGGACTCGCCGGCTGAGCCTGAGCTCTCGGCCTCAAACCGGACATTTCCTGCATTCGCTCCTCGGCACACAAGGAGGTCAGCCTGGCATCCGCGTCGTGATCCCAGCAATCTTCACAGGTATCTCGCACCACCTTGGCCGCCGCACCACCGCCCCAACCGGTGGGGAACAGGGGACGCGCCTTGTGCCGCACCACCAACGCCTGCATCTGGTCGAAACTGGGATGGGAGCCCACCTCCTGTTCGTAGGGAGCCTTGTACGGGGGAGTCGTCTGTCCGGGAGCGTAGAAGTCGGAGCAGCGAGTGGCTACCTCCCAGAGCATCAGGCCCAAGGCATAAACATCCATTTGCTTCAGCGAGGTTTCGCAATCCCTCAGGTTCACGGCTCCCTCCAGCAATTCGGGTGCCATGTAGCGCAGGGTGCCCACCTCGTTGATGCTCTTCGTCTCCGCCATGGCCACCTCTCCTTTGTACTCGTACTTGGAGCCAAACACCTTCAGGGCGAAGCCGAAGTCCGCAATGCAACAGCTGAGATCCGCTTGAACCAATACGTTCCTCGTATTGATGTCCCGGTGGGCAACACACGGCTTGTGCTGATCTCCCAGGCGGAGTTCCGTGTGCAGATGGGAGATGCCCCTCGTGATGGAACGCAGCATGCCACAGCACTCGGCGAAGCTTAATGTGTTGGCTATCAGCCAGTCCTGAAGGCAGCCCAACGGAGCCAGCGAGAGAACCAACTGGTACTCCATCCGGCCATCCATTGTGCAGCGTTCATCGTAGCCTAAAAATGGAATGTTATTTATTATCATAATATTATATTATTATTATTATTATAATATTACTTTCTTAACTTACCGAAATAACTCAACAGTGCAGGACATTCCATCAAGGGCAGCGCGTAGATATTCCTCTCGTTCACATAGTACTGATGGTGTTCCTCTGGATAGATCTTGACCGCCACCTCCTGATCGTGGAGCAGTCCCTTCATCACAGTTCCGTACTTCCCGCTGCCCAGCATGCCGATCAAGTTCATGTTGTCCACATTCCGCAGATTGGAGCTGTAGCCAGGACCCGAGGGGGCCAGAGGCGACTCCTCCGGTTCGGTTTTCTCCTTGGCCGTGCGGCAGTACTGAACGGCCAAGAAGATTCCAATCGTGAGGGCCGTGAGTCCACCAGCGAGTCCCAGCATTGTGCTGGCCCAAAAGGATTGGTGCTGCTTGGCGGTGGCTCTATTGGTGATCGAAGTCCTGGCATCGTTTAGGCCAAGTTCTAGGGGAGCTGGTTCCACCACGGAATACTGGGCATTGCAAACTTCCCCGGAGCAGCAGCAAAAGTACAATGTATTGGTCTTTGAGGTTGGAGCCGAGGTGGCGCACTCCGATTGGCTGCAGATCGAGGTGCGATCCGTAGCGTCCTTCCAGCAACCTGGGGAATATTTCAAAAATATTAAACATATTTTATAAATATTATTTTAATAGGAATACCCACCCTGCTTGACAACCCGCGTGCCATTGGGCGTCTGGTTCCAGAGAGTAAAGCAGAAGGTGTAGCCATCGGAGCAAGTGCGTCTATGTGGCTCGCTTGGAATCGGAGTGGACTCAATCTGCTGCTCCTGCTCCTCGGCACTGGAGTCCTGGTCCCCGTCGTCATCGTGGATGGTGTTGTCGTTCTCCTGAAAGCTCATGCAGCTGTACTGGCGACTGGGAACAGGTGCTAATCAATGTAGAAAAATTCCATTCATAAATATTGTATAGATTGTGTGTCACAGAAGTACTCACATGCTCTGCCCAGTGAGATCATGGCCAGCAGAAGCCAAGGCCAGCTGGAGATAACCCAATTCATGTCTGGAATCCTTTGATTGACCACCTTTTAGGACGATAATCTCTGAATGACTTGATATGCCGAGCGCAAACCAATGTTACGGCATTTTGTGCGATCTTCAAGTGCTAAAAAAAGCGAATATGTTTATAAATATTGAGTCGTCTGTGTTATGAGTAGAACCAACGCAGAAATTATCAATACTTTGCGACACACACGCACCCCTTCCCACCGCCTTGCCCCCCCTTCAGAAATCTCACATTCGGTTTGCGTTTCAATAGACGATGACAATTCGCGAGCTCAGCGACTTTATCAAGCCAGCAACTGTCGACGATAATGGCCACAGCCAAATGCCCGAGCAGAACCGATCGCGAAGCGTCTCAGTCAGGGGAGATCGGGGTATATATGTTCGGGGATCTGCGAGCACCCACCCACTCCGAGTCTCCGGGGAACTGTTGCACTTTGGAACCCATTTAGAACCAGGCGCCGCCAGAATAAGCAAATCGTTTCACATGGGCTTCGAGTGCACTCAAGATGCACTCGACTGGGGAATACCCATAAGGAAAATATATAAAAATATTTCATAAAAACTAGTAACTAATAATACTTATAAAAACTGATCAAGATACTTCAGTTCTTTATTAATTACTATATGCCTAAGATGCCTTATATCCCCTAAATAAAAGGGGTATTTGAACACGCATTCTCAGCTTCTCCCCCTTTCTCGCTGATTAGAAAATTTTGCCGGCATTAATTATGCGGCTGGTTAAAATTATAACGCTCTGCTCCTCTTCAATTATAGGTTACGTATACGTAGGTCTTGCACACAAACATATATAAATGTGTTTTTACCAAGCTGCTAACGAATTTGCATTGGCGACATTTGGGTTAATTGGGGGTGACGAGGCATGAAATTTAAAGCAAGATAAGCATTTTATCAGACGGACAGGATAGACTTATCACGCAATTATGAAATTCCCTCCGTTATCTACGTCAGTTATTTATGAGGTTTTAAATTCAACAAATTCCCATTAATGAATTCAGAATGAAAGCAAAAGTGCGTATTATCTTTTCTTCTACTTTGATTTGATAAGGTTTGCTTTTGGAAATGGGGCGTACCGTGATTAAAGAACTAAAAGTGTAAGTAATAGCTTAGAAATGTAAAACAATTGCATAACAACCAAAAAAAAAAAAGCAAGAGAAGTAGCCTTGGCTTAGCTTTTCAGTTTGATCTCAGTGTTACTCAAATCAAATTTTCATTTCGTATCATATGTACTTCATTCGCTTTTGATTTTTATCTGGCTTGGTGCAAATTTTATACTATATTTTATTTGCTCTCAAAATGAATGGGATCATTTGGTGCTTAGTAATCCTTTGGCTGCCGGTGCTTTGTATTTTCTACGTTTTCATGAAGATGCAGCGCGGTCTCAAGAAGAAACCGGAAATAATAGGCGACTTTAACGAGGAGTTAACATCCAAGAAAGCAGATTCTACGGACGGGAAGCATGATTGCGTGGAACCTTCAGAAAATCCCGAAGAGGCGATTGGAGATTCAGAAGATCCTAAGTCGGCCACTGATCACGTCTGGAATATTAAAGAGATCTTAGATGTTGTTAGTCTGATATATGCCCAGACGAAAATCCTCGTGGAGATTCTCAAGCCGCAGACCCCTAAACAACGCTATAATGCCAGGTTCAAGAACAAGATGTACAGGATGCGTCGGCGGGAATGGTCCTTGGCCAAGAAGGCGAAGAGCTCCGAAAAGGATAACCGCCGAGCAGATTAAGGATAAATTTCATATATGAACATTTTAAGAATATTATCATTTTCAAATTTATAGCGCAAATATAATTGCTTAACTTTTCCTACTCTTGTACTCTGCCTTTCTCCATTTTCAGCACATGCGCGGAAGAGAATCTGAGAATACAGTGAGAGAGAGAGAGTCTCTGACGCGCCAAAACAGGTTCTACTGGCGCTGTCTCAAGTGCTCCCTGGAGTGGGGAGCACAGCGGAGAGAGAGGGGGCTGGAAGGAGGGACCCGCCGGCTGCTCTCACACGACAGCCGACGGCGCCAGTTAATTGCAAATACTGCCCGACACCCTACACTCGGTAGGGTATTTTTGGTAGTTCAGATAGCAACTTCAAAAATAAATAAATTAAAATGAATTTATGTAAATAAAAATGATTAATTCTTTTTATTTCTCAGTAAAGTTTACGAAACAGAAATTTTTCAAAGAAACCGCATCATAATTAAGTCGTAATTTAAGTAAAGATAATTACTAAGCAGTGAGAAATAATTTTCTTAAGAGTGATTAATTTTTTTTTTGAAAATTTCTTGTAGGACATGCATATGCCATTGAAGCTCATTCTCCCCTTCTGCACTATTCTCGCTATTGGTTGCCTCGCATTTGATGTTGTTCTTTGGGGCCTGATTAACTTTTTGCGTGCTGCGTGTGCATTTGTCCATGTCCCCAACCCCATCGCCATCTTCACATCCACAGCCCCATCCCCACAAGAATGCAGCCCGAACGATTCGGGATCCATCTTCGTTCTACAGCTGCATTTGGCAGAACTGCGACATTCGCACGAAAAAAAGATGCAGAAAATCAATGCAAAAACACAAAAGTGCAAGCAGACGACGGGTAACAGCAAGAACAACAATGGTGAAGGGAATGTGAATGGAGTGGGACTGGAGCTCTCTTGTTGACTTTTACGTACACAGGACAAAAAAGGAGATACACCTTACGAAAAGTTCAATTTTAGTAATGCACTAAAATGAGATTAATCTGACTGACTTAATATATTATTAAAGGTTAATCCTTATGCCATTTAGAATTTGATATCGGGTAATTTATAGCACATTTCTTAGCACCATTTTTTTGTTTGATAAGAAGAGTGTGCCATTTTTTGTGGAAGTGCATGCTGCCTGTGTGCAGACAGAGTTTTCTGCCAGGGTGGGTGGCCCACCGTCTGCCCTTCTGCTAGTCTGCGTATTTGTGTGTGTGTACTTGCGCAGAGCGGAGTAAAAAATTGATTTTTCCAAGACATTTTCCAGCGTTGTTTGCGGAAAACATTTGCACTGTTATGCACTATTTTGGACGCTTTGTCGTTAGCACACTTACACTTAATTCAGGGCATATTCAGCACTGCACTTGCAGTTTGGTTGTATTACTTATTTTTTCTTTATTAACAGAAAAAACTAAAAAACTTGCACACTCGCCGGAAAATTAGCTATTGGGGCACCGGCGCCAGTCGCGTCTGCTCTGCGCGGCAGCTTTTTTATTTTATTTCTCCGCTTTTTTGTGGCTTTTTTATGGCACTTTAAACAAGTTTGCTTGATAGGCGGGCCGTTTATTCCGTTCGATTCTTCGCAGCGCCACCTTTGCCCGCCGACTTTCGAGGAATGAATGCGGTTTGCTGCTCCGCTGCTCTGCTCTCACTGCTCACTGCTCCACTGCGACGTCGACTGCGCTGCTGGCGCTCATTTCGGGGCAGAAGAAGACGCGGCATGCGTGTATTTACGAAGCTGCGTGGAATGGCGGAGACAGCGATTGGAGCGTGAGCGCCGAGCAGCTGAAAGAGAGCATGCGAAAAGAGAGCAAGCGTAATGGCCAATTTTTAAGCACTTGTTGAACTTATACACCGAAAAAAATATTACGTATACGCAGGTGTTCGTTAAACCTACAAAGTATGCTATAAATTTTTGAAATAATAAAAATGTATGGACAAAAATGTATGCATTTATGAAAACATAACAAATTCTAACGGAATTTTCGTAGAAAAAGCCTTTATTTAAGAAGATTCAGCGAAGTAATGATACTACTGCGGCACAGGATGGGCGGGCAGCACCTGACCCACACACTCCCCAAATCCAATGCGCAGACCGTTCTTCTCGCAGTGTCCTCGGATAATAACCTCATCGAAGTCCTGCAGGAACTTCCTGGTCTTGCCTCCCGGAAGCTCCAAAGTTTTGGTGCCCTTCCAGCACAACTCCAAAAGAGATCCGTATGAATCTGGCGTCTCGCCGGAGATCGTTCCGGAAGCCATCAGGTCACCAGGACGCAGGTTGCAACCGGTGACCGTATGATGAGCAATTTGCTGCAGTGGAGTCCAGTACAGGTACTTGAAGTTGGACTTTGAGATAAGTGATTCGTTCTGGTCAGAGGCTAAATAGGGATTTCCATTAAAACAAGGTAAGCAACTTTTAAGTTCAATCTCAACTTACGTTTCAAGGATACCTCGAGATTAATATCGAAATTGAAGGGAATATTCTGGCGCAGATAGGGCAGCACCTCCGGTTCCTGGGGGAAATTGTCCAGGAGGAAAGGTTTCAGGGCTGCCGTGGGCACCACCCAGGGTGAAATGGTGGTTCCCAGATTCTTTGCAGTGAAAGGACCCAAAGGAACATACTCCCACTTCTGGATATCCCTGGCACTCCAGTCGTTCATCAGGGTAAAGCCAAACACATTTTTCCAGGCCTCATCCACGCGGATCGGTTCTCCCAACTGATTGCCCTTGCCTCCGATGAAGAAGGCCATTTCCAATTCAAAGTCCAGAAGCTTGCAGGCTCCGAAGACTGGCTTCTCAGCTCCATCTGGGAAAGTTTGTCCCAAGGGACGACGGATGGGAGTTCCGGAAACAACCACGGAGCTGGCACGACCATGATAACCCACCGGAAGATGACGCCAGTTGGGCATCAAGGCATTATCCGGTCCACGGAACATAATGCCCACATTGGTGGCATGATGGATGGAGGAATAGAAGTCTGTGTAGTCACCAATCTGAGCGGGCAGGTGCAACTTGATCTCCGCTTGGGGAACAATGGAGCTAATGGGGAAAAAGAATTATGTATAATGCGGTAATTCAATTTTGCTTAATTTAAAAATTCAAACTCACACCGCCTTTAAGTCCACATTTTGATCCAGTTCGGAACCCTTTGATAAAAGCTTTTGAGTCTGTGTCCTTACCACATCCCAAGCTTCAAAGTCCAGGCCCATAAGCTCATTCAAGGTTTCCGCCTGCAGGCTTTTTTGAACTTCCAAAGGATACAACTGCGAGACAGCTTTCAGATCCAGGACATACTGTCCAATAGCCACACAAAGGCGGTGAACTTTCTATGGACGGTAAAACAACCCCAATTACGATATTCGGTTACGATATTCAGTTACGATATGATATGAGGTCTTATCAGAGCATATCTTATTAGCATATTGTTTTCGTAAACAAACTAGTTTGTGTTGGATGATGTATGCAAATGTGATGCCGCAAAGCGGTTTCTGTTCTAAACTTATTTTTCTAGAACATGTGGAACGCACTCAAAGTCACATGGAAATTATTAAGCTTAAGAAAAACAGAACAACGGCTTGGGAAATTGTGATTTTTACTCAGTTTTTTTCAGAATTGTTTTTTTTTATTTGTTTATGCAAACACAATAAAGTTACCATAAAATTACCACTTTTTAACAGCAAAACCATAGTCTTAGAACCTTAGAAAATTAATGGTCACTGAATAAATTTTAGTCTCTTAGATTCACTCACATTGTTTTCGGTTGAAAAGACAGCATAGGGGAGATTTTCCAGGGGAAAATCGCTGCCCGCTGGCACTGGCACAAAACTCTGGGACATTTTAAAAGCACTCAAAGTGGAAAACTTGGGCAGGTGGGTGCGAATTAATAAACTGAAGCAGAGAACTGACAAAAAAGTGCGCGGAGCCAGAGTGAGCTAGATAACAACTGAGGGTTTCAACTTGTAGATCCGCTATATATAGGTTCTCCAGACCCCAAGATCTCTCTCCTCTCTTAACAAAACAAGCCCCCAAACTAGAAGAGAATTCCCCGCCTTGTAAAGAGAAACTAAGATTGCGCTTTGGTTACTTTTATTTTATTTACCCATATATATATAATATATTCATTTGCATTTATATAGATGTTGGAATAATTCTTGTTCTGGTTTTGATTTTTGGATCTCTGCAAATACATATACATTAATTTATACATACATAAAATGAGCGTGAAGCTGGATAAACTTAGATAACACGCTTTAAAATACAATATATGTTTAATTTATTTTTATACCATTAATCTTGCTGAATTGACAAACGAGTTTCTTGCACAGGTGGAATGTTATGTGTCTGATTGTGTTCTTCTGATTAAGGATTTCCATTCCAACCTTCCTGGACTTACAACTGATTGAAACTTAACTGAAAACAGAACTTTCCAACATTCGTAATTGAGTTTAATTGACACCGGGCATATATATTTTTTTAGTCAGCCACTTGCTGGAAAGTAAACTCCAACTAATTCGATTATACGTATTCATGTCTCTATATATAGCACAGTTTGATACATGGACTAAACAGGATCTGGAGCTCAGATCCCCTCTCTTTGGTTTTTGACTATACATTTAACAAGCACAGGTCTCTTTCGATCTCGTTTATTTTATAAAGGTACGCATGGCCATAGATACTCATATATGTGAAAACATTAACTATTTGCAAACGAAGCTAAATCAACGAATTGAACTAAAGTCCTCGACTCCTCTTCTTCTTTACCTGATATGTTAAGATAGCGTTCCAACAGTTTCTATATCGTATATTTCGTAGTATTTGGTTTTGGTTTTTGGGGGCTGGGACTGTTCCGTGTTTTCTGGTGGTGCGTGTGAGTAGCGGTGGCTTCTATGCTCTGAATTCTATCGCTAATTGCGTTATACATATAGATATTCAAATATTACTTATAGATTCTCCTGCCTGTCCTCCGATTTAGATATAGTTGCCAACGAACGGAAATGAAACGCCTCGATTATACATAGTTCTCTGGTTTTTTTTTTTTGTTCCAACTCCGGGACGAACGGATAACGACGGTTAACGAATAACGGTTAACAGATAACGGGATGAGAAATCGTAAAGGAACATCTAGCAACACGTTATAGATACAAACAAATGTACATTCAACATTGAACTCTGATGATTACCGGGGGATCCCAATCTCAATCCCCTGCTCTCTCGAAAATTTCTGTTTCTGGGTTTCCTCATTGCGGTCTCGTGATATGCTTTTACCTAAATGATACTTCTTGGTTGCGCCACCTGTCATTGCCAATCCCAATCGATCCGAAACGGCATGAAACCCCTTACAAGTCGTCGCCCAGGCGATGGATCTCGTCCAGCATGAAGTCCACATCCGCCTCGTTGACCGCCGCCGACGAGATGATCGAGCGGAAGAAGTTGGGTCGCCGGTCGTCCGGCTGGTAGCCCACCATCAGCGTGCCCTTCTGCATCATGCGGCCCTTGATGATGGGACAGATCTGCAAGAATATTAAAATGTTAACATAGGTTCTATCATACGTTTACGGGGTTTTATTGTCATCTATAAGCATTAAGGATATTATATAAAATAAATAAATAAATAAAATTAAATAATGATGCAGTTCTTTAGAGGACTACTTCACAAGGTATACCAATCCAAAATCGGACATTATTCAGAAAAGTTACATTTTCCGAAAAGCAATTTTTCGGAAGACAAGGATATAAAAATGGAACGTAAAATTTGAGGCATGCAAATCATATTTTTAGAAATAGTATATTAGTACTTATACTTCATTGGATATAATTATTTAAATTTAATTATTAAATTTTATTATTATTATGTTATTTCTTTGCTCACCTTTCCCAGCTCCACCTCCTTCTTGGCATCGTGGGGCACTCCTCTTAGCCGCTTGGGCACGTACCAGAACGAGACGTTCACGCACTCCGGCTCGAGGATGAGGTGGAAGCGGTCGGACTGCTCCCGGATCCGCTTCAGCTGGTACTGGACCAGCTCCATGAGGCGGTCCTGCTGCTGCTCGAAGCCGTCGGTGCCCTTGGCCCGCCACTGGAGCCACAGCTTGAAGATGTCGTTGTGCCGGCCGCACTGGATCACCTTGTCGCCGGTGTCGTAGCTGATGTCGTACTGCTTGTCGGTCATGAAGAGGTACTCCGCCGACATCTGGTTGCAGCTGATGAGGAGGCCCTGCGAACGAGGCAGAGATTCGATTCGGGGTGAAGTGAACTCTCTCTCTCACGAGTCGACCATAAGTCAAGTTCAGATTTTAATTAAAATTCCGCCTGCCAAAAGACGCAACTGTGACCGATGGTAACATATTGCCCGGCATGTAAAGCAGCCAGGGTGACTTGGCGCATTTGGTCTTTGGTTGCTCGTCAAAGATTTCATTACGCATTGTGTGTGCGGACTACCCTCGGACTACCCAGTTCGCTCCCGTTCGTTTGGCAGGACGAACAACAAGGAATTGTTCCGAGCACAATTGGAATTCTTTACACAAACATTGTTCGATGTGCATCCAGAAGAATGTTGGTAAAACCCAGGGAACGGGACGGCAGAGAAGGAATTTAAAGCATGGGGTTGAGACGGAGGTATGCCTCGAATTTGTATCGCTCCGTTTAAGGCGGCAGTGGTGGAGAGATAAACTTTTAACTTGTCCGACAGGCCGGCCTTTCATTTCAAATTGTATCTCGCTGAACAATTATTCTTTTACCATTCGCCATTCGCCATTCGCCATTTACCATTTACTAGTTTCTCTTATTTTTCAGAATTAAATTCGCATTACACTTGGTTAAATTGGGGACCCTTGAACTACAGATTTGCATTTTTAAATAGAATTTAATTTTCTATAGTTATAGTATCTGTTACTGAAGCTGACCTTTCCTTCTGCCTTGAAAAATTATATATCTTGATCATACTTGGTTAGTAATACTTACATCCTCCTTGAAGTGGATCGTCGAGCATTGGAGCAGGGCTCCCATGAGCTTGTGGGGATTCCAGGTGACCGAGTCGGCGCTGCAAGAGTCAAATCGTGGCGTTAAATGAACATTCAATTACGAATTACAAACAATTAACACTAATCTGCCGCAGTGCGGTACAAGCCCCACCCCTTTTGAAAATCCCACCCCCTGCTGAGAGACAAGAGGATAAAAAAAAGGGGAAGGGATGCGGAAGGTCCTGGCAAGTGCCATAAATTGTGGCAATTTCAGGCCGCAGCACTTTAATTGAATTCAAAAGAGCGAGGACAACCCCCGTGGGCACCGGAGGGTTGACAGCTAAACATCCCTGGGGGAGCTATTTACAGTTATGTGGGCGCAGTGTGTGTGTGTGGGATTGGGCTTCGAAGTGTGCGTGAGTGAGTGGGTGTCTATAAACATGATCCTTATGGAGTGCCGGGAAGTATCCTTCACTTTTTTACACGCCGCGCTGGTTCGACAAAAAGGGTATGATGATTGGAATAAAATCACACACCTATATAGCAACTAGACAATACAAATTTATTATATTATTTTTACTTTAAACCGAATATATTTTTTATTATTACTATTATTATATTTTAGTTAGGGATAATAAACTGTAGAAGACAGATAGTTTATTGTTTTGATTTGATAGATTTTCATCCCTTATAATATAGATATCGTATTTTAAATCTTTTATAAATAGGTATCTTTTAGTCTCAACTCTTTTTCACCCTAATAAGTATTTGATTGAGCGGCGGCATGTGAAGCTAAACTCTTAAGATGAGATTTCGATTCGATTGTTTTAAGTTGGGATCCAAAGTGAAACTCAGCGGATTTAAGAGGCTCTGGCGAGGCCTCCTTCGAAGGACCATTAATCAGAGTTGCGTAAGCCGGCGAAGGCCACAAAGTGTCAGCTGCAAGGGCATTTTAATGATTAATTCGCGCTGAGAGCCTTTCAATTAAGGACCTCGATTTGCATGCCGCAGCAATTGCCGGCCTTAGGATCCATTCAAGCTAATTGAAGGCGGACGCCTGGGTGATGGATGAATGGGAATGGGGATGCGAGATGGTAATGGGACGAGGCAATCAATTTGAAAGTGTTTATGGAGTCTGCTGCTTGACCGCAAGCTGTCGATACTGCGACAGCTGCACTTGCCGCATTTGCCTAAGCTTCCCAAAGAATTTAAGATGTTCTATGGATTCCCGATGTAAATGGAAGTTGTAGATGGAGTAAAGTGCATTTCAGGTTGCGACTTTAAAATTAAAAATTCCTGGCCCCGGGGATGAATCGCTGACTTGCCCTCTCAGCCATTGTTTGGCGTAATTGTTGTGTAAGTAATGCCCATGGAAATGCCCATCCAAAAAGGCACCCCAGGGTAGAGATGGATGGATGGATGGATTGCTGGGGTGGAGGGCACTGGGAAATCCACTTTGTTCATTTGTTTGTTCGGGCCAAAATGCACTCGGCTTGTGCCTTGTAATCCCTGTAAGCTCAGAACACCTGATGGAGGCACTAAATGACAAATTGAGATTTTTCCCACATGCTCAACTCGACTCGAATCCTTCGACGAGGGGTAACACCGAGCCATGCGGGCCATTTGGGAGCATTTAGATTTAAATTTACCCAACCCGAGGAGAGATTTCAATTTGTGTTTTGACTGGCCCGAAGATGAGGGCGTTCAAGGCACAAAGTTCATGTCAAGAACGATGATGAATGAGAACAACAATTGCTTGGGACAAAAGATAAGGTTTTCCAAGGGCTTCTTAAAGCACTTCAGAGTTTTTTAAGAATTGATAAGTTAAAGCACTGCAAATGTTTTATAAAGTTTAAAAAATAAGTGAAGGGTGGGTAGAAATCTTGAATTAAGAACCACTTCAACTTTAAGGGATTTCTTATAAAGTATGGTTGATTCTTTTAGTTTATAAAAAAGTAAATAAGTTATACAACTTACCGCTCAACTCCAGTAAATCTTGGATGACGATGCTTTCGGGACATCAATAAACCACCGCCCCAGGCAGCCTGCAAAAAGTCCATAAAAATTTCAATTGTATTAGTTACTATTAGATGAATATATATTTTTAATTTGCATAAATTATATATATTAATTTAAATTTAATTAAGTTCAGATCTTGATTGCACTTACATCGATGTGCATCCAGCAGTTGTACTTCTGGCAGATGTCGGCGATCGTGTTGATGTCATCGAAGGCCCCCAGGACAGTGGTGCCGGCAGTGGCGTTGACGAAGAAGGGGATGTCCCCCTTGGCCTTGCGCTCCAGGATCAGCCGCTCCAGCTCCGAGGTGATCATCTTGCCGTGCTCATCGGAGGGCACCACGATGCAGTGATCGGTTCCCAGGCCGCAGACGGCGGCGCACGACTTGATCGAGTAGTGGCACTGATCGGAGGTGAACATCACCAAAGTTCCGGGCAGGCCCACCGAGCCGTGCTCCTTGTAGTTGGGGAACATCTTGTGGCGAGCCGCCAGGAAGGCGTACAGATTGGAGATGGAGCCTCCGGGGGCCAAAATAGAGTCTCCGCCGGACCATCCGATGATCTCGCGCATCTTGGTCAGCACCACGTTCTCCATCAGGATGAAAACCGGCGCAATCTCGTAGGTGAACATGTTGGTATTGGCCGTGGCCGTCAGCCACTCGCCGGCCATGGAAATCAGGTCCAAACCGTTGGACAGTTGGTTGAAGAAGTGGGGATGTCCTGGGAATTACAAGAGGTACAGGATAAAGTTAAATTCCTTAAAATTATAAAACCTTATTACAGTGTGAATTTATATTTTAAAAATAAATTAAAAAGTATTTGTTCCTTTGAACGAGCTCTGTCTACTTATACGATCCTCTCTTTAATTAATATTTTTGCTTCGCAGCTTACACACTTGACATTTTCCATGTGCGCCTGCCTAATGTAGCTGAAAATGGTTTCCATTTAGTTTCGGCTGTCTGGATGGCTGTCTCTCCATTTGTGGCACTTTCCTCGCCTTCCATCGCTGCGAGTTTTTCTAAGCTGACAGCAGATGTGCCTGGCAGCTGTGCTGCCTTCAGCCATCAGGCCATCAGGCCATCAGCCTTCATCCCGGAGCTTTGTTTTATTAAAAATATACATTCGAGGGCAGTGGCAAGTGAAACAAAGGATGAACCAAAACACGGCTGACTGGCCCCGAAAGCAAAAATAAATAGGCACAAAGGCGGACGGCGAAGACCGCCGGAAGTGCATATGTTCAAGGGCAGACGGTACAAGGTTTAGTCCAATCGATGGATGGATAGTCTAGTCTGATTCTCCCTTCTTTATTTTTCCTTGCTCAACAAGTTTGGCAACGTAATCCTCCCGCTGCTACTTAGCTCCATAAATTGCTCATTTATTGTAGCTAATTGCGACTGGCCGGGCTTCGATTTTGGGGTGCCCTTTCTGGAGGAGGAGAGCGGAGGGGAAAACTCCCACGAAGAATCACAAAATGCTTTCAGTCAGCATCAGGAAGCTGTCCAACTCCCCGATTTTATTCGCAGCCCCCCATCGCTTGGCAGCTTGAACCCTTCGGCGTCTGTCAGTTCACATCTTGAGTGCCATAAGTCGTGTGATTAAAATCCCATTGCCCACAAGGCTAAATCCACCCACAGATATAAGGAATATGCACAGGAAGAAATACTCCATCCTAACACAAAACATATAAAACTTAATCTCAGTTTTACTACACGAACCATCTCATTAAACTCTTTCTTGTGGAAACTTTTCTTGTTTACTTATCCTTTTACATACTATTATGCACTTAAATCTTTATTGTTTTTGCTAGTACTTTTTTTTCTGTGTGCAAGCTGACAGAGCGCTGGCATCCAAACATTTCAATTTGCGCATGTGGCCAGGATATCCTCGCTGGCAGGATTCGAATCGAGCGGAGTCACCCTCGCCCCGGCAGCCATTCATTCGCATCAAAGGATCAGGAATGCAGCGAGTCAGAAAATAACAACGGATTTTGATTAAAGCTCCCCTCGTTTTTATGGAGTCCTCGGCGAAGGAAGCGGTGTCCTTCGTATCAGGTTGCCGGTCTGACAGGACGGGCATTATGTGAGATTACGGATCATAAATGGGACTCTTATCGGGTCTGCAGGGAAGACGAGTGCGAAAAAAGCAACTTAACAGTGCCATCTTTTAGTGAGGAAAATGCGTGTTTATCTTAATTTGCTGTCTTACTAAAAACATTGCTTTAATTACTTTTAATCCCACTATAAATTTGAGAGGAATAAGCTTTGATATTATTTTACAGATAATGAGAAATGATAAGAGACTATATCCCACTCTTCTTGAAACCTACTAGACACAACTTTTCTGACTTATCTTCTAACCTTAGGAACTTCAGCTTGTTGCAATGAAAACTTCTTGTTGAAAAAACAAAAATAAACTTGCACTTCCCACACAAACATATTCCATGGGACTACGCATCCTAATTACGTTCTTTTCCTCAGCCAAAACTTTCCCATGCAATCCAAGTTTATTCAGTTGCCTCTGATTGCGTAGAGTTTTAATTCAATTTTTGGCAAGCCAAATGGGAGCCAGAAGGATAAACAGCGGCGGTCTCATTTCCTGAATGGCAAGTCGAGGAAGCAACGCCTGCTTCCTTGATACAAGGCCGCAGTTTCCGGAGGAGGGTGGCTCTTCTGGCTGGCTCTTCTGGGGTGGAGTGGGTGGTTAGTTGGTGGGGGGTGGCTCTAGTAAATACGCTTATTATCGATACTCCAAACACAACTGCGGTCACGTGCGAGGACTGCACAAACATCGCAGGACAAAGACAGCGACGGTCGACTGGGGACAGACTGCCTCTCGCATTAATTTTCAATGAAATCAAATCAGCAAGGACATTCAAAACAAGCTGCCTGAAACTATTATGCAAGAAGTCGACCTTTTGACACCTTAGGAATTTGATTTTAGCTGTAATTTTTGTATTCAATTGAATGAGAATAGATTTTTAAGTGTTCGGTTTATTATTACTCTATTAAATTCTTTGGATAATAGCAGAAAGTACTTTAAAGCTAATATTTTGTAAAATCTGAACTTAACAAATGATTTATTCTATCTATAAATGTAGTATTTTTTTTTATATATATCTTAGAATATATTTAATATTAAACAAAAATCAGAATTTAAGAGATTTTTCGTTCTAGAAAGTAACCATAATTTTATTACCTCCCAAAAGCCCCTTCTCTCCCCGATTAGTGGGTATATAAAAAGTTAAAAGTGAAACGTGCGAATGACTTTTGGCTGCTAAAGCCGAGCCCACAAAGAACCCTTTGCCTGATTTATGATTGATGGCGCACTGAATCGCAGGGGGATAGAGGATTTCAGCGCCCGAGGCGAGTGTTTTTGAAAGGTGTAAACAAGCCGGGGCCGCAACTCAATGGGCCATAAAATGGCATTGTTTGCTGTCTGCTGACTGCTGTTCGTATCTCCCCGAGTGCCATCAATATGCTAATGTGCTTATCTAGAAGGCTGCACACTTTGTGCCCTAATACGACCGCAATGTCCAGGGGCACGCGTCCTGCCTCTGTGCTAAAAAAATATAAAAAATAAAGCCAGGACGAAAAGCATATGCTAAGCAGGGACAAATTTGATTAATCTCCAACTGAGCAAACTTCCCAGGGCGATGATAAGCACATAAGTCGAGAGGCTTTGATCACCTTTCAGACATTCGAAAGGTAGGAATGCAGAAGGAAATGCATTTTTTAGGAGAATTTATTATTTATTAAAGCCCTATTCCCAGAATGAATTTAATATTGGTATTTTTGAAAAATAATGTATACATATTTTTTAGGCAGTAATAAATCCAGACTTTAATTTTGATTATGTACACTGCCGCTCAACTGAATAGGTTCATGCTCTCAGAGGAAGTAATTTGTCTATAATTTCTAAACCAGTGTACCGATTTCCAAAATTTTTTTTTTCTTTAACTCTTGAATCATTTTATAATAAAATGCTGAAGAAGGTTTTTCAAAAACATATTATTTATTCCTTATTTAATTTTTCTTCTGAAAGGTTAACAAAATTCATGGTTTTTTTTTGGGTCATCTGAATAGGTTCAACCTAAAACAATTAAAATTATTTAAGTAACTAAGGATAATTTTCATATTTTTTGAACTTGGCTGATACTTATGAACATTTTAAGAGTACATTTTACTAATTTTAATAAAAAGTGAACCCTCCGTTGTCCGATATAACATCATATACACGACCGGGAAGCGAGCTATACTAATTGTGCAGTATTTGCAGTGAAATGGTTGTCCAGGCTATTTTAATTGCCTTAACTAAAGTTGTTTTGCAAGAAAATTACCTGCCTCCTTCATATATCTTGCGCGATAGCAACCCCCATACGATTTCGATTATATTAAGGTCAGGTGAATATGGGGGCCATTCAAGTAAGTCCACATTTTGAGCCTTAATCCATTCTTTTACCACCCTAGCTGTATGATGAGAGCGTTATATTGCTGGTAAGACCATTTGATAAAGTGAAAAGTATTTGAATAATCAGGAAACGTAGCCTTTATGATAGATTTGTAGGATTCCGCGCTCATTTTAGAAGTAACAAATTAGAGGTCGCAAGTGCCAAAGACTGATACCGACCCCCACACCAAAATCAATTTAATTTAGAAGCGTAAATCAATAGCTACAACTATTATTATCACGATCTTCGAAAGGAAGAGCATTTCCTTAGCCGTTGTCATAGCTGTGAGGGTGGGGTAATGGTGTGGGAGTCGGTATCAGTCTTTGGCACTTGCGACCTCTAATTTGTTACTTCTAAAATGAGCGCGGAATCCTACAAATCTATCATAAAGGCTACGTTTCCTGATTATTCAAATACTTTTCACTTTATCAAATGGTCTTACCAGCAATATAACGCTCTCATCATACAGCTAGGGTGGTAAAAGAATGGATTAAGGCTCAAAATGTGGACTTACTTGAATGGCCCCCATATTCACCTGACCTTAATATAATCGAAATCGTATGGGGGTTGCTATCGCGCAAGATATATGAAGGAGGCAGGTAATTTTCTTGCAAAACAACTTTAGTTAAGGCAATTAAAAAAGCCTGGACAACCATTTCACTGCAAATACTGCACAATTAGTATAGCTCGCTTCCCGGTCGTGTATATGATGTTATATCGGACAACGGAGGGTTCACTTTTTATTAAAATTAGTAAAATGTACTCTAAAAATGTTCATAAGTATCAGCCAAGTTCAAAAAATATGAAAATTATCCTTAGTTACTTAAATAATTTTAATTGTTTTAGGTTGAACCTATTCAGATGACCCAAAAAAAAAACCATGAATTTTGTTAACCTTTCAGAAGAAAAATTAAATAAGGAATAAATAATATGTTTTTGAAAAACCTTCTTCAGCATTTTATTATAAAATGATTCAAGAGTTAAAGAAAAAAAAAATTTTGGAAATCGGTACACTGGTTTAGAAATTATAGACAAATTACTTCCTCTGAGAGCATGAACCTATTCAGTTGAGCGGCAGTGTATATTCCTTTGTATGAATTTTAATTCGTTTTAAAACATTTCTTGCATGTATTTTAATTCTATGAGTAATTTAAACATATTTTAAGAGCCTTTCAGAGATTTGAAAGGTAGGAATGCAGGAGGAAATAAGTTTTTTAGGAGAATTTGTTTATTATTTATTAATTTATTTATTATTGGTATTTTTTTAAAAATAATGTATATATTTCTTTTGGCAGTAATAAATCCACTCTTAAATTTTGATAATTTTTTTGTATATATTTTAATGCGTTTTAAATCATTTCTTGTATGTATTTTAATTCTGTGAATAATTTAATCATATTTTAAGAATATATAATATTAACTCACCCGTCTTGACTTGATATTTCAATGTCGTGGCACAATCCTCGATGAGCTGCTGCAGTGGCAGAGCGCGATCGGGAACATCGAGGTCCAAGAGGCGCTTCATGTCCTCGGGATGGTGGAAGTCCAGGACCTTCTCGTTCCGATCGTTTGTGGCCTTCACAAAGTCCAGCAGAACGTCGATTACCTTCAGCAGGAACTCCCGTGTCTCCGGACCAGCGGTCACTGTGGTGGGCATGAGATCTGGATAGGAAAAACAGAAAAAAACAAGGAAGAGGGTGCGGAAAAAACCAAATGAGAATTCCTTATCGGTAAATATGAAAAGCGTGCCCCGCTGGTGACAGGAAAAATGGTTTTCCTCTCTTATCGTGATATATGGCTATTATTATTGCAATGATTTGTGGGGAGACTGAGTCGTAAAAAGAGATGACTGGCTTTAATATGAGGTAAGTTGAGATTTCTTAGTGGCTGGCTAAGATTTCAATTATACTGAGGTCTTTTTGTGTTCATTCACTGAGAAAATCTTTGAACTTAAAATTGGTTTTGGTAAAGAGATTTGATTTCTTAAAGGAAAACCTTAAATTATGTTTTGAATCTCGATTTATTCGTAAGAAGAAGTAAAATGAAAGAAAATAGAATTAACCTTAACTCAATGCAATACAAAATGTAAATATTCAGCATATATAAAATAAAATATAAATTATTTTTTGATAAAACTCATAAATTGCATATAATTTTCTGAGCATCAGTGTTATTAATACTTTGAGTTAAAACGCTATTCATCAGAAAAGATTACTCTGAAAGTAGCTGTGTGTTTTGCAGTGCGCCCTTGTGGGCTGTAAATATCCTTGGCTGTCCTTGCCATTGCCTTCCTTGAGCTGGCTGCAATTAATTACTGGGGCTTTGTTTAAGCATCGGCAGTGGCCACTAAGCCACCGAGCAAATGGGAGCAGCTCCGTTCGAAGCTCGCTGAAATTCAATTGTGGACTTAACGTAGCGCATGATTACCATTTTGTGGGGCGGAGAACAAATTGTAGCAATTTGGGAAATTCCTCGAGTTTACGGCCAAGAAGCTAAATAAAATTTAATGTGCTCGACTGCTTCAGTGGGTGCTCAGTGTCAAAGGCAGTCGAGTTTTGAATCCTGCAAAGGCAAAGGCACAGACTGAGGCATTAGAAACAGCCGTCACACACGAGTCCTGGAATCGAGCGTGAGCAATATCCTGTGACTAAACGGTTTATGTTTGTTGGCCTTTCAATTTGAGGCACGCGTCTGCTGCCTCGTGGCGAGTCCTGGCACCTTTTTTTCTGGTCCTTCGGCGTCGAATGGTGGTGGATTTGTTTGACTTTCTGTCTGTTTGTTTCGTGTTTGTCGAGGAAATCTCTTACAGGGCAACAGTCGCCAGTTTCACGCTCCGGCGAAGCCAAGAACACACACCAAACACAACTCACAACTCACGAGAATTGAGTGCAAAGGAGCTTCCCGGGCAGGGCCATTTATCAGGGACACGAGTGTCCTGGACAGCCCTATGCTTGTCCATGTCCTTGGCAGCAGACTCCCGTTTTCCCACTTTTCCCGTTTTTCCCGCTTTCCAACATTTTACCCATTTTACCCATTTTCTGTTCGTGTCTTTTGCAGTGTCAGTTTAACACTCGCTTACTGTTTGCCCAGCCAAATGCGATTCGAGTGCAACTATGCGGAGGAGCAATGTTTGTCAGGATTACTATACTCCCCAGCGAAGCAATCCCCCTTCGGAATCGTGTTCGGAAAATATGTTTCTGTGCTGGAATCTGACAGGTTCGAGTAGCACTCTTGGAAGATATATCTTTGGTATCTGCTAAGCTTAATCCCTTGTTTCGATACAATTTATGACTACGACAAGAAGCTACACAGCTTATGCAAGTGTTTATTTATAATATATATTATAATTTATATACAAGTGAGGAAAACATTTCATTGCCTAAAGTTAAGTTGCATATTTTTATTAACAGAAAATAAACTTAAATGAATATATAAACATTAACAAGGCACTCCCTCTCTAAATACTTTTTCAAGACAAGCAACTTTTTCTTTGGAAATTATAACCTAAATAATAAAATATTATATTTGAAAAAAATTTCAAGAAATAAACAATATAAGATGACTGTCTATAAATGAAAAAGACTTATGTATTGATTTCTCAGTTTATGAAAAAGCTTTTATTTCTCAATTATGTTGATAAATTTAAATAAATTTAAATTTTAATAAAATAAATATGTTTTCAATAATTATAAGTTCTTACCATAGGCAGTCAGCTTGCCCGTCCTCTCGGACAGTTTATACCCGTTCGGATTGAGAGCCATTTTCTCCTCTGCAAGGATAAAGAGTAAAAAAAGGATACAAAAAATTAGTAAAAGGAATCCGAAAACGCAGACTCTGCTAAGTAGGAAAAAATGGAGCTGGGCCAAATGAAGTGAGTCAATGTTATGCAATCGACCGCAAGCTGAAGGCCCTGAAGGCAGGTGTTACATAAGTCCCTCCGATCCGAAAACCCACACACAAATTGCATAACCAAGACAAACAAACAAACAGTGTGAAAATGCAATGGGCGTGTAAATAAACAGAGTGGAAAATGGAATGGGGAGTGGAGGTTTTCTTGGTTGGGGGTTGGGGGTTGAGGGTCGGGGGCTGGGACAAGGACAAGTGAAGGGCAAGCTCCAAGTGGGAGGTAAATATCCCGCATATACATAGACAACTATTTCAGGACCCCCTCCTTTCCGTTTTGGCGCCATCTGCTATTGCGCAGTGAGTGTTAAGTCAATTTCCTGCGACTGCTACATACATATATACACAAATATATATAGGTATATATATATATATATGCAAATATATATATAGATGTGTGATTTACATGGGGATACAGACAGCACGACAGCTGCTGTTAATGGCGAAAACCTTGGACAGTACGAAACTTATGCAACGTAATTCAGATAATTCAGACAAGAAGTCTGAGGGCGGGTCTTACCGATAATCCTGCGGATATCGTCGATATACTGCTTTAGATAATTCACTTTGACTGTGTGCGGGGGCGACGAGGCACCGACGTGGCTTTCAGGATAGAAAAACAACTGGAGGAATGTGCGAGGACGAAATGTATTCGAAATGTATCTCTAAGATGGAGCTGCGATACTACTAAATTGTTGGTCTAAATTGGCGACAACTTACAGAGTTCCTTCGAGCTACACCAAAAAAACACTGAGAAACACTCGCGGGACGGCGGCTCTAATTCGCTGATTAAACGGACTTAGCGGGCAGAATTTATATCTGGGATTTCGAAATCTGTATCTTCTTTGGATATAGTATGGTGGCAATCAACTTTCACTGACTGGAGAACTTAGGGAACTGAGCAGCCTACACTCGCTGACGATCTGCGGAGCTATGAGCAGCAGCATCCGCCTGAGTTGCCTACGAAGCTTTTCTGCCCCACACAAAATGGCTGCCCACACGCACACACACATACATATATGCACACTCCTACAGCTCTTGCATAACCTTCAACCCACACAAACACGACGAGGAAAATGCGGGAAATTCTCTTGGTGACGTCATTGATTTTTTGGCAACCATCTTTGTTCGAGCCATTTTGCGTGGGCGGAGCCTCAGCTTGTGCGCCCCAAAGTATCCAACGGATACACACACACACACAGACACACTCAACCGAAGAAAAGGTGTGCGCACGCCTGGAAAAACACTATGGATTGTAGAGAAAACAAAGATTTGGAGGGGCGACCAAATGAAAAGCTAATTAACAAACTAATTTTGCCACTGTTTCTGACATTTACAATGACCCACAACTTTTTATGAGAGTTCCGGCCGAGTGACAGCGAAAAAACATCTATAATTACTTCCACTTTTTCCCCATATGCATCGAGCACATAAATTCTATATATTCGGCATATATAGAACCTAAAACATGGACTCTAGTATATAGAACAAAATGAAATTTAGGTCAAAGCTAGACAACCTTCCTCCTGCGCGTCCTTCGTATGCAAAAGAGATATGTATCTGGGAGAAGTGAAATTGCATTATTTCCAATGAAACGCTTTTCATAGCACACTTTTGAGGGCCAGCGCATATAGGCAATGTTATGTAACTCGGAAGAGGCCGAAAAAAACATGGGGGGGGAAATGACGTCCATCAAACCGGAGAAGCTCAAACAACGAGAACACAGTGAAAACAGTAAAAACACTTCCATCGACAGACTTTTATCTTACGTGGAGCAGCTGGCAGAAGGATGTTGCCTTGGTCCTTGTACACAGGATCCTCCGCGTCAGCATATTCACTCCGAAGGCTCTGGCACTGGAAAAGTGTCTTTCGATGTAACTGATTGCAACTTGAGAAGGCCATTACAGCAGCAATAACTTCTTTAAAAGCCCCCGTGATCAATCTTTTATTTAATACCATATTCGCAAGATTGATTTAATGTACTAGGTGCCTTTTTAACAAGACTTCTTAAACGTTGAATTGATAAGAAAGAATTGCAAGCATTTAATGAGGCAATTACTATTGTTGAAGAGCCCAGCAGCGTTCCATAATTTATAGTTTTAATAAAAAGTTAATTGTGTTGATTTATCCATTGCAAAAGAAAATGAAATCACAACTTTTAATGAGGCAACAACTGTGCTGTTGGTTTATTGCTTCATTTTAATGGGTAATTAAGAGCAACCAACAATTTGGAATTTATTTCGTTTTAAATACATTTTGTTGTTGATTTGTTAACAAAGCCCATCCATCACGAGTGTCAGACAAATATTTTCGATAGCGAACACCTTATGGTATTTGGACTAAATACGGAAAAATAAGTCGGGGCTTATCTCGGTCCACTTCAGCAACATGTGCTACCAATAATAATTAGGCACTCCGTCTGAACTTATCGCGGATATATAGCCACCCAGACCAAAAAGTTCCGATGGCAATCTGCGATAGCATATCCACTGATTCGCACTTGAATCTATGACACCGCCAGATAAAGGCATCAAAAACATTTATTATTAGCCAGTGGGAAATTCGCCTCAGCTTTCCGTGTAGCCAGAGGCTCAGTTGGCCAACTGCTACCATTTGGATCGGACAGCTTTATATAAATCCAGGCGAGTTAAGCGTTTAAGCATTTCAAGAGGAGCAGGTGCAGCGCACAATTGGATTTAATTGAGTCAAACTTTTGAAAGGCACAGTAAGTCGAAAGGGGAAATGGATACAACAGCCAGACATGGACAACAAAAGGATTAAGGGCTAAGCAATTTGTAAGGGCAATTTGTAAAATACTCTTAAATATGCATAGTTATTGTAAAAGTAATTAATGAATATCGGTTTCATATATAAATATTTGTTTTTTACATGCAATATAGCTAATAACTAAATACAGAAGTGGAAAATGGATTCAAATATCTGCTATACTAGAAATATATAATATATGAGACTGAAACTGAATATAAAATTCAAATTAAGTAACCATACTCAAGACATAATTATTTTATTTTAATATATATTTAATGTACATTCAAAAAATGTGCAAAAGAGCACCAAATATCCTTATATAAAATACTGAAACTGAATATCAAATTAAAAAAACAAGTAACCATACTCAAGACATAATTATTTTATTCTAATATATGTTCTATGTTTATTTAAAAAGGCTGTTCCTTATAATTTAACTGGTTCAAAGATCACTAAATTTCCTTATATCATTATACCTAACTGAAAATCATGAATATCCTTCGAAAGAGTATAACAAGTGAAGGAAATGATACAATGGAGCGGACTCTCGAGCAGAAAATAGGATGCTCACCTGGCTGCGATTGCGAGTAGCGCAAGTAGGCCCTGTAACCCAGATAGGCGAAAATGTTGGGAGTCTGTTGCCACCCACGGATGGGTGTGGGTTCCTCGGGAAGTTAATTCTGACTGGGAGTTTCGTCCTGGGGGCGAAGTGTCCTCTTTCGCACTCGACTCTCAACTGCGACGAACCAGAGGACCACGGAATGCTCTTCGCTCGGGGGCCATAAATATTTTTCAGCCCAGACCAGGCCAGGGAAAACAAAAAAGAAAAGTGAGTTTGGGGCTCCCTTAGTCTGTCTGCTTAGCTTGTCATTACGCTGACAAAATAAGATTCCTGAAGGTTGGTTAGCTCAGGTATTTGTGTGAGGTATTTTAGCTGAAAATCGCATTCAAAAGCGTTGCCAGGATGCCAGGAAACTTCCACCGAGAGACGGGCGATTGCATAACCCTTTTCGGTTTGGCAAATCAAGCGCATGAAATTCGGATAGCAAATGCCCGGGATAACAATGGTGGAAGGATTAGGCCCTGGGGCAATCCCTCCGAGGCTTTCGAGGCTTCCCAGGCTGCTTTTCGCTGCCTAGTTTTGAGAGCGCGATAATTGCATTTCGAGCACAATTGCTCCTATTGTATAGTACACGGGGCCAAACAGTCTCCATTTTGGCCCAGTCCCCCAAGGATAATACGCCCCCAAACCATGGCGAAAACCCATCCCCCATCCCCCATCCCCCCGCCTTCGTAATACGACCTTCTCTTTTCAGCCCAGCGATGGGAAAGCGTGTGGAAAAGCGACGGGGAAATTTGGGGAGATGTGGATGGCTTCTCGTCCTGCCATTGGCCACTATCCTTAGCCTCTCTGCGTCGGCGCAGACTGTGACGTCACCGTCCATTTCGAAGGACGACACTTTGGGGGATGCTGCGGTGCCATCGCAGTCAGTAGCCAAAATCCTTGAAGACGACCGAACCATCAGCGCAGTTCAGGATTGGAGTTTGCTGTGTAAAGAGCTCTGCGGGTAAGTTTCGGCTAAACAGCAATCCAAACTCCTCAAATAACAAGTGCAATGTGACTGCTAAACAAGTGAGGTCTCAAGTGGTTTTCGACCAGTCTAGGCGCCACTTAAAACTTGTTCCACAAAAGTTCGAACTAATCATGATAATGGAAAACTAAAGCAAAACGCGTGTCGGTGGCCATGAGAAATCATTTGTGAATTGCGTCGGCTTTTAAAGTGTGGACTTTCGAGGGTTTCCGGTAATCGCGGCTGTCATGCAAATATAATCCACATTCCTGATCTCATGCTATATCGGATTTCTGGTATAAGAACGCGTGTGTTGTGATTTTTCAAGTGTTAAATTCTTAAGTACAAATGTACTAGCTACTCGCGTGATGTACTTAAAAAAATTAGAGGAAGCTTTGACACAAACAAATATTTAAAAAGCTTATTTAATGCTTCAAGTTAAAAAATGTGTTTTACTCAAATTTAAAAAAAAATTTCTAAAATTTGTGCAGCTTATGTACCTACCATTAATTTTAATATTACATATCAGATTTTTTCGCCAATAAACACTTGCCCTAAAAGATCGTTTAGTTCTCAAGTTCAATGAGATCAGTAAATAAATATTTCAAGTCGTTCTGGTTCAGTAAATGTTTAAACACATGTGTCCCAAGGTTTTTGATCAACTTAAAATCTTAGATAAAAAACGTATTAAAACTAAAATATAATCGAAAGTACTGTAAAGTAATGTATTATTTTTGGGAAAGTAAAAACTCCCTCTTTTTTACAAAGTTTAAAAAATATCGATTTCTGAATTATTATTTATCATTATTCTTTGATGATCCTTCTAGAGCTGGCCTGGGCGTTGCCAAAACGCCTGATGGGGCCAAGAGCACGATCCTGAGGCCGGAGTTCGATGTGGCCAAGTGCCGGCAACTGTGTGGACTGCCAAGGGGTAAGTAAAAAAAAATTTAGAAGAATCGGAAATGATACAGATCGATTCACAGATCCATAAATCAGGTTCACTGTCTGTATCTTCAATTAAAGCTTTTAAATCATGCTCTGTTCAAAAATAAAATTGGCTTATCTTAAACAAAAAATTCATTAATTTTCCAAAATAAATTTGGGAGTGTGAGAAAACATTAAATAAGAAAATGAAAGAGGGATCTCAGCATAAACAATTTCAGGAAAACAAAATATTTTTTATCGAATAAACCCATCTTTTGTGCCATAAATTTAAATGTAGTAATATCAATACTTTTGAAGTGTATATCTAAATCTTTTCCATTTCCAATTCCTTGCAGGTGGCGTGGGCGACTTGGTGTGCTCGAGCTTCTGCGGGCAACGAGGTCGCTCCCTGCCCGGCTGCAGTCCCTGCCAGCAGGAGGTGCGCAGGACGCAGGAGGAGGAGAAGGAGAAGGATATGGAGAAACAGAAGGATATCATCATTCATAATGAGCGAATGGAGGAGGCCAGTGGAGTGCCAGCACACGGCCCCGGATCCCTGCAGCGGTCGGTGGAATCGTCATCCGCAACTCCCATAGTAGCCGGGTCGGATGCGGATCCGACCACCGATTCTCCGGACTGGGACGAAGTGTGCAAGGTGCTCTGCAAGACTGGCGATGGCGGGTCTTTGTGCAACTGTGATTTATCGCCGTTCTTCAGCTGAGCGGTCCCCACCTTCCTGAGGGGATCGCTCCCGATGGAGGCGCTAAATCACAAACCCATTATATATAGATCGAGAATTTTATGCAGTTACGAACGTTTTGTTGCTCTTCGGTTTTTGACATTCAGTTAGTGCTAGTGTTTTTCTTCATAATGTATGCTACAAATATTCCATAACCGAATACTTGTTGCGAAAGTTTAGTTCAATACTGTAAAGATAAAACATAAAAAACTATAGGAAAATCAAAAAAAAAAAAAATATAAGAAGAAGAGTATTCTTCTTGAGATGAAGAATATATATGTACGAGGAGGAGGAGGAGAGAAGCAAATATTCCCTATGCGAATCAATTAATTTGTAACTAATTTCAATTAAAAATGTAACTATAGAAAGCTATCGTGTAAGCGAAGGGGTAACTCCCCTCGGAAAACAGCAGAATCACAAAGGGCTTCCAGTGCGCCGTTCCGGAGGATGTGGATCCTGTCGAAAGGGGATCCTGCTACCTCCGGACGGACACAACCCGTAATTAGGTGATGATCAAGCTTCACTGGCTTGACGGAGCAACAGGAGAAGAACTTAATCGACAACCAACTAATATCAAAGTACACAACATATCGTGGTTAACACAACCCAAAATCCCAAAAAAATCACTTTTATTTTTCGATGGAATCAGCATATCAATTGAACACGAACACCGGAGGCAAAAACAAAAAAACAAGTTGGTATCCAAAGAATTTCCTTTGTTTTGGCTTACAAGTTATTGGCGAATCAAAAGCGTTGAGATATTTCAAAAATCAGCATCAATTATGAGTGTCGCAATTAGGCCACAATAAAACCAAGAGTTTAGTGTTGGTTAACGGCCCATTAACAATTTAAAATATACATGTACTTACTAACGAATGTAATTGGTCTATATATATATATCCACACAATGAGTTGCGATTGCAAATCAGAAGCTCAGACGGGCCAATCTGGATTTACCAGACCCGTATATACATATATATATATATACATATATGAACTTTAAACCTTAGTTATCATAATATCTAGGTGTCATATTGTTCAGCATAATTAATCGCATATGAGCTATCATATGGATATTATCTGTGTGTTTGGAAGACATTTTTTCGCATTGTATGAAATGGAAGACAATTTCAGCAAATCGCATTCTGGAAGACATGCGTTTCGGCAGCGGCAACAAGATCGGCCAACTGCAATTAGTCAATAAGATATTCTATAGCAAAAAAAAGATAATAATGCACCATTTTCGATTTGGAACTCGAAGATATAGTCAATACACAAGCACACGTTGTTGTGACAAACGCGACGCTGTGACTGACAATAATTAACTATAACTTAGGAGGAGAACAGCAGGCAAGGAAGTTCGCATACTCAGTGTCTATATACCAGTACTATTGCTAATATTAACCGCGCACTTATCAAAATATTAACAAAAACAAAATATATATATATATATGTATTGCACCAATGTTATTGAAAGTAATATCGAAATGTTTAAGGCAATTTTCAGAGCACATTCATTGATAACCTAATGCGGCTTCAGTATGTATATCGATGTGTAGCAAGTTAATCACTCAGTAATAATATACGAAAAATGCACTTTACATTTATGTATATGTATATGTGTTAGACGTTGCGTTTCTGCCATGAATACAGCGGCTAACGGGCCGATCAGACGGATTATGCCGGAATAATATCCATAATATTTATAACCAACAGACACATCATCATCAATTACGATAACCGAGTCGAAAACCGTTTCGAACCGATTATACCGTTTCGCAGTTTCGTTTTCTTCAGTTTTAACTTATGCTATGACCGAGCAGGCATTATAAAAAACCGGTAATGTCCGCGTCATAGTAAAAATACACTCGAAAATAGATTTAAAGCCAGTTTCACAACAAATAACCAAGAAAACTACTACACAACCAAATAAAGGCAATTATTATCTTATATACGTTAAATGTTGTAAAGCCCCTCTAAACAAAAAAGGCAAATCTTGTGTTTTATTGGGAAGTACTATATATGTGGATTGCATCCTATAAATTTTAAATATTTTATTTCATTTTACATTAGCCAAATTTATTTCCAATTTGGTTTATGTCCAGGATTTCTGGTCTAACAGCAGAAAATCAATTCTGTTACACACTTACAGGCTGCTGTATGTGAAATAAATGTTGGCGAAACGAATAGGCATCACAATTCATGCTTATCAAATATATTGTTTTTTTTTTTTATATGTTAAACATGACAAAGTTCAGCTTCGTGTAAATCTTTTGTTCGCTAAAGTTATATTCTGTTATAGATTTTAAACCAGAAGCCGAGACGAAAACCAAATTTGTAATAATTAAATGTTAGATGTCGTTTCTTCTTTTCGCTATAAAAACTGAATGGGAATACATATTTAAAAGATTAAATTTCAACAATGGTCGTTAAAAAGCGAAATATATATTTATTAATAAAAATGTATATTTCCATGGAATGCTGATAAGCTTCTTTTAAGAGCTCATTCACAGGTTTAGCTATGAAGCAATCTTGTTTTCACATCATTTGAAATTTCTCAGCTTAAACAAACACAATGTCCCGTTTCTCGCATTTAGGAGCGATTTTTTTGGGATGCCTCCTCTATGGCGTTGCAGGCCAGCATTGGGTAAGTCATCGCACTCGATTGTATGAAAAATGTTTAACTCTCAAGTAATTTTTAGATAATTCCCCCTTTGAGTGACTTGCAAAGTGGAGCAAACGAACTTTGCGGATTGAGCAATCCGGATGGTCTGGGGATCGACGTGAAAGTAACCGATGGTTACTCCAGACCAGGTGAATATCCCTGGGTAGTTGCCCTCTTCAGCAAGGGACAATTCTTCGCAGGAGGTTCTCTAATTAAACCGGGAGTCGTCCTAACCGCCAGTCATCTACTGGAATCCAAGGTTGCAGAGGATATTATGATCAGAGCGGGAGCTTGGAACATTGCAGCCCGAGCCGAACAGTTGCCACATGAGGAGCGCCAGGTGACAAGTATTGTGCGACACGAGAATTTCACGTTTGCCACAGGAGGGAACAACATCGCTCTCCTGTTCCTCAGCTTGCCGTTCGAGTTGAAGACCCACATCCGAACCATGTGTTTGCCCAGGCAGGGAAAGTCCTTCGACCAGGGACGCTGCTTTGTCGCCGGATGGGGAAAAGTGTCGTACCAGGATAGCCAACTATCGAATGTGCAAAAGAAAATTCAATTACCTTTGGTCAATCGAGAAGTGTGCCAGGATCAGTTGAGAAAAACCCCTCTCGGACCGGATTCCGTGTTGCCCGACAGTCTGCTCTGCGCCGGCGGGGAAAGGAACAAGGACACTTGCAGGGGCGACGGAGGATCTCCGCTCTTCTGTCCCATGGAGGGAGACCCAGAGCGCTACGAACAGGCCGGCATCGTCAACTGGGGCATCAAGTGTGGCACGGAAAACATACCGGCAATCTACACAAATGTGGCTTTGTTCCGCGATTGGATTGATCAACACGTGGCCAATAAGCCGCAATTTTAGGATCCCTGCCGTTATATAAATTAATATCTTCTTGAGCTATCTTCTTATCTTCAGTAATTTTCCATAACTAATTCGGGAGTGTTAGAAAACATTAAGTGGGAAAACGAATGTGGGATTGTAGCATAAACAATTTCAGGAAAACAAAAGCATTTTTATCGAATAAACAGATCTTTTTGTCCCGTTAATTTAAATGTAATAATATCAAAACAATTAAAGTGTATATATAAACCTTTTCCATTTCAAATGTGTGGCTTTCATACAATAGAAGTGATTTCAAAAGTTTTTTTTCAATTCTCCATTTGCATGACTTATTTCAAATTGGGTTTGTATCCAGGCTTCTGGTCTAATAGCAGAAAGGCAATTCTGTAGAGAACAGAATGTAAAGCAAATGTTAATAAAAGGAGAATCGAGTTTTCTGTTACTTTTAAATGTAAATCTTTCGTTCGCTCAAATAAATTTATTTTTAGATCGGTTTTTTTTGTCTATGAACTAAGCCGGAAATTAGATTAAATTTAAACGATGGTCGTTAATAGGGCGGTAAAACCAAAACATATATTTAGTCAAAAAAATTCCCCTGAAAGATGATAAGCTTCTTGAAAGCTTACTGAGAGGTTTAGCTGCATATATAAAATAAAAGGCAATCTTGTTTTCAGATTTATTTGAAATTTCTCAGCTTAAGCAAACACAATGTCCCGAGTCTTGGAAATAAGAGCGATTCTTTTGAGCTGCATCCTCTATGGCGTTGCAGGCCAGGATTGGGTAAGTCTTTGCACTCTATTTTATGAATAATATTTAACTCTTCAAGTAATTTTTAGATAAGAACTTTTAAAGTGGTCAAAGCCCCGATTCCGCCTGTGTGTAATTGTCAAAGTGCAGGAAACGAACGTTGCGGATTGAGTAATCCGGATGGTCTGGGGATCGACGTGAGAGAAACCGAGAGTAACTCCAGACCAGGAGAATATCCCTGGGTAGTTGGCCTCTTCAGCAAGGGAAAATTCTTTTCAGGAGGTTCCCTAATTAAACCGGGAGTCGTTCTAACCGCCAGTGCGCTACTGGAATCCGAGATTGCAGAGGATATAATGATCAGAGCTGGATCTTGGAACCTTTCAGCCCCAGCCGAACAGTTGCCACATGAGGAGCGCCATGTGGCCAGTATTGTGCGACACGAGAATTTCAGGGTTGCCACAGGAGAGAACAACATCGCTCTCCTGTTCCTCAGCTTGCCGTTCGAGTTGAAGACCCACATCCGAACTCTCTGTCTGCCCAGCCAGGGGAAGTCCTTTGAGCAGGGACTCTGCTTTGTCGCCGGATGGAGTATGATACGCCAACGATTCGGTTTGCAAGAGCAAATTTCAGTATCTTTGGTCAATCGAGAAGTGTGCCAGGATAAGTGGAGAAAATACGGCGACGACCCGGTTTTCGTGGTGGGAAACGTATTGATCTGCGCCGAAAGAGTAGAGCACAGGCGTGCTTGCACATTCTTCGGAGGATCTCCGCTCTTCTGTCCCACGGAGGAAGACCCAGCACGCTACGAACAGGCCGGCATCGTTGACTGGACCCTCGGTTGTGGTATCCCCGCGCAAAAATACACAAATGTGGCTTTTTACCGCAATTGGATTGATCAACACGTGGCCAATAAGCCGCAATTTTAGGATCCTAGCCGTTATATAAAAAATATCTTATAAGAACTATCTTCTTATCTTCAGAAATTTTCCATAACTAATTCGGGAGTGTTAGAAAACATTAAGTAGGAAAACGAATGTAGGATTGAAGCATAAACAATTTCAGGAAAACAAAAACATTTTTATCGAATAAACCGATCTTTTTGTCCCGTTAATTTAAATGTAATAATATCAAAACAATTAAAGTGTATATATAAACCTTTTCCATTTCAAATGTGTGGCTTTCATACAATAGAGGTGATTTCAAAAGTTTTTTTCAATTTTCCATTTGCATGATTTATTTCAAATTTGGTTTGTATCCAGGCTTCTGGTCTAATAGCAGAAAGGCAATTCTGTAGAGAACAGAATGCAAAGTAAATGTTAATAAAAGGAGAATCGAGTTTTCTGTTACTTTTAAATGGAAATCTTTTGTTCGCCAAAATAAATTTATTTTTAGATCGGTTTTTTTGTCTATGAACTAAGCCGGAAATTAGATTAAATTTAAACGATGGTCGTTAATAGGGCGGTAAAACCAAAACATATATTTAGTCAAAAAAATTCCCCTGAAAGATGATAAGCTTCTTGAAAGCTTACTGAGAGGTTTAGCTGCATATATAAAATAAAAGGCAATCTTGTTTTCAGATTTATTTGAAATTTCTCAGCTTAAGCAAACACAATGTCCCGAGTCTTGGAAATAAGAGCGATTCTTTTGAGCTGCATCCTCTATGGCGTTGCAGGCCAGGATTGGGTAAGTCCTTGCACTCTATTTTATGAATAATATTTAACTCTTCAAGTAATTTTTAGATGAGAACTTTTAAAGTGGTTAAAGCCCCGATTGCGCCTGTGTGTAATTGTCAAAGTGCAGGAATCGAACGTTGCGGATTGAGCAATCCGGATGGTCTGGGGATCGACGTGAAAGTAACCGATGGTTACTCCAGACCAGGTGAATATCCCTGGGTGGTTGCCCTCTTCCGCAAGGGAAAATTCTTCGCAGGAGGTTCTCTAATTAAACCGGGAGTCGTCCTAACCGCTAGTAAGATACTGGAATCCAAGGTTGCAGAGGATATTATAGTCAGAGCTGGAGTTTGGAAGATTTCAGCCCCAGCCGAACAGCTGCCACATGAGGAGCGCCAGGTGGCCAGTATTGTGCGACACGAGAATTTTACGTTTGCCACAGGAGAGAACAACATCGCTCTCCTGTTCCTCAGCTCGCCGTTCGAGTTGAAGACCCACATCCGAACTCTCTGTTTGCCCAGGCAGGGAAAGTCCTTTGAGCAGGGACGCTGCTTTGCCGCCGGATGGAGTGTAATACCGTGGCTTCACCTACGATTCGATTTGCAAGAAAGAATTTCAGTAACTTTGGTCAATCGAGAAATATGTGGAATAAAAAACAACGGCAGACCGGATTTCGTGCTGGGAAACGGATTGATCTGCGCCGAAAGAGTTGAGAACTTGAGTGCTTGCACATTATTGAGAGGATCTCCGCTCTTCTGTCCCACCGAGGAAGACCCAGCACGCTACGAACAGGCCGGCATCGTTGACAGCGGGTGTAGCCTCACGGCAATCTACACAAATGTGGCTTTTTACCGCAATTGGATTGATCAACAGGTGGCCAATAGGCCGCAATTTTAGGATCTCAGCCGTTATATAAAATGTAAATACACTTTGTCTTTTAAGAAATATCTTCTTTCAGCTCCAAATTAAACAAACGGGTACCTTATGTTAATTGGTTTATTTTTCGCATAGTAGTTTCCAACGTAAACGTTAAATAGAGAACGGCAAACATAAACTGGACGTGTTCATTGCATTATAGGTAAATATATATTAAAATTAGGGTCTAGCGTTAATTGCTTTCGTGTACAAATATTCAACAAAGTCATGAGTATAAATTTCAACTAATCTTACAGAGAAACGATGAAGATACATTGTGCTCGGCGCCTTGGGCGTCGTTCGTTAGTTGGTTAGTTTCGATCTTCGCGAGTTAAGTACAAAAGAAGGCTAGTTTTGTGGTCAGTGCTCGATCGGGGATCAACTGAACGGGATCGGGAGTCAAGAGGCGGAAATCAATCAAGGCATTAATTAATCCATCGGCCATCCATGCATTTCAGTTTCTTTTTCTGATTCTGTTAGCAAAGTTCGTTACATGAAAAATGCTTACAAAAGTTTCTAGTTACACTATGACAGTTTACAATTGGCAAGTTTGAATCGTTATCCTCGTTAAGTATCCGGTTTGCTTTCGTTTGTTGCTTAGACGTTAGTATAATATCAGCTTTTGCTCTTCTCCTGCGAACTTTTGCAGCTTCTGCTCCTGCTGCTTGTCTTTTAAGTGTTCCTGGTCGTGTGTGTGTCTGTGGCTCCCACAAACGCGTTGGATTAGCTAATCGACATGCGATTAGAGAGCCGTCTTCATCATTCGCCCGCCATTTCGTCGATGCGACACCGCACGGCGTGCTCCAGCACCTCCAAGCTGGCGTAGTCCAGCTCCTTCACCAGACACAGAGTGGCGGACAGCAGATTCGAGTTCTGGGAAAGATTGTGATATGACTCGGTTAATGATCAATCGCCTATCGATGGTGTGTCACACTCACCCTGTTTACGGGCCTTCGATGGTAGCTCGAGTAGTGATTCATCACGGAGGCCGACAAAGTCCCCTGTTACGGCCCCTGTTTACGGGCCTTCGATGGTAGCTCGAGTAGTGATTCATCACGGAGGCCGACAAAGTCGTAGTCGAGTCACTGTAACGACCCTCGGGTCGCCTGAAACATAGCACATGAATTAGATTAAAATATTTAAAACTGTTATCAGTACAAGCAGAGCTTATGCACAAACCTAAGCTCTAATTGCTCTAATTGATTTGATTTTATTTGATTTTAATTCCAAGATAGTTTATATGAACGCCTGTTATTTGTTTTGAAAATCGGGAAACAAATCACAAACTGACTGGCTGGCTGGCTATCTGCCACATGCCACCTTGTTTGCCCCCAATAAAACTAGCGCGAACCGCGATAGGCGATAGGCTAATGATTCCGATGATTCCGTTCGATGACCTCACCTCGACCTGGGCCTGTCCTCCGGGTCCCACTCGCCGCCGTTCTCCCGGGCACTGCCGTTCCGGTAGGCAGTCGTCTCCGAACCCGCGCTGCGCCGCTGCGGGTGGTGCAACTGCATCTGGCTGCCGTAGGGATTGTGGTGCACCTGCGGCGCCTGCTGGTGCTCCTCCCACTCGGTGAGGTCCGTCTGGCTGTGGCGGTAGTGCGCCGGGTAGGCTGGTCGGTCCGACTGGTAGTATTCCTGTGTGGGAATACCTCAATTAGATAGCTTCACCATCAAACCGACATCACCATCAGCGTCCCAGCGATCCTCGTGAGGAACACCGGGCTTACCTTCATCGAGTGCGCGGAAATGCTGGGCGGGAGCGGCGCGGGCCGCACCTCCCTGTACGTTTGCGGACTACTCTCCTGGTCGGATCCCGGCGAGCGCTGCTCGTCCAGGTTCCGTGAATGGTGGCGTTAGTGGTGCGGTTTGCATTTTAGTTGGGGATTTTCGGTTTTCGGTTTTCGGTTATAGATTGCATTTGGGAGCAGTGCATGGTGGGTGAGAAAGGCGGCAGATTAGAAACGTTAGATACGAGTTGATATCCCCACCAGGGCAATCCACACATGACAAATTGTTCAGCAAGTCATTCGAGGAGTCGGAGTAATTTCACTTTGCTTCGGTGGTTCTCCGAGGGAACGAATGTAATTGGTCTATATATATCCACACAATGAGTTGCGATTGCCAATCTGGATTAACCAGACCCGTATATACATCTATACTAATATTATAAAGAGGTAAAATTTGTTTGTTTGTTTGTTTGTTTGCAGCGAATAGGCTCCGGAACTACTGGTCGATTTAAAAAATTCTTTCACCGATAGAAAGCTACATTATCGTGGAGTTAAATGGGCTATAATTTATTTAAAAAAAAATTAGGGATCCGTAAGAAAATTGCAATATTGTCGCATATAAAGTGAGTTGCTACCTCATCACACTGACAAACACGCTCCCATAGCATTTTAACTCAATTTTTGTGTTCACTGTGAAATTGTGAAAAAAAAAAGAATTTTTATTCAATTTAAGTTGAACTGTGAAAATTATGTGGATCGTGCATTTGAGGATAAATTCACCACTCTGTCCATAGTCCAAAATGCTTAGAGGACGACGTGCAAACATTGGCCGCAGACATCCAAGCCAGCAACAAGTATATTCACAAAACTTAAGCGAAGAAAGACAAATGAGCACATGGAGATCATTGGCATCATTCAATCGCTTGGCATTCCAATATGACCCCACTGCGAACTTCAGTGATAATGAAAATTTAGATATTGGACCAATGGCGACTATATACCGATATTGCAGTGCGTTAATGTTTAAAAGAGAAACGGCTGGATTGTGCTGCGCAAGTGGAAAAGTCAAACTGGAAAAGTGTTAAATCACCATCTTTCTATGCTTCCATATATTTGAAAAATGTTGCAACATTGACTTTTATGTTGTTAAATTGTGTTGACCAGCGAAGCGGACATATATATATAGTATAGTATATATAGTATATGGGACATTCTTTTATAAACCGTACGGATTCGAGAAAAAATTTTTTTTCATATCTCAGAATTGAATGAAAATTTTTTTTCAGCTTCTATGGAAGATTTTATTCGACACGTGTAAAAGGATTTTACTCAAAAAAATAGTTTTTTATTTATTTTTTCTATATATTAAATATATTATCTCCGCTTCCAGTAGTCACATAATAAAAATTTTTTTTTTATTCAATAGGTAGGGGAATGTTGTCAGGGTTGGACCGTTGTCAGGCTTGGGCCATCTCAATATTTTGAATATTCGTTCTAGTACTATATGTTAGTGGGTGTCTAGAAACTTCTATCGGTCACTCGAAACTTTCCACGTGACTACTTATTTCGGGATTTCATTTTTCTACGTGTCGTTGTTCTGTAAAAAAAAAAGTGCTCGAAAAAGTTTTTTTAACCTGGCCGAAAAGGTGGAATAACACAAGATTACAACATGTCATCCGCTAAGTGAGCATAAAAATACGTTATATAGTTGTTATATTACAAAATACTAAGATATAGTTTCATTGATAGATATAGTTTGGCTATATCATACCATAATAGATTAATACCGCATGTCGTCAGGGTTGGGCCACTTGTGTAGTCAGGCTTGGGCCATCATAATTTTTACATTTTATTCGTGTATTTTCGATTTTTGTTGTAATATTTAAGTTTTTTGTAGCAAAAATATGCAAAATAAATTAAATAGATATCCTTAAAAAAATATTTCGATGGATTGAAAGAAGATGAATCATTTTAATCTTTTTCTTTAGTGTTTCTCGCTACAAACGAAAAAACAACTCTGAATAATTTGATATTGACTGTAAAATCCCAAATAATTAAATAAATGAACAAAATAATGTCAGATTTACCTGAATTCAATTTTATTCCACCACGTTACGATATTGTCAATGATTTTCTGAAGGTGGCCCAATCCTGACTACATGGCCCAACGCTGACTACATTTTTTTTTTTTTTCAAACGCCTATAACTTTTTTTGTTTTTGTTTTTTTATTCTCTATTTTTGGTGAACACTTTCTCTTGCTTGTACCTTTCCAAAAATGTATAAACTTATTCTAAATTGTCATTCGTTCAGAACTTATGGACATTGGTCAAAATATGGCCCAACCCTGACAACATTCCCCTATTACTGTTGCCTTTCAAGTTTTTTACTTGCAATTTTTTTATTTGTTCAGAAAAAAAAATTATAAACAATTTAATGGTTTCAAAGCTGATCCCCACAACATATATAATTAGGAAAATTACAATTTAATTCTATACGTCATTCCTAAGAAAAAACACTTGGATTTAGAGTGGGGTCTCTATTAGGTAATAAGCAGGGCTAACAGAGTTATGTTCTTAAAAACGTAAAAATATGTATGGATTTATGGACGAAAAAATAGAGAAATATGGACGAAATATGGACGAAAAAGTTGAGAAATGTAATGAAAAAGTTGATAAATATAGGTATAAAAATGGATAAACGTAGACGATTATATCGATTATATTAACTTTTTATGACAATGAACAATTAGAAATCGCTACAAACAAAAGTGCAACGTTTGTCTCAAAGATCATTGCAGAACAATATGACATGTTGTGTCAGATTAGTAAAAACAAAACTATGGCGTTTGTCACTCAATATGTGTTTATATGATGAAAATTAACGCTCAACATCGCAAGATGTAACAGGAGCATTTGCATATGCATTTAGTTCAGCAGGTGATAAATTCAGGATAAGATCGTCACCTTCTGTAGAACTATTAATGAGATATAGAATAAATCAATAACTGTATAACACTAGAATTTAAAAGACATAAGAACTGAAAGCATGAAATATGGAATAAAAACTGAATCCTTAAATAAAAACTGCATCATAATTGTTACATTCGATGATACATATTTTGATTGATTAACGACGCAACGATGTTTTGTTTACATTATTTATTATCGAGTATAAGGCAAACGACAGAAATTTCATAATATTTGAGCCAAACATATCTTTCTATAGGTTTTCAGACACTTTAATGCTCAAAATATGGATTTATTCAAGTGATTGTGTAAAATATGGATTTATAGGAAAAAAAGGCGAAATATGGAAATAAATATTTTTTCATTTAAAAACATAACTCTTTTAGCCCTGGTAATAAGATATAAAATAACATTGATCGCGCTGCGGCAGCATGTGGAGCGCGCGCTGCGCGAAGAGTCGAAAATTATTTAATTTCTCTTGATCTGATGAAGACCCCACTCTAATTCCTTTTACTGGTTATTAAGCGAAACATAGGGATCATAAATTGATTTTTTTCAATTAAATAAGTTGTGGGGATCGGCATTGAAATGTCGATATAATGATTAATTTGTTACTAATAAATAAATAAAAAATTAAATTAAAAAATAAAATTACTTTTTGAAAGCTGAATTCTTGAACTAAATATTAAAAAAAATGTAACGATACGATTAATAGAACAAGAGATAATTGATTTAACGTGTTCAAGGATAGAGAAAACCATTTTTAATCAAAAATCATAACTTTGTAAAAAAAAAATTTTTAAGCAAAATACCGATACACGTGTCTTATTATTTTGCTTCCTACACCTGGAAAAAAATTTTAACAAAAATCGGAATTGTGACGCAAAAAGAGGTGTACGATTTGTAAAAGAATGTCCCATATGTATATGTTCCGAAAATATTCTCAAAAAATTTCAGATCTAAAATTGAGCACATGGCAAGCAACGGTCTTTTGAAGCCAAAACTTTAAACGCGTTTCAATCTCTAATTGAAGGCGTTGGGATTAACCAATCGTCATCAATTTTTTTTTTAAATGTTCCTTATTTATATTTTAACTAATAAACTAGGAATATCCAAATAGATTGAAAACTGTTTATTTAAGAAAATAATTATAGAAAAAAAACACGAAATCGTATTTTCTTTCAAAATTACTGTACATTTTAAGAATCTTTTTGGTTTTTGAGTTTTGGAGTACCCGTTGAATCTGTTCCGTAAGCGAGACACCTTTTCATAATTTTTTTTCGCAAAATAAAGGTGTTTTCAAATACAGAAACAAATTTCCGCTATTTAGCTTTAACCGTTTTTTTCAAAATATTTTTTTTTAAAAGTGCTATTTTTCGGCTCCACAAGGTGAGAACCTGCCTTTATTTTTACATTAGCATGATTTATTTCAAATTTGGTTTGTGTCCAGGCTTCTGGACTATGAACTGAACTGGTATATTAAAGATTACATTTAAACGATGGTTGTTAATAGGGCAGTAAAATCGAAACATATACATATGAACATATTTAATCATTAAAATTTACATATATTTACACTGAAAGATGATAAGCTTTTTGAAGCTTACTGAGAGGTTTAGCTACATATGCATATAAAATAAAAGGCAATCTTGTTTTGAGATTTATTTGAATTTCTCAGCTTAAGCAAACACAATGTCCCGAATCTTGGAAATAAGAGCGATTCTTTTGAGCTGCATCCTCTATGGCGTTGCAGGCCAGGATTGGGTAAGTCTTTGGACTCTATTTTATGAATAATATTTAACTCTTCAAATAATTTTTAGATGCGAACTTTTAAAGGGGTCAAAGCCCCGATTCCGCCTTTGAGTAATTTTCAAAGTGCAGGAAACGAACGTTGCGGCTTGAGCAATCCGGATGGTCTGGGGATCGACGTGAGAGTAACCGGTGATTACACTAGACCAGGTGAATATCCCTGGGTGGTTGCCCTCTTCAACAAGGTAGGATTCTTTTCAGCAGGTTCCCTAATTAAACCGGGAGTCGTCCTAACCGCCAGTAAGCAACTGGAATCCGGGGTTGCAGAGGATATAACGATCAGAGCTGGAACTTGGAACATTTCATTTCCAGCCGGACAGTTGCCATACGAGGAGCGTCAGGTGGCCAGTATTGTGCGACACGAGAATTTCAAGTTGGGATCAGAAGAGAACAACATCGCTCTCCTGTTCCTCAGCTCGCCGTTCGAGTTGAAGACCAACATCCGAACTCTCTGTTTGCCCAGGCAGGGAAAGCCCTTTGAGCAAGGACGCTGCTTTGTCGCAGGATGGAGTGCGATACCGTTGATTTATGGCCAACGATTCGTTTTGCAAACGCAAATTCCAGTAACTTTGGTCAATCGAGAAATATGTCAGGTTAAGTGGAGAAAAAACGACGAACCGAATTTCGTACTGGGAAACGGATTGATCTGCACCGAAGTAGTAGAAAGAGCTTGCGCATTGTTCAGAGGATCTCCGCTCTTCTGTCCCACGGAGGAAGACCCAGCACGCTACGAACAGGCCGGCATCGTTGACTGGACCCTCGGGTGTAGTATCCCCCCGGGAAAGTACACAAATGTGGCTTTTTACCGCAATTGGATTGATCAACACGTGAACAATAAGCAATTTTAGGATCTCAGCCGTTATATAAAAAATATCTTATAAGAACTATCTTCTTATCTTCAGTAATTTTCCATAACTAATTCGGGAGTGTTAGAGAACATTAGGTACGAAAAATAAAGTGGGATCAATTAAAGTGTATATATGTATAGGTATAAACCTTTTCCATTTCAAATGTGTGTGTTTTATTGGAAGGAGGTGGCTTACATGCAAAGGTGATAAAGGTGATTTTAAAAGTTTTTTTTTAATTTTACATTAGCATGATTTTTTTTTAAATTTGGGTTGTGTCGAGGCTTCTGGTCTAATAGCAGAAACGCAATTCTGTAGAGACTTACAGAATGTTAAGCAAATGTTAATAAAAGGAGAATCGAATTTTCTGTTACTTTTAAATGAAAATCTTTTGTTCGCTAAAATTATATTCTTTTATGGATTTTAAGCCAGAAGCCGAAACCTAAGCCAAAATTTAAATAAACTTATTTTTATATGACTTTTTTGTCTATGAACTGAACTGGTAGATTAAAGATTAAATTGAAACGATGGTTGTTAATAGGGCGGTAAAACCGAAACATATATTTAATCATAAAAATGTACATATATTTCCACTGAAAGATGATAAGCTTTTTGGAAGCTTACTGAGAGGTTTAGCTACATATGTATATAAAATAGAAAGCAATCTTGTTTTCAGATTTATTTGAAATTTCTCAGCTTAAGCAAACACAATGTCCCGAATCTTGGAAATAAGAGCGATTCTTTTGAGCTGCATCCTCTATGGCGTTGCAGGCCAGGATTGGGTAAGTCCTTGCACTCTATTTTATGAATAATATTTAACTCTTCAAGTAATTTTTAGATGAGAACTTTTAAAGTGGTCAATACCCCAATTCCGCCTTTGAGTAATTTTCAAAGTGCAGGAAACGAACGTTGCGGCTTGAGCAATCCGGATGGTCTGGGGATCGATGTGAAAGTAACCGGTGATTACACTAGACCAGGTCAATATCCCTGGGTGGTTGCCCTCTTCAACAGAGGACAATTCTTCGCAGGTGGTTCCCTAATTAAACCGGGAGTCGTCCTAACCGGCAGTTATCCACTAGAATCCAAGGTAGCGGAGGATATTATAGTCAAAGCGGGAGCTTGGAACATTTCAGCCCTAGCCGAACAGTTGCCACGCGAGGAGCGCCAGGTGGACAGTATTGTGCGACACGAGAATTTCACGTTTGGCTTTGGAGGGAACAACATCGCACTCCTGTTCCTCAGCTCGCCGTTCGAGTTGAAGACTCACATCCGAACCATGTGTTTGCCCAGGCAGAGAAAGCCCTTTGAGCAAGGACGCTGCTTTGTCGCCGGATGGAGGTATGAACCGTGGCATAGCCAACAAGAGCAAGAGCAAATTCCAGTAACTTTGGTCAATCGAGAAATATGTCAGAATAAGTGGAGAAAAGACGGCTACGACCCGGATTTCGTGGTGGGAAACGGATTGATCTGCGCCGAAAGAGTAGATCACTTGAGTGCTTGCACATTCTTCAGAGGATCTCCGCTCTTCTGTCCCACGGAGGAAGACCCAGCACGCTACGAACAGGCCGGCATCGTTGACTGGACCGCCGGGTGTAGTATCCCCCCGGGAAAGTACACAAATGTGGCTTTTTACCGCAATTGGATTGATCAACACGTGAACAATAAGCAATTTTAGGATCTCAGCCGTTATATAAAAAATATCTTATAAGAACTATCTTCTTATCTTCAGTAATTTTCCATAACTAATTCGGGAGTGTTAGTGAACATTAAGTAAGGAACAAAAAGTGGAATCATAGCATAAACAGTTTCAGGAAAACAAAATATTTTTTATCGAATAAACCGATCTCTCTGTTCCATAAATTTAAATGTAATAATATCAAAACAATTAAAGTGTTTTATTTGAAAGAGGTGGCTTACATACAAAGGTGATAAAGGTGATTTTAAAATTTTTTTTTAATTTTACATTAGCATGAATTTTTTTAAAATTTGGATTGTGTCCAGGCTTCTGGTCTAATAGCAGGAACGCAATTCGTAGAGATTTACAGAATGTAAAGAAAATGTTAATAAAAGGAGAATCGATTTTTCTGTTACTTTTAAATGTAAATCTTTTGTTCGCTAAAATTATATTCTTTTATGGATTTTAAGCCAGAAGCCGAAACCTAAGCCAAAATTTAAATAAACTTATTTTTATATGACTTTTTTGTCTATGAACTGAACTGGTAGATTAAAGATTAAATTGAAACGATGGTTGTTAATAGGGCGGTAAAACCGAAACATATATTTAATCATAAAAATGTACATATATTTCCACTGAAAGATGATAAGCTTTTTGGAAGCTTACTGAGAGGTTTAGCTACATATGTATATAAAATAGAAAGCAATCTTGTTTTCAGATTTATTTGAAATTTCTCAGCTTAAGCAAACACAATGTCCCGAATCTTGGAAATAAGAGCGATTCTTTTGAGCTGCATCCTCTATGGCGTTGCAGGCCAGGATTGGGTAAGTCCTTGCACTCTATTTTATGAATAATATTTAACTCTTCAAGTAATTTTTAGATGAGAACTTTTAAAGTGGTCAATACCCCAATTCCGCCTTTGAGTAATTTTCAAAGTGCAGGAAACGAACGTTGCGGCTTGAGCAATCCGGATGGTCTGGGGATCGATGTGAAAGTAACCGGTGATTACACTAGACCAGGTCAATATCCCTGGGTGGTTGCCCTCTTCAACAGAGGACAATTCTTCGCAGGTGGTTCCCTAATTAAACCGGGAGTCGTCCTAACCGCCAGTTATCCACTAGAATCCAAGGTAGCGGAGGATATTATAGTCAAAGCGGGAGCTTGGAACATTTCAGCCCTAGCCGAACAGTTGCCACGCGAGGAGCGCCAGGTGGACAGTATTGTGCGACACGAGAATTTCACGTTTGGCTTTGGAGGGAACAACATCGCACTCCTGTTCCTCAGCTCGCCGTTCGAGTTGAAGACTCACATCCGAACCATGTGTTTGCCCAGGCAGAGAAAGCCCTTTGAGCAAGGACGCTGCTTTGTCGCCGGATGGAGGTATGAACCGTGGCATAGCCAACAACTCGGTTTGCAAGAGCAAATTCCAGTAACTTTGGTCAATCGAGAAATATGTCAGAATAAGTGGAGAAAAGACGGCTACGACCCGGATTTCGTGGTGGGAAACGGATTGATCTGCGCCGAAAGAGTAGATCACTTGAGTGCTTGCACATTCTTCAGAGGATCTCCGCTCTTCTGTCCCACGGAGGAAGACCCAGCACGCTACGAACAGGCCGCCATCGTTGACTGGGGCTTCGGGTGTAGTAGCCGCCTCCCGAAAGTGTACACAAATGTGGCTTTTTACCGCAATTGGATTGATCAACAGGTGGCCAATAAGCCGCAATTTTAGGATCTCAGCAGTTATATAAAATGTAAATACACATGTCTTATAAGAAATATCTTCTTTCAGCTACAAATTAAACAAACGGGTACCTTATGTTAATTGGTTTATTCTTCGCATAGTAGTTTCCAACGTAAACGTTAAATAGAGAACGGCAAACATAAACTGGACGTGTTCATTGCATTATAGGTAAATATATATTAAAATTAGGGTCTAGCGTTAATTGCTTTCGTGTACAAATATTCAACAAAGTCATGAGTATAAATTTCAACTAATCTTACAGAGAAACGAGGAAGATACATTGTGCTCGGCGCCTTGGGCGTCGTTCGTTAGTGGTTTAGTTTCGATCTTCGCGAGTTAAGTACAAAAGAAGGCTAGCTTTGTGGTCAGTGCTCGATCGGGGATCAACTGAACGGGATCGGGAGTCAAGAGGCGGAAATCAACCAAAGCATTAATTAATCCATCCGTCGGCCATCCATCCATTTCGGCTTCTTTTTCTGATTCTGTTAGCAAAGTTCGTTACATGAAAAATGCTTACAAAAGTTTCTAGTTACACTATGACAGTTTACAATTGGCAAGTTTGAATCGTTATCCTCGTTAAGTATCCGGTTTGCTTTCGTTTGTTGCTTAGACGTTAGTATAATATCAGCTTTTGCTCTTCTCCTGCGAACTTTTGCAGCTTCTGCTCCTGCTGCTTGTCTTTTAAGTGTTCCTGGTCGTGTGTGTGTCTGTGGCTCCCACAAACGCGTTGGATTAGCTAATCGACATGCGATTAGAGAGCCGTCTTCATCATTCGCCCGCCATTTCGTCGATGCGACACCGCACGGCGTGCTCCAGCACCTCCAAGCTGGCGTAGTCCAGCTCCTTCACCAGACACAGAGTGGCGGACAGCAGATTCGAGTTCTGGGAAAGATTGTGATATGACTCGGTTAATGATCAATCGCCTATCGATGGTGTGTCACACTCACCCTGTTTACGGGCCTTCGATGGTAGCTCGAGTAGTGATTCATCACGGAGGCCGACAAAGTCGTAGTCGAGTCACTGTAACGACCCTCGGGTCGCCTGAAACATAGCACATAAATTAGATTAAAATATTTAAAGCTGTTATCAGTACAAGCAGAGCTTATGCACAAACCTAAGCCCTAATTGCTCTAATTGATTTGATTTTATTTGATTTTAATTCCAAGATAGTTTATATGAACGCCTGTTGTTTGTTTTGAAAATCGGGAAACAAATCACAAACTGACTGACTGGCTGGCTGGCTATCTGCCACATGCCACCTTGTTTGCCCCCAATAAAACTAGCGCGAACCGCGATAGGCGATAGGCTAATGGGCATGCCCATTCCGATGATTCCGTTCGATGACCTCACCTCGACCTGGGCCTGTCCTCCGGGTCCCACTCGCCGCCGTTCTCCCGGGCACTGCCGTTCCGGTAGGCAGTCGTCTCCGGACCCGCGCTGCGCCGCTGCGGGTGGTGCAGCTGCATCTGGCTGCCGTAGGGATTGTGGTGCACCTGCGGCGCCTGCTGGTGCTCCTCCCACTCGGTGAGGTCCGTCTGGCTGTGGCGGTAGTGCGCCGGGTAGGCTGGTCGGTCCGACTGGTAGTATTCCTGTGCGGGAATACCTCAATTAGATAGCTTCACCATCAAACCGATATCACCATCAGCGACCCAGCGATCCTGGCGATCTAAATCCTGACGAGGAACACCGGGCTTACCTTCATCGAGTGCGCGGAAATGCTGGGCGGGAGCGGCGCGGGCCGCACCTCCCTGTACGTTTGCGGACTACTCTCCTGGTCGGATCCCGGCGAGCGCTGCTCGTCCAGGTTCCGTGAACGGTGGCGTTAGTGGTGCGGTTTGCATTTTAGTTGGGGTTTTTTTCGGTTATAGATTGCATTTGGGAGCAGTGCATGGTGGGTGAGAGAGGCGGCAGATTAGAAACGTTAGATACGAGTTGATATCCCCACCAGGGCAATCCACACATGACAAATTGTTCAGCAAGTCATTCGAGGAGTCGGGGTAATTTCACTTTGCTTCGGTGGTTTTCCGAGGGACAAGCCCTTTCACCAGACACACAGAAAATAATAGCGATGTGCATTTAAAGTACATTTAGAAATAAAGAGATCTACATAGTTGAACAATTTTTGGAAATAAATTACCAAAATTACTTTCTGGTCCCTTATAGAATTTCAACTATTCCCAACAATCTGATCGAGGTTTCTTTCACGTCTATGAATACATAATGACCCATTTTATACAGTTCACTTTGGGCTCTTGTTTTGGTCTTCTTCGGCAATTATAGTCCGTCCCCCAAAGTTGCCATCTCTCTGCACTCTGCACTCGGTTCCAAAGTCAACCGAGTGACTTAACCCACAAACGCCGGCGAACAGAGACAATGGCCCATTGGACAGGCGGCGCCGGGAAAACGAAAGAACCTTAACCATGTCGAAGCCATCGCGTGACTCTGTCCCCCATTCCCATCCCCTCCTCCTCATCCATTCGAGTGTGACAGGCCCACACCCTCGTATCTCGAACCTCGAAGTTCGAAAATGGAGCCCTAAAAGTGGGCCCGGCGACAAGAGCTCAATTGTGTCATGTCGGATGCGTGGGGCTGTTATGGTGTTGTGTTTAGTGTTTAGTAGTTTCTGGGGATCTTACATCGTACTGGTGGTAGGAGGTGCGCTGCTCTTTGGTTATGGTGTTATACATGGGCGATGGCGGATGCACGGGTTCCTGGGGGAAAGGCCGAAACGAGATTAGTGGGGATTTTCGTTAAGCAGGAGAGCATTCAGAGTAATCTCGAATCTTACGACAAGCTGAAATTTATGACGCAGAAACTACAGCAAAGGTGTAGCACAATCAACGGAAAAGAAATTGAGTCACCAGAAAAATAAAAAATACATTTTAATAGGTTAAAAAGGCAGCCAAAATTACTAAAGGAAAATGTAGAAAATAATGTTCCCTAAATAAGTGTAAAAGCAACAGGTTTGTAAACAAATAAATAGTAAAGCATACAGAATCAAAATATGATAACTGAATTGCAGTTTGTGGAAAGGCGTTTCAAATTATACATTTTTCTACTGATTGAACTCTATACATTACTGAACCGTCTGGCTGACCTCCCATTACCTTGGTGGGCGTGGGTGGCTGGGAACCTTTCGGCGGATGAGCCGCCTGCCCCTGGTAGAGATCACTGGCACTGTGGCTGATGCTCCCAATCCCCTCGCTGCTGTTGTTGACCAGCGGACTGGGCAACTGCGGCGGCTTGTTAGCAAATGCAGTGGCAGAGTTAGTTGCAGAGTTAGTTGGGGGATACATGTCCAGAGGGAACAGAAATAGACCGAGACGGGGGCGAGAGTTGATTACAGAGTTCATTGCGAGGAGGCGAGAGAGATTATAGCCGCTAAACCAGGGCGTGGTGTGGGAAACTACACCCAGACAATGGGAGCCATTTACCTCTTTCATGGGACTCGAGCTGCGCCGCTGCTGCTGCTGCTGCTGCTGCGAGTGTTGCTGCTGCGGTTGCTGGTGGTGATATTGCTGCTGCTGCTGCTGCGGCGGCGAGTGCTGCGGGTAGCTGTGTTGCTGCTGCTGCTGCGGCATCTGCTGCGGCGACGTTCGCGCCGTCTGCTGCTGCTGCTGGTAGGCATCCTCGTACACCTCGTCCTCGGGCGCGGCGCCTCCACCTCCTCGTAAAGCATCGTCCAGCTCCTCCTGCGTGACCTCCACATTGTCGAGCTTCTTCAGGTTGGGCAGGGCACGTAACACGACCGCCCGATAGCTGTGATTGCGGCGAGACAGAGGCGAGACCGATCATTAGGGGCTTCTCAAACCACAGACTTTCAGGTATATATACATATATATGATAAGTGCGGTTTTTGTAAAAATAATAGACATAACATAGGCTATTTTAGGATAATAGTGAGGTAAATAATACTCATTAGGTAAGCCAAGTTAGGTGTAACCAAATTGGATATTTCACACGTTTCTCATTGTAAAGTACAATCGCACGAAATCACGTTTGGAAGATAATAAAAAACAGCAACAACGTATCAATAAGACTACATATAATATTTTGAATTAGATTTTATTTATTATTTTTTATTATAATTTATCATTAATATTTAGTATTTTTAACTATTTTTAGTATTTTTGTAGTATTTTTAAAGTATTTTTAGTATTCCTTAGTATTTTTAGTATTTTTGTTGTGTTCTTTAGCATTCATTTGTAAGTATTCCTTTAGTATTCTTTTAGTGTTTTTTTTAGTATTCTTTTAGTTTTCTTTAGTTTTTTTAGTATTCTTTAGTATTGTTTCATATTTGCTAGTATTTTTAGTATTCTTTAGTATATTTTTTAGTATTTTTGGTATTCTTTAAGATTATTATTATTTATTTAATTAAGAGAATTTTTATTTTATTTAAATTTTTATTTTTGTAATTTAATAATCCTAGTTACTCACTTGGGACCCGCTCGATCGCAGCAGGGGTTCTCCTCCAGCCAGAGGTATCTGAGGGCCGGCAGGTTCTGCAGGTAGGCGATCTCGTTGATGTCCGTGATGTTGTTCTTCCGCAGATAGAGCTCCTGCAGCTTGAGGCACTCCTCGAAGGGCGACAGCGTGCTGATCTTGTTGACACTGCAACATCGAGAAGCGAAACTTTTAGGTTCAAGAAACTTTCTCTCTTGACGAGGCGACAAAGGCGCCAGCCACCAACTAACTGCCGTGAATCATGCTCAAAACAGCACGAAACACAAAAGATTCTCCCCGGCAGCTGCGTGCGGTCATTAACTCGTCGGATTCTTCGCAGAATTCCCCACAAATAACTGTTAACGAAGCTCGGTAGGGGGAAAAGCTGATTGTCATCATTTGTCTGCGTCTAGGTCAGGTTTAAACTCAAGTTCCGGGCGATTCCCTACCCCCCTTCTTAGCACCTCGGCTCCTAACAATGCTAATTACTCTGAAGTGGCCAACTGCCGATGGCCAGAAGCGTGCCTTGATTGCCCGACTGATAGAGTAGGCAAAAACAAGATGTGTAGGCATGTTGCCAAACAGAAAAAAAGGAAGTAAGATAATGTAAGCCATTGAATTGAAATAAACTGAATTCGTGTTAAGAAACTTCATTTAAAAATACATTTTCTGTGAAATTTAATATATAATATCTCTTATTATTAAATGGAGATCAAAAAACGTAAATCTATCTTTGTCAGTTTCCAATTAAAAGCTATACAAGTGTCTTCAACCAAAGATTTAATGACACACTTAATACATTTTTCTCACTCTGTAAATACTAAAAACATTTTTCCCTTTGCAGGGCAGGTTGGGTAAAAACAACTGTCTAAACTTAGCCAGGAAGATCGCTAAATGGCACACGAGTGCATTGCCTCAGTGAATGTCTGGTATCTGGAATTCGCAGCTCCGATTCGCCTATTAATAGTAGTTCGGCGAGTAAATCAGGCCAATTGAATAAGTGTCCCCCCCGCCTCAAATATGCATAATCAATGTTGCTTCGAAGAGTCAAGGTTAACTGGCACTTGAGTCCTACCAAGTGGAAATACCACTGATAGTTCTGGTTGGACGTGAAAAGAAAAGTGCTAACAACACGCAAGTCAAATCAATACGAGTATGCACACTCATAATCCGGGGGAAATGGAATGCTAATGAGAAGGGGCTGTAAGGCCTCCAACCAAATGGAGACTACGCCAACGCATTTTACCTGAGGCATAGTGAACCGCACTGATTTATGGCTCATTTATTGCGTACGCCTCTCCAACCTAGCTCAACAGCAAAAGTTGAGAGCCCCACGTAAACTAATGCCCAACGAGTTGCGACTGAAAGGTTTTCCTTGTTTGTTCACTCGCAGGCCAAGTAAAGTAATGAAAACGGAGCAGACCTCTGCGAGAAGTTATTGCCCTCTGGCTTGCACGCTTGTCCTATCAATTTATTCATTCAGGTTTGTATATAGGAAAGCTATGCCATTATCTGTCGGCTGATAAAGCCAAGAGAGTTGGCATGAATTGCTGTAATAGCTTCCAGATAACAGAAGTAGCACGCAAGAACTTTTATACGGTTATCAAGTATCAGTTTATGGAGATTCAAGAAGGTAAAGGCCTATCAAAGGGCTTCCTATTTATTGTAACCATTTCAGTTGCTTCTAATCATTAAATAAGCTTATTCATATAACCAATATTTTGTTTTTAGCAAACTCATTAGAGATCACAACTGCATGAGTAAACTTAAGCAAATATTTGAACGCTAACAACAAGATGCCTTAAAGGGAGATACCTAAATAAACTTTATTCCCTTATCTGATTGCCTTTTATGGAACAGCTACTACTCCTTATGATTGCATATCTGCTACTCCTAACCATAAATATTGTTTCCTGTGGCGTATGCAAGAATTATTCGCTCGATCAGATAGTTCCTTTTGGAGCAAATGATACCCACATAATGGTTTCCTGCTCCAAAGTGCCATTCTCACGGTTCTTTTGCCCCAAGTTCAATGCCAAATCGCCCCAAGCCCGCTCCTTATAAGGCCACGAACTCTTGTTTATACCTCCGTCTCCATCTCGCATGTGCATAATTAAACGAATCGCCAGAGAGTCGAGGGTTCTCAGCATATTGCCAGCAGATGACGGAGAAGTTTGGCGGACGAATCGATTCCGACGACCTTGGCAGTCAAAATAATTGTCGCCTTTTAAGGCAAAAGCAACCAGCAGCCAGCAGCAGTCAGCAGCCAGCAGCGCATGCAAAGTTATCGAGCGACATGCAAGTAAGTACGAAAAAAAAACACGACTAACACAACAAGTACGAGATGAAGTACAAGGCGGAGATACAAAAGTATCTGGCAGATACGAGTCATAGTTATAATATCTGCCCCCCTACGCAGTGGCCTACGCGGCTTGGAAAAGTACGCGGCCAGTTGCTATTGCCAATTTGGGAGCTCCCACGACTTTTAGCTCATTTTTGTAGTTTTCTGCGGCCGCTTTTGCCGCTGCTTTTTGCATTAATTACGCGCTTGAGCGTGCCAAAGTATTTCTCGTATTTCAGCTTGCCTAATGACGGGGCGATGACATCACTCGAAAGCAAACATCTCGCCGGTTTGATATATCTTTCCCCTTTTTCGCGGCGGGAACCCGCCGACTCTGAATCAATCAGAGCGCGGGTCAGGAAATGATAATCGAGGTAATCCTTATACAAGATATGTTCGGTATATATACACCACTTACCTCAGAGCCAGAACCTCCACTCCACGCATTCGCTTGATGATGGACACATCGCTGAGATCACTGCCCCTGAAATAAGCAAAGAATAGATGGTATTTTAATAAAGATAAACATACAGTGGAGACCCCTTTTGAGCCCCCCTTACTTTAAGCTCGCTCTTATCGCGGATGGGTCAAGAGTGGGGGGGAAGTGGCTCGACTGCTTTTCACGCTTTTCCAAGCGTTTTTCTCGAGGGGCGCGTGTTTTTCCAGCCCAGGGAATCGTGAATCGTGACTCGCTCCAAAGTGGACACTTCTAAACTGGTTAGAAGATTGCCCCCGGATTTGGGTCGAGTGAAAGCAGGCGGCGCAGCAGAAGTGAGCAGCAAAGTGGGTAGATCCCCGAGACCTCAGGCCCCAGATCGCAGATCGCAGACCCATAGAAAATATCGAAGCTTTCACTACAGCTGCACCTGCCCCGGCACGATTAGCAATACTATAGTATAGATCGATGCACGGGCGGAAATTAGATCGAAAATCGATTAAACACACAGTGGGGCTGGTTTTTAAAAATTTCATTTAAGGTTCAACAACCCGTTTAACGAGAGGAAAATTATACATTTATTTATGAGTAATATTATTTAAGATAGGAGGATATTTATATTTATATTTTATTTATAATATGTTTTATTTATAAAGTAATAATTTTGATACAATTCTACCCGAAAAACCTTTAATAAATGCACACTTTTCTTAACTTTGTTAAATCTTTTGAGTATGTATATTATTTTGATAATAAAAAACAAATTACTCATCTTGAATGTTTTTTGTGCAGTGACTAATCAAAACAAACGCACAAAACCATTCATAATAAACATATTTTGTTTGCAAGCTTAGTTTTGCAAGAGTTAAATGATTTTACATGTTTTTAATATATATTTGTAAATAAGTTGGGTACTTACCAGCAATTTAGCTTTTTGATCAGGCCCAGATCGGACTGCTTGGCCCGCGCAATCACCATTTCCTCGGTGAGTCTCGACATTTTGTGTAATTGTGATTGCGATGGTGATGCTGTTGCTGTTGGCTGCTGCTGCTGCTGCTGCTCCAACTGGTCGTCCAACTGGTGTTCAACTGACCCGTGGCCACAGGTGTGCCACTTGCAGATTCCGGCTATTTGCTATAGGTATATACCGCCGATGGCTAACCACGTATTTAAGCCGCTTGTGAATGCCCAATTTTAGATGGCGAGAGGTGAGCAACAATGCAGTGCAAAACTACAACAGGTTACGCTGGCTAGGTAAATGATGTTGTTGTTTTTGTTGTTGATATTTTTTTGCTTAGTATTATTATTGTTGTTGTAATCACTGGCGTGTCGTAGGCGTTGCCCTGTTGTTGCTGCAATTTCTTTATAATTACGTATGTAGGCCTCCCGGTTTTCAAGTTCCTTTGGGTTCGTGTTTATCAACCGCTTGCAGTTGGAACTCTAATATTGATGTTTATATATATTTATTTTTAATGTTTCAGTTCCTTTTGGCTGGCTGTTTTATCCGTTATCCGTTATAGTTGGTATGTTTTTTGTTTTATCTGGCACTTTGTATCTGCATCTCGTAGTTACTGCAGCTAAAGCGAATCTCTTGCACGGATGACTAAGTCGCTCAGGTTGTTGCGCCGCGCTTTTGTTATTATTTTTACGATATCAACGTAACTCGCCGCTTTACAACCTATCCTACCACAATATCTCAATCTGAATCTCTATTTCACGCTCTCCCGCTTGTTGTTTTTGCCAAAAATTGTTGCTTGCATTGGGAGCTACGAGTAATTTTGGCCAATTTTACATTGTCTGGATCGATTTTTTCGCGCCCAGATGTTTCCGTTTTTGCCGAATTCCCGTTTTAGTGGGTGTCTATTGTGGGTTCGATTGTTATTATGTTTAGACTAATGAAAACACTTTTGCCGACACTTTCCGTTTCTAACTGACAGTCGTACGTAAAGCTAACTATGTTTAAGCAAAATTCAGACTTTTTCAGTTCCGATTTTCCGATTTTCCATGCACCTTTTTTCTTCTCTCTCGCTCTCCTACAGGTATGTATGTGTGTAGCCGTGTGTGTGTGAAGCACGCGAGAGTATTGGTTTGGGCACTGTGTGCCAGAGCGAGACAGCGGAGACGCGCGTGTTTTACACAATACTGCACTATTATACTATTATTAGTGTTATTTTTTTCGAATACGTGCGTTCAGCTCGACGGCGAGAAACAATCTGGGGGCTTTGGGGCCTTTCAGCCGTTTAACTGGAGCTTTCATTGTCTTTGTTTACGAATGCGGTGTGAAGAAGGAGAGAGCGCAAGAGAGGAAGAGAAACCGAGAGCGTGGGCGGCAAACCTGTTTTGTTTTGCTGAAAGTACGAGTGCTATTCATTACAAAGTTATTATCTGTAATATGTATTACATTTAACTGGTATTCTTACTAATATATTAAGTTGTCTGCGTCAAGTTTAAAAAAAAATTGAATAGTAAACTTTTACATGCTTCTAGGGATGTCACTTGCCACTAATGTGACCGTTCTTATTAGAAGTAACCCTTTAAAAAATGATTGGTATTAACAAGCCGCCAAGACCAAAACAATAACAATATATTAAGATATTCAAATTTTATTTATTTAAGTACACATTTGCTTAATTTTTTTCTCACTTTTAATACCCGAAAACCGTTACTAATCTTATAGTTTGGTATATACCTTTCTTTAGTACAATTTGGTATGATCGACTCCACCGCGTTGGTCACACTGCCAGAGTTCGTGCTGATTTATTTATAAATTAATTTCTCTCTATCTCGTATTCTCGCTTTGTTTCGTCGCCGCGACGTGTTGTTTTGTGAAAATTTGCATCGCATTTTCGAGCGCGTGCACAAGTGTTAGTCGGTGTGTTGACGTGCGAGGAAAAGCGACGCTCCAATTTGCGAGAGAGATCGGGGAAAACAACACACACAACATTGTCGTCATCCCAACGCAACAAGCCATTAAAAAATCATAACCTTGGGCGTGTATTAGTCGAGTGATCCGCACTCCGCCGATTTCCCCGCCCATTCCAACCCCCGATTTCGATTGGGATTACTTCGATTTTGGGGCCTGTTTCGCAGCCGTTTCTGTTTCCGAGCAAACATCTGGCGAGATAAGGGCCTATATACAGGCCGCCCCCTCTTACCGTCCCCCTCCGCCCGCTCTGCCCCATCGAAAGCCCAAAAACAACTTGGTTGCAAAAACGGCGCTGAACGTAAGTTGGATTACGTCATCGTTTGAGGGCAATTTTAGACTCTGATTGTGCCATATATACGCTTATATACCCGCAGTTATAGTTTCGCCTTTGAAGACAACAGACGCCCGCGCATCCAAACGCTTGTTATTTTTTCGCGAGATGATTCATGTGGGCGAGAGTACGTGGAACCTGCGGATCCTCATCACGGATTTGCAGGTGGAGAAGACCCTTCGCGTGAAGGGTGACCAGCACATAGGAGGCGTGATGCTGCAGCTGGTCGATCCGGAGATGCCAAAGGATTGGTCCGACCACGCGCTGTGGTGGCCCGCCAAGAATGTGTGGCTCACCAGGACGAGGTCCACTCTGGACCAGGCCGGAGTCCAGTCCGATTCGTTTCTTCACTTCACTCCCATGCACAAAACACTGAGGGTCCAGATGCCCGACCTGCGCTACCTGGACTATCGCGTCAACTTCTCGGCCAAAACCTTCGGGGCCGTTGTCAGCCTCTGCAAGGATCTGGACATACGCTACCCGGAGGAACTATCCTTCTGCAAACCCCTGGAGCCGGAGCATCTCAAGAAGAACTTCTCCAAGCTGCCGCAGCGCAAGATTCCCGTGGCGGAGGCGAATGGCATCGCCTACTTGCAGCCGGCGGCGGACACCAACTCCTTTGTGCCGATCACAGGAGCCTACAACGGCAGCAACGGCAGTCTCGATCGCTCGCACAATGGCAATCTGCTGTGCGCCCCGGTCTCTCCGTATGCCACCACTCCCCGGCGGGCAGCCACAGCTCCGGGCACGCCCATCAGTTCGCCCACGGGCACGTGGAAGCACAACTCCACCGGATATGCCAGCTACGACTCCAATTCTAGTTTCGGGGACCTGCAGGAGAACCTGGCCATGTCTCCTCGTTCACCCAGTCCGGATGTGAGGGCTCGCCTAGTGCGGCCCAAGTCGCTGGTGGAGAAAGCCCGTCTCAATGTGGGCTGGCTGGACTCATCGCTGTCCATCATGGAGCAGGGAGTCAGGGAGTACGACACCCTCTGCTTGCGCTTCAAGTACTACACGTTCTTCGACCTGAATCCCAAGTACGATCAGGTGCGGATCAACCAGCTGTACGAGCAGGCCAAGTGGAGCATTCTCAACGAGGAACTGGACGCCACCGAGGAGGAGACCCTCATGTTTGCCGCACTGCAGTTCCAGGTGAATCACCAGACCGATCTGCATCCACCGGGCATCGATTCGGGTATCGATTCTTCGAGTCAGGAGACTGGCGGCGAGGACGACATCGACTCCGCACTCAACGAGCTGCAGATCACGCTCGAGGGTCCGGGCGGTGGGAAGGATCAGGGCAACATCACCAGGATACCGGAGCTGGCGGACTATCTGAAATTCCTCAAGCCGCAGCGGTTCACGTTGAAGGGATACAAGCGCTACTTCTTCACCTACAGGGATCTGCATCTGCACCTGTACAAATCCCAGGAGGAGTCGAGGCGAGGAGCGCCCAGCATCAGCATCAACCTGCGGGGATGCGAGGTGACGCCAGATGTTAACCTGTCCCAAGGAAAGTTCGCCATCCGATTGGAAGTGCCGCCAGAGGGAAGGAGTGGTCCGAACAGCGAAGTCTGGGTGCGATGCGACAACGAGGAGCAGTACGCCAAGTGGATGGCCGCCTGCCGATTGGCGGCAAAGGGACGCTCCCTGGCCGACAGCTCCTACGACAGCGAAGTGAGCAGCATTCGGTCGCTGCTCCAGATGCAGAAACCCGCACAGGGAGCTCCGCTCGCCGTTAATCCCAGGAGCGTCGAGCCCATGGACTACCTTTCCCCCAAGATGATGCGCAAGCTATCCAGCAAGGCGGTCCAGCGGATCCTGGAGGCGCACGCCAACGTTCGCCAGCTGCCCCTGATGGAGGCCAAGATGAAGTATATCCAGGCCTGGCAGTCCCTGCCCGATTTCGGTGTGACTCTCTTCGTCATCAAGTTCGACGGCCACAAGAAGGAGGAGCTGCTGGGCGTGGCCAACAACCGCATCATGCGCATGGACCTCAGCTCCGGCGATCACATCAAGACCTGGCGCTACAACACAATGAAGGCCTGGAACGTGAACTGGGGCATCAAGTGCATGATGATCCAGCTGCAGGACGAGAACATCGTCTTCTCCGTTCAGTCGGCGGACTGCAAGGTGGTGCACGAGTTCATCGGCGGCTACATCTTCATGTCCATGCGGTCCAAGGAGAACAACCAGACGCTGAACGATGAGATGTTCCACAAACTGACGGGCGGATGGTCGTAAACGGATTACCGGAATCCGGAATCTAAGGGTGTGGAGAGGAGTCTTACGAGTGCCAAGCACAAACCTCGTCGCATGTTCTACAGTTTTATCTACATATATTTACCTAAAGTGGGGTGCGTTGATTTATGGGTTTAAATGTAATCTGCGGATTGTGTTAAGTAAATTTGTCTTAACAATAGTTAAAAATTCGTCTTCAATGTCAAATCATTACCAAGGCCATTTGTGTGTTATGGTTTTAACAAATCTAAAAATAAGCTAAATTTTTATCAGCCTTTTAGGCTGTTTGATTACTTTGCAGCATTTATATACAAAATAATTTATTTTATGAAGAGCAGAAGAGCTTTTTAATGTATTAGGAAAACTTGGCATAGATCCAAGTACAAGAATTTGTCTTGTAAAAATTGTTATTTAAAACTAGGGCAATGCTTGACTTAATTTTGAAATCATGTTGTCCAAAGATTATCTCCATTTTTATCAACCCAGTTAGTCGACGCACCCTAATCGAAAGCGTTGTGTGTGTATAAGTGTTAATGAGAGTGGAATTCTAGACTAATAACAATCACAATCACCACGCTGATAACGATGTTGTGCCTTCGCCAGAGCAATCTTAACCCAAAACAAGTCCAAGTCAATGTCCTGTGTTCTCTGTGTTGTCTGTTTTCTAACACAGCGTTAAAGTTTACACTACTTAAGTCCATTTTTTTACCACTCTTGTGCGGACTTGCGCGACTAACCCGCAGTTTTATATATTGTATATTTATTAAACAAATTAATAAGCAGAATAAATTATTTTATATGTTTTTAATGATCGTAAACGGCGGCCTGTTTGTTTGCATTCCAGCAGTGGCAGATGGAAACCCGAGCCCTCGGGGGATTACTCATTCAATTGTATTGCGGGTTGAGGAGGGCTTCTGGGGGGCGTTGATGCAAGAGTCGGGCGTTTATATAAAGCACGGGTATTGTTAATAATAACAGCGCACTCAATTGGATTGATAAGCACTGCGAGTCATTCGTGGCTATATGCGTATTCGAGATTATAGGAAGCTCCGCGGGTTATACCGTTGATTGATGACCGCGTCGCAGAGTTATGTGCCTCCGAATGGGGCAACTTCTCACGCAATGCCTTTCGAAATCTTCAATTTGATTTAATTTAAGGGGTGACTCCTCTTGTGCAGGAATTGCCGGATATGCGTAAGGAATGACAAGTGTGTAATCAGCGAAATGTTTGTTTTTAGAACGCTTGTTATTAATCACATATTTATGGGAAAGTTATGAAACCGAGTCCGACGCACGATATAGAAAAATCGGGAAAAGGGGCAGCTGCCAACCTCCCCTGACTGTCCCCTCATTGCATTCCACTACCCTCCCTGTATTTTGGTATCCCCAACTAACCCTATCCCCTCGGATCACTTTGGGTTTCGATAATCTGTAACATACTTTAGAGCTGAATTTTAAGTCAAAGTAAAACCGTTAATGCCCGCGAAGATGGTAAAGTATTTTTAGGTATATTTTTAATGTGAATTGAATCGGTATATTCAAACGGCCCAGCTGCGGTCACACTACATCAGCTGCTTAAAAAAATACCAAAGGTGTTTGGCCGTCGCGCATTTTCAATCGCAAATTAAATGCTGCTAATTTTGTATAACAACCGCAGTGCTCGAATAACAAAGCAAAACACGCTGATTTCAACGAATTAAGTGAATTTAAGGGGTAGCAATTAGGCTGCCTTGTGTTTTTTGTGGCACCTGCGTTTTGCGTTGCTTTTTCGTGCATTCACACGAAAAACACACACACACGGCCGTGCAGCGAATGCGTGTGTGTGTGAAATTGTGCAAAAAGCTGTGACGATAGAGGAGGGGGTGGTGCGAGGGAGGCGGACGGACTGTTGCTGTTGAACGCGAATATTCATTGTTTTTGTGTGTGCACTATAAATTAATATTAAAGTGCCTGCGTCATGAGGGGACCGCTTACCTCTCGCCAGCGAGTTCAGCAGCTAAACAGACAGCTGCTCATTTGGCGAGTGTAAACAAAGCAACACACACACACACACATAGATATATCAAAACGACTGCGACGCCGCCGTCCTTCACCTTGCTGCGACTGCGACGCCGACATCGACTGTGGCTGCAACTGTTGTTTGCATATTGAATTTCACATCTTTAAGCCGCAAACTCTCCATATCCACAACGTCCACCACTTCCATCTGCCGCATCATCTTTTGTCTGGCCAACCTGTTCGGTTTTCAGACAGGAAGTTTCGCAGTATCCAAGTTTAGCCAAGTGCAGCGACAGCGACGCCGACGTCAACGGAAGCAGCGACGCTCGCTGCCAGCGCCGCCGAAGCAGCAGCTGTAAAGTAAAACAAGCAGCTCTTTTAAACTCGGTGAGTATTTCCAAAGAAAACCCCTTTCGAACACCCTGGGGAACGTAGCAAATGGTCGAAAAAGCATAATGAACTATCAGTTGCCCCTTTGGTATTTGGGGTGAGATAGTTTTCCTACAGTGGAACTTCTAATGATCAAATTGTTTGAATTGTTTGAGTTGCAAAAGTTCGACTGTATTTGAAATTCAATACACAATGTATCGGCAGAGTACCTGTTTTATTTTTGTACCCCAGAGTCACCATTTTCGAAAATACGTTGAACGACAGATGGTAATTTATGGATGTTTGACTGTATCTAAATTACCCAGCTGATAACCTGCTCTCAACGGGGCGTTGTTGTCTCTTTTGCCGTCTAAGTCCGCCTCTCGCATCCGCTAAATTCCCGTTTCCGCCCGAATAATTACTCGAAACTGTCGCCGCAAAGTGTAATTTCTATTATTCGCTTGTTAACAATACACATTAGCTGCGAGACTGGCATCATGATGTTTTTATCTCCCTGAGGGGAATGCATATCATTTTCGTTCCCAGTCCCCATCTGCTCACCTTTTATCGCGCTCCATAAATAAACTCCACTTCAGCACGCGCCAGAGTTCAAGCTGTTCTTGGAGATCCCCCTGCTCTTACATCTGAATTTTATTTCACTTCCGAGTGGAGGATTCGTAGTTCGTAGGGTGACGCAACCCGTTTACAGGGATTGCCAAGAAAACGTGACGTCATGTGGGAACATATTTACACAAGTCCACTTTTGTGTGCATTGGCCTCTTGGAAACAGCAATACGCTCAACAAGTTACACTTAAAATAGCCCAATGCTTTGGCGGAATTCCTGGAATTCCATAAATGGCTTAGCTTGTTATCCGCTAACATCCGGTGGACTTGGGAAAAGCCTGGAAAAGGGTCTTAATAGTGTGTGGAAATATATTTTGCATTGCTGATAAGGTTTAGATGGCGTTCATTTTTTTCACAGCATAAATAATTTACGTTAGCTATATGCTTAAAATAATTTTAATTTCTGGCAAATGACGAATCAAATGTATAAAGCAGTTATCAGAAGACTGATTCAGTCATTAAAAAAACTTTAAGTATTAAAAAAACTATAAGTTGCTTTTAAAGAAACATTTTAGAGATAAGCAAGAGTTTTATAAACGTTATATTGCATCACAAATCACTGAATTCTTTGCGCCACCTTATGTGTATGGCAACATGTGGAATTGCTTTAGTGTCCATAAATGTTGCACACTTTGGCGGTTCCCTCACCATTTTATCGCTCTTGGTGGGGATTACGTGATTGTTCGACTGACCGACTGCCCTTGGCCACAGTTCATCAACCGATCACAATGCTTTTGAGTTTGCTTTCAACTGATTGGGCTTTGTTCCTTACTCCTTTAGGATATGACCTCCATATCCACGACGGATGGCGGCCACAGCAGCGAGACGGCCTGGCTGGAGGACCTGCTGCAGGAGGTGCAGCTGGAGCAGTTCCTGGACAGGATACGGGACGATCTGCAGGTGACCCGGCTGGCCCACTTCGACTACGTCCTGCCCGACGACCTGGAGCGATGTGGACTGGGGAAGCCGGCCATCAGGCGACTGATGGAGGCGGTGCGGAAAAAGAAGGCTCACCAGTGGCGCAAGAACATCCTGTCCAAGCTGATTGGCGGCGGCAAGCAGCCCTCGTCCAAGAAGCAGTCGTCCTCCGCCCGGGAATCGGGTCAGGGCAATGGCACCCAGCTAACCTGCCTCATCCACGAAAAGGACATCACAATGGGCCTAAAACTGGGCGACGGATCGTTCGGTGTGGTGAGACGCGGCGAGTGGAGCGCCTCTCCAGCGGGCAAGGTCATCCCGGTGGCCGTCAAGGTGCTCAAGTCGGACAACCTCACCCAGCCCGGCATCATCGACGACTTCTTCCGCGAGGTTCAGGCCATGCACGCTTTGGATCACGCGAATCTGGTGCGGCTCTATGGAGTGGTGCTGTCGCAACCCATGATGATGATTACGGAGTTGGCGGAGCGAGGATCCCTGCTGGACACACTGCGCAAGCAATGCCGCCACACCTCGCTAACGATCATCTGGAACTGGTCGGTGCAGATTGTCACTGGAATGGCGTACCTGGAGCAGAAGCGCTTCCTGCATCGCGACCTGGCCTGCCGCAATGTCCTGCTGGCCGCTGGCAACAAGATCAAGATCGGAGACTTTGGTCTGATGCGCGCTCTGCCGCAGGAGGACGACTGCTATGTGATGTCCGAGCACAAGAAGGTGCCCTTTCCCTGGTGCGCTCCCGAGTCGCTGCGCTTCCGGCAGTTCTCGCACGCCTCGGACACCTGGATGTTTGGCGTGACCCTCTGGGAGATGTTCAGCTTCGGCGAGGACCCTTGGGTGGGGCTGAACGGCTCGCAGATCCTGCGCAAGATCGATCGCGAGGGGGAGCGTCTGCATCAGCCGGACGCCTGTCCACCGGATGTCTACGCCATGATGCTGCAGTGCTGGGATAAAACGCCTGCCGAGCGACCCACATTCGCTGCTCTCAAGTAGGTTTCAAAGTTTGTTTATCAGGTTCTCTTTACCAATCAATTATCCTTTTCTTTTTTACAGGGAATACCTGGCCAGTATGTCACCGCCTGTGATGCGTGCCTCCCGCAGCCATCACGAGTCCAAGGGACTTCAAATCGAGCCCGGTGACACCATTGCCATCATCGATGGACGCCACGAGCTCAAGTTGATCAAAGGCCAGAACCAGCGCACCTTCGACATCGGAATCTTTCCCAGGAGTCTGCTGGAGCAGCGGAAAGTGGCTGCTGCCGGCGATGTGGTGATGCGCAGCAGCATGGGCAACGGCTCATCGTCTTCGCCTTTCGGTTTCTGCTGGGGCGGAGCAGCTGCCATGGCAAATGGCGAGGATCGCCAACGGAAGTGTGCCTCGATGGCCAATCAAGCGCACGCCAAGGAGCGCAAGTCGACCTCCAGCAAGCAGTTTGCCTACAACAAACTGGTCAATGAGGCGGCAGCTGCGGCCGGACTCCAGCGACGGAATGCCGTGAAGCACAAAGGACCGGTGGTGGGTCCACAGCGACCGCCACCGCCGCAGTTCCAGCAGGAGGGCATTCTCATCGACATTTCGCCCGATATGCGACCCTTGCCCGGCGGAGGAGGAGGAGCAAAAGCCGAAGGAGCGGGCGACAGTTCGTCCCTGCAGGCGGACAGTTCCTTTTGCATTCTCGACGCCCCCATAGATGTGCCCACTTATGCCGGATCCAGTGGATCGGGGGAACTGAATGTTTCGCCCACATACTTCAACGAGCAGCCGCAATTCGACTTCGATCCGGCCAACGTGACAGCCTCGCCTGGTCGGCTGCAACCGCCGCCGTACCAGATGCCACCCACTTACTCGAACACCATGGAGTTTGTCCAGAAACGAGACCTTCACCAACAGCAGCTGGCGACGCCGGTAAGGGAGCGGGATCCTTTCGATACCACCAACCTGGAAACAGCAGTCGCACTCTACTCGAATTTTAACCAGTCCCTCGAGGCGGTTCCTCCGCCAGCCCCGATCTACACCAGTCCTTCCGTGCGGAAAAGCCTGTTCGGCGGTCCCAACTCGAATAAGGAGAACATACCTGCGCTGGAATCTGCGGCGATGCAGCTGAATCTCAGTAACCTTGCGTTGGAGCGACGCGACACAGTTGCCACAATGGGCAGCCAGCCCATGGAGCCACTACCTGCGCCCCCGGCCGACGGAGTGCTGCTGGACAAATCCTTCATCGCCGAACTGGAGAAGGACATGTACAGCAATGGGCAGAACCGGGCGCAGGAGGAGTACCAGCGCAACTCCACCCAGATGTACGCCAGCAAGGACATGGTCTACAAACAGAATCTCACGCCCCTCAAGAACGGAGTAGCCGCCGGTGCGGGCCACTCGAATCATTCCAGTCCCTCGTCCACAGCCTCGCCCAAGCAGAACAACCTGGAGGCGGCCGCAGCGGCGGCGGTGGCCACGACGCAGAGTGTGGTGAATCGCATTTGGTACGAGCAGGTGGCCTCCACGCCCTCCGAGTACTACGCCCAGCCGCCGCCGGAGGAGCAGATCTACCAAAACCATCATCACCAGCAGCAGCAGCTGCAGCAGGAGTCCAACCATTCGTTTGTGGCTATTTCGAATAGGGTGGTGGTGGCACCCAAGAACACGGCGTACGCCTCCGCCGGCTCTCTCTATGATGCAGTGGCGGCCAGCACGGCGGGATCTACCTACTACGGCCAGGTGCCGAATGGAACTGGAGCTGTCCTGTACGATGAAGTCACCCACGACGATTACCTGCGGCCAACGAGACCTGCTCCGCTGGCGCCACCGCCACTTTCCGCGCAGCAGATCCAACGGCGGATGGACAAGATGCGACTGCAGCAGCAGCAGCAGCTGGAGGGAGCCCATCAGCTCTACGCCCCGGTGCCCTCGGACTATGGACGCGAGCAGGAGAAGCTCCAGCAGCTGATGCAGGAGCTGGGCAGCTCTGCCGTGGAGCAGGATGTGCGCAATGCGTTGCGAGCGGCCAGCGGGGATGTGGCTCTGGCCACGCGGCATTACAAGATCGACCAGCTGGCGCGATTGGGCGTGGCCGGACGACCCCAGTGCGAACAGGCGCTGCAGCAGACCAACTGGAGCCTGGAGGTGGCAGCCGAGTTCCTGCTGCAGTCCACAAATGCGGGCTAAAGTCCCGAAAAGAATAACCATGTATTAGCGCCTCGAATACAATTGCTTTAGTTTTAATTGCTGAATATTCGTCTATGATTAGCCAACGATGTCTCGAATCTTTAACAAAATACTCCTAGGTGAATGCCCAAATGCAAACACACATTGTCAACGACTGTACAATATCTTCTATTTTATATAAGCGATCGTATAAAATTACTTTATAATTGTTATTCGATGTCTGCGTATTCTAAAGTGCCCCACAATTTGGTTTACAGACGAAGCCGCGGATCGACTGGTTCAGGTCATAAATTTAAAAGCATGCAAAAATTAATTTTGTTTTGAAATCAAATAAATTATATGTAATTGTTACAAAACAAAGTTGCCTTTTGAATTTGGCGCCAATTGGGGGCTAGAAACATACCGCAAAATAAGCTTGACTGAAATACGGAAATATACCAAACAACTTTACCAATTATACTTGTTCATGGGCGGAGCGAAGGGGGCTGAGCTCATAACTTCGTTTATAAAACCGTTATGGTCAAAAATGGTTCCTTTTTTTGGCTGGCATTTTAAACGCCAAACTAAGGATGTAGTTTCTTAGGGAAATATGTCACAAGCAAAACAAAAGCTATTTTTCAAATTTTTAACATCATAAAAATGTGGAAAAAATCGTCCAAGCCAAACTATGGATGCATTTTCTTAGGGGACTGTGCCACAAGCATTTTTAGATATACCAATCCAAAATCGGACAAGAAAAGTAACGGGATTTAAAGTGCTGGTTTTGGACCATTTCCCAAAAAGCCTTTTAATAAATAAACAACGAATTATGTTAAAAGAATAATTATTTATTTTCAACAGGGGACATTATTTAAAATAGATCATTCAAAAGTGTGTCATAGATATATTTCTCTGCCTGTAAATACATTAATTTAAATGCTCTGCTTTTTTAAAGATATTCAGGTGGTTAGTTCGAAACAACATTGTAATCGTTACTCTACGAGATAGAAGACACTTTCAATAAACACAATTATTATTATCCTTTCCGATCCGTCGATCACTTATCATTTCACTTTGCATGGGACAATTTCAAACTGTCTTCGATGGCACAGAATCTGAGTGCGGTTTATATAGAACGAAACTATCCAAAAACGATCGTGTCGCAAATGCAAATGTTGAAAATAGAATAAATCATCCTAAGATCCGTATGTACGAGTACTTAATAATATTAAATTAAAGTAGTTTATGTTATTACATAACAGCATACGCCTGGTCAATTGGAATACAAATACAAATTGGTATCATAAATATATATCCGTATCATATCATTTCGGGGCTCTGCCCAAATTTAGCTCAAAACGTTAAATGTGTGGAACCCAAAAGCGGCTGCGGAAGGTGTTGGCTTATATTGGTTTTGGTTTCTTTTATTGCGGAATGTCTGAGAGCGGAGGATGGGCGGAGGATCCTGCATGCAGGATGCGGATCTACATGTGCCTGGTGTTGCCAAAGTTGATGCCCGACTGGGTGGCTCCCTTGTTGGATCCGTACTGCAGGGAAATGACATTGGCGCCGGCGCGCAGCTGCTCATCGCTGAAGTTGCGCACGTTCTTGTCGGCCTCCTTGGGGCCAATCGATGGCTTGTTGAAGTTCGAGGCCTGTAAGGAATCATAATATATAAGTAATTTGTACCACATATTTTTTAAAATATTTTTTATGTTACAAAAATCACTGAATATTGATTTTTTAAGTGTACAAGAGCGATCTATGATCCCAATATTTCAATGTAAACAGCTACAATCAGCTCACCTTGCGACCCAGCGACTGCAGGCAGATAACCACCGAGTTCAGATTCTGGCGCTCCCACAGGTCGACGCTCTGGAAGGTCTCCTGGGTGGGCACGCCGAAGTTCTTGGCGCACTCGAGGAAGGCCGAGATGTTCTCCATGCACTTGAAGGCCATCTTGCTCTCGTTGATCTTCTTGATGGAGCCGGGCTGCAGGGCGTTGGCCAGCTTGCACAGGATGACGCCATCCTTGAGCACCTCGAAGAAGTTGTCGGTGTCGCCGGACGTGTTGATGGGCTCCGCGGTGACGGCCTTGATCCACTCGAGCGACTCCTGGGCCAGCTCCTCGCTGTACTTCGAGTTGATCTGAAGAGTAAGAAAATTGTAAACCATAAGTTTATAAACCCTTTAGTTTTTTTCCTTTCACCTTGGATTGATACATTATTATTTAATCCTTTTCTGGCCGTTGCACTGGCTCGACTGAATCCCCAAATCGAGGGTTAAATCAAGTACAGACTATTATTTTATTTGTGGGCCATTTCCCCCGGTCGCTTATCTAGCGAAATATCGCCGATAGCAGACTTATCATTAATTGGTTATAAACACACTACACTCTCTACTTTTCCCCTGCACTCGTGACAATTTGGCGGTTATATTTCAAGTTGCGATAAGGATAAGATTGCACCGGTGTCGCTGTTCTCGTTTCTCTCCCATCGGCAGGCGGCACTCCCCATTATTCGATTTGCTTAAATTATAAAAGTCAGTCACGTTCGAGCGTTCTCATATTGAATAGGTAAGTATCCATATTTGCCAATGCCGACCGATAGCGTCAACTGGAAGCTGCTTTATATCTATCTGAGCGTCTTGACCATATTTGGTTCTAAGTTTGCCGGCCGCTTGGGCGTCCTTCGCACCGATTTTGGCCATAGACCAAAAGCCACTTGTTGAGCAGCAGCTGGCCCCCACCACTTCTATTGGCATTTCCACTCGGCTGGCGAAACCGCAAAAGCCGGAGTCCCAAAACAAACCGCAAAATCGTTGCGTGTTGGGTTTCCATTTGGCTTGCCAATAAAAATCCAAATCAAAATGTTTAGCAAACTTTGGCTCATATCGGAGCGACTCACTTAACACGTATTTATTGGTTTTATTTGATTGAATTGAATTGCTGTCGCTAACAGATTTCAGATTAGCTGCCATTTTATCAGAAAGTTCAAGTAGTAAAAACAGTTGAGGTTAAAACTATAGAAGTGGGGGGTAGTTCTTTGTATAAAAGAACTTATTAAACAGAATAGATATGAAATGAAAAGCCATAAAATATTTAGATTTATTGCTTTAAATAAATCTAATAAATGCTTAATAGGTTATGTAGATATTCTTTTATTATTGTTGCCACAAAGGAAAAGCTATTTGTTCTGGAACAATAAAATACTTTATGGAGCCCAGTTTTGCTTTTCTGTTTTCCCTTTCAAAGCACTATTATTTTACCCACATTTGTAATACATTTTTAGTATGTGTGTGATTTTTGTTCTGACTGGCGAGTCTATTAAAATGAATGATCTCAGAGAAAACAAATGGAACGATTGTCGCCAATTGAGTTGTATTCCACTCCTTATCGCCGCCGTGGGGAAATGCAAACTCATAAATTGAAGGGGAGTGAAAAAGTGAAGCACAGACCAGTAGCTTTCCCCGTTTTTCTGTGCACTTAATGAAGGTGAATGCACTTTGCTCACATTATTATTATGATTAGCCCACTCCATCTGATTTCTATTCTCCCTCTCCGGTAGTCGAAACCTATTGAAACATAAAAGTTTACGACCTTTTCGTTGTTCGAGCTCAATAAAATCCAGCGATCTCTCATCGAGATATGCAGAATAGCAGCACAGAATATATGATAATCACCTGGAAATGTCTTTATCGCAGAAAGCTGGGAGATTATCAATAATTGCAATCGACCGTTGGACAAATTGCTTTGTCCGAATTTTCGGGTATAACGGTATAGCACTTAACAGCGGAGGTCACATCATTAGAGCTCGAGAGCCAAAAATTGAAGAGAAGAAGAGAAAAGAATGGACCCGAGTAACAGCATCATCCATCATCATAAGCCGAGAGAAAAGTTTCGAGAAGCGTGAGACAATTAATAAAAGCAATTCTTGATTGACATTCCGTTCGAGAATCTGGCCGGAGTCAGAAGTTGATGATCATAACTTAGGGCCGCCGATGATGGCACATAAATTGACACCCTCGGGCCAGATGAATAAATTTTGATTAGAAACAGATAAGTTTATGGGATTCTGCGGCCAGTTTATGCATACTATTCTCATACATAATCGCAGACCGAAAGCCGTTAAGCGTCTAATGAATTCCGATCGATTCTTACACGTTTCTCGAACCGCAATATCTTCTCCCAAACAAACGCCAAAACAAATTTGACAGTTGGTGGTCCCGCCAGACAAACAATGTTCGGAACTAAATGAAAAATGGTCGAATGGATAGCAAAGGCCCCCATCTCCATCTCCCCGCTTATTAAAATATTTTTAGCGCTGTTTTAATGAGTCAGCAGCCAGCGAGTTTCGCTTGTTTGTATTTTTTGTTCAATTTAGCGCTCTGTAAGGTCGACTCGAAATTCAACAACGATCGAATGCCGGGGCAAAAGTACCACACAGCAAGTAATAATGAAGTACATAATACTTTCCTACACCCATAAATGTATATCTAGTTGTATGGATTTGTGGGGAAACATATGTACAGCTGGCTAGAACGTGCTGCCTTATCGAAAGTAAGGAATTCCAGACGAAAAGCGTTACAAAAACATGAAAAATAATAATTGCAAGCGGAACTGGCGGAAATGGGGATGGTGTAGTGATTTCCTTATGTGCTTCCTGACAAATGTTTTCTGGCCAACTATAATACTTTTTTTTGGGTCTATGGGTCACTTGATGAATTAACCACGATTACGGACAATTACAATGCGGCGTGACAATGAAATGCTCGGTGGTAGCCTCAAGAACCTAATTAATTTCCCGGCTTATGATGTATAGTGTTCTGTATGTGGGGTTGGGTCTCTTTTCAAGTTCGTTCTGGGTGGATGGCATTCCACACGCAATGCGCATTAGTGACCAAGCCACGCTAAGCCAAGCCTGGCTGCCTTTTAGTGAAATTAAAATGAAAATGACTTGAAAACTGACCGAGCAAGCTTCCCGCATACTCCTCTTTTCAATTCGAAAAAAAACTGAGGGTCAGCCGAAACACAAACTCCGGATTAAAAGTTTCCTGGGTGAGGGCCTGCCCACGTCCACACAATTTAATTCACACCTACGCCACTTGAAAAGTGAAAATATTTGGGTAACACATAACTATTTATTTATTTCCCATGATTCAGAGACCAGAGAGCCTCGCAATTGCGTGAGAGTTCTGAGAAATCTATTGGTGTTGCTTTGTTCAAAATTAAAGATCATCGAGCGTTACTAATTTCCGGCACTTCTCCAAAGTGTTTACAGATTACTATTATATGGTGGTATTTTTATATTCAATTAATCATATAATTTTATATTTATTAAGTTACTAAATAGTTCCAAAATTCTGCAAACGTTTCATCTACC